GTTTAGTTGCGCAGTGAAAAATTTTCAATCAGCTGCAATTTCTTTTTGAACCTATTATTTTAAAATTTTTTTGTAATGATAAAAGCAGTCTTTAGTGCTCTTTCAAACAACGAATACAAATTTAAAACAAACCTATTTATATACCTAAGATACGAAGTCAAAAATATCGCACAGTGCAAGAAAATCGATTGCACCGTGCAGTTTATTTTTCTTTGCACCGTGCAAAGCTCAAAGCCCTAAAAACGCTTTTAAAATAATATTAAATGCCCTAATGGACTGTTACGTTTGCAATTACAATAAACATTATCAAATTAGATACTTGTTACTTCCTTAATCTGTTTTACGTTTGCAAATCCAGGATACATTGAACTTGTCATGGCTTCTCGGAAACGCAAATGTTATTCTTTCAAAGTTTAGTGGAATTAATTTGAGTATTAAATCCGTTTTGGTGATAATTTTAGCTAATTTTAATTTTTTAATTAAAATTTGGCTTTAAAAAATAAAAATTTTTAAGTTTGGAAGTTATTACTCAGTCTAAGAATAAACCTAAGCCTCCTAACTCTAAGCCTACTAAGCCTAAGCCTAAGCCTACTAAGCCTCAGCCTACTAAGCCTAAGCCTACTAAGCCTAAGCCTACTAAGCCTACTAAGCCTAAGCCTACTAAGCCTAAGCCTACTAAGCCTAAGCCTACTAAGCCTAAGCCTACTAAGCCTAAGCCTACTAAGCCTAAGCCTACTAAGCCTAAGCCTACTAAGCCTAAGCCTAAGCCTACTAAGCCTAAGCCTACTAAGCCTAAGCCTACTATGCCTAAGTTTGCTAAGCTCCGTTGTAGCTGTTCCCAAGCTCAAGTCTATTAAGAGTAAAACTACGAGGTTAAGCTTACAAAAATCTCCTTCTCCACCCCCCCCCCCTCTCAAAAATTTTAAAAACAAGTACAAATGCCCGTAAACCTCAAAATAAAAAAAATAAAAAATATTGTCCAAAAAGTTATTGAACTATATTTTTAGCATTTATCCAATTTTGTGTAATTTAATTTATCTGGAACTTTGCACTTAATGACTGCTTATTGTTAATGTTTTTGATTGTTTGGTTCCAAGAAGTTGACGAGCGGATAATCTGCCTTTTTGGATTGACTATTTATCAGAATTCCATATTATTTGCCAATTTTTAATTAAATTAGTATTTCAATATTTCTCAGAATGGTTTAGCCATATTTTTTGAAAGAAAAATTTTGTTATTTAAATTTAAAAATGTCAAAAAACCTACAAAAAACAGCTTTTTTCTCTAAAAAAACTAAAAAAATGACGTTCTTTTAGCCATAAAAACAAAAAATTCAGCTACTACAACACTTTTTAATGCTAAAACATCTGAAACAAATGATAAAAAAGCCTCAGAAAGACTAATCAAGCATCCATAGGGTTTCCTCGTCAAGATTTAGGCAATTTGTCTTCACAGGCTTCGAACCCGCCCGGTTCGGAATGAAAAGATAACGCACTGTCACTGCGCTATACGCAATCAAAGGTAAATGGCTTGAGGAAAGGGTCAAGCGCTGTTGGAAAAGAAAAAGCAAAAGGCAAGGCATAAAATAAAGTGAATTTATATTGTTTTAGGTGATTTTTAGGTAATATAACATTAGTTTTGGCAACAAAATAAAATTTTGTAATCTGAGAGAGTTTGGGTAAAATTTCATTTGAAAAACCAGTGAAAACTGCGAAGAAGTATAAAAAACCTTTGTTATCTATGTCAACAGTGTAAATTCCAAATTAAAAAAGTAAACGCCTAAAGCAAAATTTTATGTTGATTTTGAAAATTTAAAAAAAATTTTTAAATTAAGGCATTTTTCATTAAAAAAAAAGAACGGTTTCCTTCTCAAAACGGCTTATTTTGATCAAAAATAGCGGTGTTTTGAATAAAAGTACCTATTTGGACCACTAAAAGTGTTTTGATCAATTTGGTGTAATAAAGTAAAATATCGAACATTTGAACTACTGTCAGTATGTCAAATTTCAGGACGATACGGTGTGTTTTAACTTCGATATGGCTTGGCCAAGTTAAGATATTTTGGATATTAAGGAAGCTATTGAGATTTTTTGAAAAATAAGTATGAATTTGGACTATTAGTAGTATTTTGATCAATTTGGTATAATAAAACAAAATGTTGTGTATTAAAAAGTTTGATATCACGCAAAATTTCATTTTGGTTCAATAAGTTTGTACTTCGATATCGCTAGTCAAAGTTAAGATATTAGGATGGTCATTGAGATTTTTTTAACAAAAGTACCAGTTTGGACTATTAGGAGTACTTCAATCAATTTAGTGTAATGCAACAAAATGTTCAGTATTAAAAGGTGTGTTATATGGCCAAGTTTCAAAAAGCTTCAATGAGTTTTAACTTAGATATGGCGTGGCAAACTTAAGATATAAAGAGAGCCATTGAAATTTTTTGAATGAAAGGGTTAGTTTGTACTATTACAAATGCATTGATCAATTTGGTATAATAAAATAAAATGTTAAGCGTTAAAAGATCTATCTTCAAGCCAAATTTCAGGCTGATTCCAAAAGTTTTGACTTAGATATAGCTTGGCGAAATTAAGATATTAAGGTAGTTATTGAGATTTTTGAATGAAAGTATCAGTTTGTACCATTAGCAATGCTTTGATCAATTTGGTATAATAACGATAAATGTTGAGCATTAAAAGTTCTGTCATCAAGCCCATTTTCAAGCTGATTCACTGAGTTTTAACTTAGATATGACTTGACAATGTTAAGATATTAACCTTGTCATTAAGATTTTCAAACTAATTTTTAACTTTTAAAATATTTTCCAAACTTTCAAAACTTTCATTCATTAATAACCGTAACACATGTAGATATGAATCATGCTTTAAACTATGGAATTCTGTTTCAAATATCATGTATCACATGTGTTTGAAATGGATGAACATTCAAAAAAAGAATGTTTAGAAACCGATACATGGCACCGATCGGCTTAAAGTTGTTTAGAATGCACTTTAGAATAAACAAAAAAGCTTAAGGAAGGAAAGGTTGATGAATGGTCGAGAAAAAACGCCTGTGGGCAAGAAAAAAAGTTAAAGACTAAAATAAAGATAAACTACGCTTTGTAAACAAAGTTCTTGCCATTTTTGTTTTGTAAACAAAGTTCTTGCCATTTTTGTTTTGTAAAGAAAGTTCTTGCCTTTTTTTCTTTTGGTAAAGAAAGTTCTTGTTATTTTATATTTTGTAAAGAAAGTTCTTGCTATTTTTTGTTTTGTAAAGAAAGTTCTTGCCATTTTATGTTTCGTAAACAAAGTTCTTGCAATTTCATGTTTTGTAAAGAAAGTTTTTGCTATTTTTTCTTTTGTAAACAAAGTTCTTGCCATTTTTCGAAATTGTAAAGAAAGTTCTTGAAAACGAATCGAAAAGTCATTTTAAATTATCGACCTGTCCCTCAACCAGACGTAACACCGATTATGATGGCTTTTGTGGACCTTTGGCCGCTTTAATGAGACCGGTCAGTTGGTCAGCCCTGACCAGACGTCCCACAAGTCTGTTCCGAATAAATGAGTGGGCAAAGACAAATATTTTTGACGGTTTCGCTTACATTTCGGGTTTAAAATAAATATGTCTGATTGGGAGAAACAAACTTTGAATTAGGCTTAATAATTAAATATGGGTAGATTAAGGTTATATGTAGTAGGCTTGGTCTTAGACTTATAATGAAATTTTGGCTTAGGTTTAGCTTTAGACTTTGGCTTGGTCTTAAGCATCAGTGGAAGCTAAAGCTTAGGTTTAAGATTAGAATTAGGCTTAGGCTTAAGCTTAGGCTTAGGCTTAGGCTTAGGCTTAGGCTTAGGATTAGGCTTAGGCTTAGGCTTAGGCTTAGGCTTAGGCTTAGGCTTAGGCTTAGGCTTAGGCTTAGGCTTAAACTCAAAATAAAGCTCAAACTTAAACACAACATTAAGGTCAAGCTAAGGCTTAAACTGAGATTTAGGCTCAAACTCAAGCCCAAGGTCAAGCGCAAGCTAAGGGTTAGTTTTAGATTTAAGACTAGGCATAGGCTTAATTTGATTGATTGATCTGATGTTTAAACCTAAAGTTATTTTTTAAAAGTTTTACTTTATTTAAAAATTTATGCTTAAACCTTTTTTTAAAATTAGGCTTAAGTTTTAGCTATTGTGTTTAAGTATGAGAAACTTAAGCCCAACCAACATAAGCTTGTAAGAATATATATTTAGATACAACATTTTTTAACATTTTTTTTACTTTTAGCATCCAGAAGTATATTTTTATTTTAAGCCTATAACTTTGAATGTTGTTCTCTCTTTCCAGACCTGTTTTTGATATTATGATAGCGGTGGTGTGTAAGATAAAATAAAAACCAAGTTGCCAAATGGTCCGAAGGCCTTTTGCCGAAGCGAAATGTGTTAATAGTGGCCGCTTTCCTGGCCATTCAGTGCCGAGGTAGAGTGGCAATCAGAGGGAGTGGGCAGAGAAGACAGGAACGAAGGTGATGCCAATCTTTTAATCGGCCATTCTCTTTTGCCGCTCCGTGGCCAAGGCGGTTATAATTTTTTGATCAGGGGGTTCTTTTTATTTGTGTCTGACCTAGTTTTGTTGTTTTTAGGCCAGGCACAGTAGGCTTATTTGTAGTCTTAATTTTGAGTTAGCATTAGGTTTAAGCTTGTGCTGAGGCCTGACTTTAAGTTTAGGTTTCGACTTAATCCTGAGTTTAGGCTTAGTTTTAGGCTTAAGATTTGATTTAAAATTTAGTACGAGGGCTAGGACTAAGTCTAAGTTTAGGTTTAAGTTTAGGTCTAGGTCTGGGTTTATGTCTAAGTCTGCGTTTAAACCTAGGTATAAGTTGAAATCTAAATTCTTTTTTAGGTATAGGTATAGGTCTAGGTTCAAGTTTAGGTTTAGACTCAAAGACCGAGCGTAAGCTTAGGCTTACGCTGAGGCTTAGTTTTATTCTTATTCTTAGGCTTAGTTTCAGGACTAGACTAAGACTTAGGCTTAAACTTAGGCTTACGCTTAAGCATAGGCTTATGCTTAGGCTTAGGCTTAGGCTTAGGCTTAGGCTTAGGCTTAGGCCTAGGCTTAGGCTTAGGCTTAGGCTTAAACTTAGGCTTACGCTTAGGCATAGGCTTATTCTTAGGCTTAGGCTTAGGCTTATGCTTATGCTTAGGCTTAGGCTTAGGCTTAGGCTTAAGCTTAGGCTTAGGCTTAGACTTAGACTTAGGCTTAGGCTTAGGCTTAGGCTTAGGCTTAGGCTTAGGCTTAGGCTTAGGCTTAGGCTTAGGCTTAGGCTTAGGCTTAGGCTTAGGCTTAGGCTTAGGCTTAGGCTTAGGCTTAGGCTTAGGCTTAGGCTTAGGCTTAGGCTTATGCTTAGACTTAGTCTTAGCCATAGGCTCAAACTTAGACTTAGTTTTAGGCTAAAACATGGGGCATGGCTTACGTGTAAGGTAAAGGGTTTCCTCAAGCATAAGTTCGGTTCAGTCTCAGCTTGGGATGAAGTTTACGCTCAACCTTAGGCTTATGCATAGCTTTAGGCTAAGCTCAGGCAAAGTTTTTTTAGTTTTATTAAGCGTAACCCTGTAAGTTTAGAGTTGTTTGTTAATTATGTTATGCTTAAGGTTATAGGCCTTATCTTTTACTAATTAGGAAATTAGTACTATTTTCTCTATTTCCAATTTTAAAAATCGATTGTTGCGAAATGTCTCGTACAGTGCGAACAAGACCGTGTTATTGTTTTATGACTAAAATGTGATTGTTTTCTTATATTGTTTCCGCAACTTTTTACGAAAAACCACAATTCTTTTGGCCATTCGAGTCGGAGGCGAAACGGGATGAATAAAGGTGGCGGTGCACGGTTGTCTGTGTCTAGGAAATCGCCTTCTGAAGCCGCTTGTATACGATTTTTGTTCTGGCTCCTGGCTGTTTTTTTAATGCGTTTTTGTGGGAGTTTAAGCCTAAGGTCAACTGTAAGCCTAAGCCTATGAGTTTTGTTATTTGTGACAGCTAGAGTTATATAAAGTTTTTAAAATTTAGAGGATTTAGGCTTAACTCAGGTTCCAAATTTAAAAACAAGTCTTTAGGCTTGTCTTAGGTTTATAAATTTAAAAAAACGTAATTAGGCTTAGTTTAGGTTTGTAATTAAGAAAAGTGCCTTTAGGCTTATCTTAGGTTTATAAATTTAAAAAAATGTAATTAGGCTTAGCTACGGTTTTTACTTAGCTCTACAAGTTGCGAAGTTGCTTATAGGCTTAAATTAAGTTCTTAAGGCTTTAAAGTTTTATGCAGGCTGCGAGTGCTGTGTTATACGATAGAACATGTTTATTGACTTTTTTGCCATTTTTTGATTTGTAAAGAAACTGCTTGCCGTTTTGTGCACTGTAAAGAAAGTTCTTGCCATTTTTTGTTTTGTAAAGAAAGTTCTTGCCGTTTTTTGATTTGTAAAGAAAGTTCTTGTCATCTTCTGTTTTGTAAAGAAAGTTCTTGCATAAAAACCAAAAATGAGTGTTTTTGGCCGCCGAATTGGCCTTTGGTCAGATGAGTTGTCTGGTCAAGAACTTTGACTCCGCCCACTGACCCAATTTGTTTTTTTTTCGAAAAAAAAATAATTTCGAGACGAATTGTGATAATGAGGTATGGGATTTTGCATATGGCGGGATAATGACATTATAAAAGTTCCTAATTTGATTTTTAAAAAATCTTTCATTTGTTTTTTCATTGTGTATAACGTATCCTGATATCAAAAGGTGATGTACATATAAGCAGGACCGGGTGGGGACTTTTTTGTCTAGGTTGAAAAAATCTACAGGGGGAGTACGTTCAACTTTTTTCGAACATTTTTTTCTGGGTGGGGATGAGGTCCTTTTGGGCTGGCAAAGTCTTTTTAAAATTTTTTTTTCCTAAATTTTATAATTTTTTATGTTTAAACCTTACTGCCAGCCGGCTTCTTCGAAATCAAAAACACCCTATATAATACAGTGAAACCTCTGTATCAGGTACGTCGTTTGGGGGGGGGGTGGTTCGGAGTGTTATAGAGCCCCCCCCTCTTCCCAGAAAAAAAATTGGACTGTGCCGAGTTTTTCGACCGTGTTACATTCACTGCCCACCAGGGCCGGGCGGGGACTTTTGGTCTACGGGCAGGGGTCCAAAAAAATCGGCGTAGGTAGCTACCTGTGCCGATTTTTTGCGAAATTTTTTTTCCGGATAGCCACAGGGGGGACCACGTTCAACTTTTTTCCAAAATTTTTTTCTGGGGGATACCCCCTCTCCCGTCCCACTGCCCACCTATAGCTATATGATTATATAAACAAGGTTGTAGCATCATTATCTTCCTTTTTCCAATCAAAAACCTTCTTTATGACTAAACAACAAGCCGAGTTGGCTTGAGGTGCTAGACAAATTGAATTCTCTCGACCTTTTGGCATTAAATCTTTCTTTTCGATTCCAGAACCGATCCAAATGCCTTCAGGCTTGGTTGAAGGGTTTGGAGGTTGAAAAAGTTGCATTTTGTTTTGGCATCTTGGACTAATTTTTAATTTTTTTTGATTTTTGGAGCGGGCTGTGGCGCAGTGTAACCTTGTATGAAGGTAGGGCCGGGCAGGGACTTTTGGTCTAATGGGGGGTCGAAAAAAATCCACAGGGGAGGGGCGGAACACGTTCAACTTTTTTTCTAAAATTTTTTTTGGTGGGGTAAAAATTTTTTTTATTTTTACTGTATTTGTGATTAAAGTTGGGCTTGTTTACTTTTTTTAAAAATGCAAATTTTTAGTTTTCCGACGATACCAACTTTTATTTTTTGTTTATATGCTTTTAAAGGACGTATTTTCCTTCTTCGAAGCTCAAGAATGCCAAAAGTACAGAGTGCGCCAAAAGTTCTGTTACAAAACTGATTAAAAAACCGTGTAACAGAACTTTTGGCGCAACATTGTAACAGCACTTTTGGTGCATCGTTATAACAGAACTTTTGGCGCACCATAAAGCAAAAAAAATTTTTTTCAAATACAGCCTTACAATACCTATCTACCTTGTTATCATACATTATCTTCTTTGTTATTCCCTGCTTCTTCTTTCCACTTTCCTCCCCTTTAACCCCTTTCCGTGCCCTTTCTGCCCCCTCCCTCCCCCTTCTCCATAACTCCCCCCCCTTCCCCGGCATTCGTTTTGTTTCAAGACTAAAACGCAATCGCTGAATAGCGAAGGGGGGGGGGGGGGCAAAGACAAGAAGGGATCAAAATGCCCTCCGGGTTTGTTTAATCCGAAACGATTCGGGACCGGGTTTCTGGCCATGCCGCGGGGAGAACAATCGCTTCGGATCGGTGCAGAGGGGAGAGAGAGAGGCTGGGCCGAGACGTCTGTTTCGGCCCAGCCTCAACCCGAGGCTTTTATTCTTCGACCTCGGTCGCTCCGCCACCCCACCTCACATTAGGAGAAGCGGAATACCGGTCGCTTCGGGGTTCTGATGGTAGGGTGGTGGTTTTGGATGTAGAAGGCTAGTTTTGCTTAGTGAAGCTTGACGGCTAGGCTAGGCTACCTCTGGGCTTAGGCTTGATATAAGGCTGAGGTTGAAGTTGAGCTTAAGCTACATTTAGGCTGGACTGAAGCTGGATTTTAGCTGGATTTAATCTGGACTGATGTTAGACTGCGCTGGTGCTGAATGTAAGCTAAGGCTAGTTTGAGACCAGGTTGAAGCTAAGATAAGGTTAGCTCAAATATAGGCTCAGGCTGAGCTGGGTCTGAACTGAGGCTGAACTGAGCCTGAACTGAGGTTGAACTGAGGCTGAGACTAAGCTGGGGCTAGGCTAGGCTGAGGCTAGGGCTGAAGCTAGGGCTGCGGCTAGGCTGAGGCTGGGCTGGGCTGAGGCTATGCTGCGCTTGGCCTGGTTAAATTAGGTTTGGTTGAGTTGACTTGGCTTGGCTTGCCTTTTATTAGCTTGGGCTGGGCAGGATTAGGCTTGGCTTGGCTTGACGTGGCTTGGCTTGACTTGGATTGGCTTTGTTAGAGGATAGGCTGAAGCTAGGCTGAGGCTAGGCTGAGGCTAGGCTGAGGCTAGGCTGAGGCTAGGCTGAGGCTAGGCTGAGGCTAGGCTGAGGCTAGGCTGAGGCTAGGGCTGAGGCTGGGCTGAGCTGGGCTGAGCTGGGCTGGGCTGGGCTGGGCTGAGGCTGGACTGCGCCTAGCCTGGTATTAATTTAGGCTTGGTTGAGTTGACTTGGCTTGGCTTTGCTTGTCTTTTATTAGTTTGGGCTGGGCAGGATTGGGCTTGGCTTGGCTTGACGTGGCTTGGCTTGACTTGGATTGGCTTTGTTAGGCTGGATTGGGCTGGCCCAAAAAAATTTTTAAAGGACCGTGCCGGAAGATGTTGGTCTAAGAGTGTTTGAAATTGACTGCGCCACGCCAAAAATTAGCCTTGGCCCGGCCCCTTTACCCGTCTATTTTAACCGACTGATATGCCTCTTTATGTTAGACGTTCGATTGATTTCGTTCTTTTTTGCATACAGTTGAATATGTCTTTCGTTTTTATGCGTACAGTCGATTTTGGCCTCCATTTTTGCGTGGCCAAATCAGCTCCGGCTACTCGGGTGTGGCGAGGTCGCACCGGCTGACATTTCGCACTCTCTGGCGAGGACAGTCCACAAAAGAGCGAGGTTGATAAAGCGGGCGGCACGGTCCGACAGGTCCTGAAATGAGTTTTTGGTTTTTGATTTTTATATTCAGGGCTTTAATATTGTGGAACTCTTGTATAACAAACTCTTAGGCTTAGTTTTAGTCTTAATAGGCTTAGGCTTAGTAGACTTAACCTTAGTAGGCTTAGACTTAATAGGCTTAGGCTTAGTCTTAGGCTTAGGCTTAGACTTAGGCTTAGCTTAGGCTTAGCTTAGGCTTAGGCTTAGGCTTAGGCTTAGGCTTAGGCTTAGGCTTAGGCTTAGGCTTAGGCTTAGGCTTAGGCTTAGGCTTAGGCTTAGACTTAGGTTTAGGCTTAGGCTTAAGCTTTGGTTTTGGCTTAGTTCTGATCCTGGGCTTGTCTCTTGGCTTAAATAGGGGCTCGGGCCTAGTAGGCTAACAATTAGGTTTAAGTTCACGTTTAGGTGTAGCCTTAAGCTTACATTGTTAGGCTTAATTTTAGAAGTATGTTTAAGTTTAAAAAATTATTTTAATTAAAAATAGCAAAAACTTTCTTTACAAACTAAGAAATGGCAAGAACTTTCTTTACAAATAAAAAAAACGTTTTACAATCTGTTTTCTCTGGTCACACTTTTCTTTTGCCATGTTTTCTCATACTTCTCTTACCCTCCATCTCTCATCTCATACTCTCTTCTCCGCCCATGCTTCCTTAAATTAAACAGGCCGTATTTTAGCACCTCCTTTAAAATGTTTAAATCCAGTCATTGGCCCAGACCGTCTATTTATGGGCCTAATTCCCCCCTAATCCTCGAATGAAACTTGTTGCAAAGACGGGGGTGTACGGTAGGGCAGGGGCCGGTTTGTTTATGTCTCCAGATCATTACAACGCACTTTTAGTGGCTTTAGGGTGGGACAGGAATTGGGGGAAAAATAGTTTTTTGAGCAGAAAATTGTTGCAAAATTTGATTTTTTGGGGTGATTTTTTTGGATTTCGAATGAAAATTTCAAAATTAAAATTTTTTTTTAAATTTAAAATTTTTTTTGAATTTAAAATTTTTTTTTTTATTTATGAAAATTAAAAATTTTTTTTGAATTTTTAAATAAAATTTTTTTTTGTTTTAAAATTTTTTACGGGGAAACAAAAGGTTAGAAAAAGGCTTAATTCAGTTTTTAAGCCTAGAAAAAAATTTTTTAAAGTTTTAATGTTAAGTTTAGGGAAAAAACGTCTAAAAAACAAAAAATTTTATGTTTTAGGCTGAGAAAAGGCCTTACAATCAATTTTAAATTGTCTAAAAGTTGGGTTTTCAAAATGATTTTTTGAAATTTTTTGAGATTTAAAAATTTTTTAAAATTTAAATTTTTTTTGAAATTTTAAAATTTTTCGCTAAGAAAAGTTTAAAAAAGGCTTAATTTTACTTTTTATGCCTAAGGCATTTCTTTAAAATCTTTTTTCTTAGACTTAAGGGCTAAAAAAAGGTCCAAAAAAGTGCAAAAAAAGGCAACAAATTTGATTTTTTAGGCTTAGAAATGGCCTCAAAGTCAATTTCAAATTGCTTAAAAACTAGGCATGAGGCACGGGCCGGGTCTAAAAATTGGACACGGCACGGGCCGTTCCTCTTGTCTAATACAAGCAAAAAAACGTTATACAGGAATTCGTTATACTGTAGTTTTACTGTATTAAAGTTACAGGCGATTTGCAATTGCTTGTAAGGCTATTTCTAAGCCTAAAACATCAATTTTTTGATGTTTTTTAGCCCTTGAAGCTAGAGGGGAAGGGGGGGGGGTGATTTTAATAACTCAAGTAAAAAAAATTTTTTTTTACTTTGAATGGTATATTGTCGTATGTTTTCTCCTTTCGTGATGACTATGACTGTAAGCACCACTGTAGCTACATTACACAGTAAATAATGTAAAGTAAATAAAGTAATGTAACATTTTCAGAAAAAGGCAGGGAGCAACGGGTGCTTCGATAAAAATCCCGACCAGTTTTGCGAACAACCGACCGGCAGGGCGCGACCTCGCTGAAGTGAACAGGCCGCGCCATGACGAGGCGTCGGCGGTCCGGCCGCATTTTATGGCCCGTTATCGGCGCGATCCTGCTATTTGTTGTTGTTGAGCAGACCCAATCGGTGAGTTGTTTTATAATTTGTGGCTAGATTTGTAAAGGCACGGGGCCGTTTTTTGGCCCAGTCGTTTTGAAATTGCGTAGGCCTGGCTTGACGGGAAACCTTGACAAGATGATGCTGAGACTGAGGCTGAACTAAGGCCGGGTTAAGGCTAAGTTTAAGGCTAAGGCTAAAGCTAAGGCTGAACTGAGGTTGGGCTGAGACCGGACTAAGACTAAGCTAAATTTAAAGCTGAGGCTTGGCTCAGGCTGGGCTGAAACTGGAGCTGAGGCTGAGTTAAGGATGAGTTGAGGCTGGGCTGTCGCTGGGCTGAGGCTCTGTTGAGGTTGAACCGTGGCTGGGCTCGAAGCAAGTCTTGGCGCTTTTGACTCTGTGATACAACGTGCAAAAGCGACAAGACTTTTTTGTCGCTCTGTCTATAGTGAAAGCATAACAAATCTCTAGAAAATTCTAACTTCTTCAAAAATTTTTCGTTATATGGGGGTGTTTGTTATAAGAGAGATCGTTATACAGGAGTTCTGCTGTAGAAACATGCTTTTATGTTTTAAGGCGAAGTTTTAAGGCCATAGAAATACGATTTTTATATAAAAAAATGGCTGTTTTGGCGGTATTGCAAAGAAAAATGGCTTTAAATTATGTAAATCAATGCTGAGGCTGCTGGTGTTTTTGGCCACATTTCTGGCCTGATCAACCATGTAAAAAAGTGTAGCAAAACTTCTGAATAACGAACAAATTTGAAATTAATTTTTTATCCAAGGGTTGTATTTTACACTGTGTAGCATTAGCCAGAGATTTAAAAGTTGTTTGTTATACTGGAGTTTTGTTATACAAATCATACTGTATTATCACAAACTTTAACGAAATTTTAAAACACCATGCCAAAAAAAATTTTTGTGTTGCAAAAACTTTATTTGCGATTTTTCAAATTTTAATTTTTTATTTTTCTTGCTCCTTCGACCACATATTTACTTTTACAACCCCCCCCTCCCAATCGCATATTAACTTTTTGCCAACGGCTTTTTGTCAATAACCAGCCGGCTTTTATAAATATCCAAAAAAAATATATATTGCCGGAGGCGGTTGGTGTGCAATCAGCGAAAAGGTCATTAATTTCGGGACGTTCAAACTCTTGGGGCACATGAAAAAAGGCGAGGGATGAGTCACGACAGGTGGCCATCGTACCAGCATTCAGGTGTCGGGAAAAGCCAACTTTTTTCCCGTTTTTTTTTGCAGTTTGGAATCAGGAAGAAGTTTAAGGAAGACAAAAACTTCTGATTTAAAAAAAAATTTAAATTTTTAAAAATTTTTAATTTACTACATTAAAACTCTTGTATAACAAACAATAAAAGCTTAAAAACGCATTTTAATAGCTAAAATAATTTTGAAATTCACTTTTAATGATTACTACTAATATGAACTGTCATTTTTCACTATTTTTGAGCATTAAAACAGAATGCCAAAATTGGCGGGAAAAATCAAATTCAAAAACGCATTTTTAAAGGCTGAATTAACTTTGAAATTCACTTTTAATGATTACTACTAATATAAAATGTCATTTTTCACTATTTTTTGATCTTCAAAACAGAATGCCAAGATTGGCGTAAAAAATTAAATTCAAAAATAAAAACTGAAGATAAGCATTTTTAATGTCTAAAACAAGTGAGAAGTAGAGAATAGCTTATTAGGCCATCACTAATTCCGGCCAAACAAAGTTTAAAAGTAGCCGAGCCAGATCGCACAGGCCCAAAAGCCAAGCTTAACCCCAGTGGCTCCCAGTTTAGGTCTCGCAACGAAAGATTTACTTGTGAAAAATTCTAAATGAGATGTCAATACAATACATACTAAACAAAACTATTTTCAGCAAGCCACATGCCGAGACTGTACGCAACGAGGCTGTTTCTGTGTGGGAGAGAAGGGTTCTATGGTAAGTTTGTTACTCATTTTTTAAAAATTTAAACAAATTTTATATGAAATCCAAACAAAAATCAGAAATAAGCTTAAGCTTAGGCTTAGTAGGCTTAAAATTTTCTTTAATAAGCGTCTGTTCAACAAGATTTTTTCGGTCGAAAAATTTGAAGAAAGCCTTTGAACTGACCATTGGCCAGAGGTTAATGAAGACTGATTGGGCTGTCAAGTAGAATTTGATTTTTTACGTTTTTAGGTTGAGAATTTCAGTTTTACACTTTGAAATTTAATTTTAGGCTTATAAATTTTAATTTAGGGATATGAATTTAAGCTTATAATTTAGTTTTAGGCTAATAAATTCAATTTTATGCTTAAAAATTAATTTTAAGCCTTTACGTTTAGCTCTTAAAATTAATTTTTAGGCTTAGAACTTCAGTTTTAGACTTTAAAATGGATTTTAGGCTTAACAATTTAGCCTTAAGCCTAAAATTTAGATTTAGAATTAAAATTAATTTTTAGGCATAAAAATTTAGCTTTTTTAGGCTTAAAAGTGGTTTTCAGGCTTAGAATTTCGATTTTAGGTTTAAAAATTCAATTTTATGCTTAAAAATTAATTTTAAGCCTTTACGTTTAGCTCTTAAAATTAATTTTTAGGCTTAAAAATTTAGCTTTAGGCTTAAAATTGATTTTCAATTTAGAATTTCAATTTTAGGCTTAACAATTATTGCTTAAGTTCAAAAATAGATGTTAAGCCTAAAAATGATGTTTTTTTGTTTTTAGGCCTAGCAGTTAAATTATAGGTTTATAAACTTCGGTTTAGGCTTAAAAATTCAATTTTAGGCTTAACAATCGAACTAAATTTTCATTTTTTGTTTAAAATTTTAAGAAATTTAAAAAATTATTCAAATTCGCATTTTCCAGGGAACACCTGGACCCCAAGGTCCACCTGGAGCACCCGGAACTCGCGGCTTCCCCGGACCCGAAGGTCTGCAAGGGCCCAAAGGTCAGAAGGGCGCACAAGGACCACCTGGACCACAAGGAATCAAAGGAGACCGAGGACCGGTTGGTGTACCCGGCTTCCCCGGCAATGATGGTGCATCTGGTCGACCCGGAGAGCCTGGACCACCCGGTCAACCCGGTTGGGACGGATGTAATGGTACCGACGGTCTAGCTGGTCTACCTGGACCGGCTGGTGCACCCGGTTTGCCTGGATTCCCTGGTACGCCTGGATTGCCTGGCGCTAAGGGAGAACCGGCTATTGGCTATGCTGGAGCGCCTGGAGAGAAGGTAGGTTGCGCGGGCTGCGGGGGACATGTTATACGAAGGAATGTGTTTTTGGACTTTTTGGGTTTGTAAAGAAAGTTTTTGCCATTTTTTGTTTTGTAAAGAAAGTTCTTGCCATTTCATAATTTTAAAAATTTCAGGGAGACGGCGGTATGCCAGGTATGCCCGGCTTGCCCGGAGCCCCGGGCCGCGACGGAATGCCCGGTGATAAGGGAGATCGTGGTGACTCGGGACCACCGGGACCACGAGGACCACCTGGAGAGCAAGGTCTGCCCGGAAACCCTGGAATCGGATCGATTGGACCAAAAGGAGACCCTGTACGTTTAACTTTGTCATATTTTTGCATTACACACCCCACAATCGACCGGTCGATTCCTTTGACACCACTATTGCAAAAACTTTCGTTCCACTTGGGTTACACTTGCAAAAACTTTAGTTCCAATCACGGAAAATGGAAAAATATTTTATTTTTTAAATTGTTTTAAATTTGCATAATTTTTAAGTTTTCATCATAAAATTGCACTGTGCAAGGTAATGTTATGGAAAACGCAATAACTTTGTTTCCACCAAACAAAAAAATTTTTTATGGTAACAGTGAAACATCACGCCACATATTTTGCAAAAACTTTTTTTCCAACACCTACATTGATCAAAATTCACTTAAAACGCAAAAACTTTATTTCCACTCTGCACCGTGCAAGACAAAATTGCAAATTACGCAATAACTTTGTTTCCACTGAAGCAAATACAACTTTTTTGGTCATAATAAAAGACCGCGTCACTGATCATGCAAAAATTTTGTTTCCAACACCAACATTAGCCAAAATCCACATAAAACGCAAAAACTTTATTTCCATTCCGCACCGTGCAAAACAACCACCTATCAAGCAAAAACTTTGTTTCCACGCACAATGCAAAAACTTTCGTTCCACCGCACACTTTCTGTCAAATTTTTGGACTAATTTTGCGTCCCCGCGACCAATTTGTAGGGCGATTTGGGACAGCCTGGACCACCGGGACCACCTGGACCGCGCGAATTCACCGGCTCCGGCTCGATTGTGGGGCCGCCTGGCCGCGAGGGCGAGAAAGGTGCCAAGGTAATGTGGTTTTTATTGTTTTAGGGAGATTACGGTCCACAAGGGCCACCCGGTCCACCCGGACCAGTACCATCGACCGGTGCCAAAGGCGTCATTGTTGGGCCTGAGGGCGCGCCTGGCGAGAAAGGAGAGAAGGTTGGATTCATAATTTATCTACCCCATACCCCATACCTCTACCCCTATCCCTACCCCTATTCAAGCCCTACCGATGTAACATGCCCTGCCCCACAGTAGACCTACCGTAATCCTACTCTGAGTTACGGTAATGCCAGGTTTTTTGTCTCACCCCTACCCCTACCATATGATTGTCATACCCTACTGATATAGCGTACTCTGCCCTCCCATACCTTACCTACAGTATGCTTATCGTAACCGTACTCTGAGTTACGGTAATGCTATCTCCCCCCCCCCTCCTCTGCCTCTACTCTAGCCTACAATAGTCTCGAGCTACCGTAACCCTATCTTACCTTACCCTACACTTATGTTAATCTTCTACATTACTATGTTATATGTATGTACATGTATATCTACTATGTAACGCCACCTAATACAAGTCTTATAGGGAGAACCTGGAGATGCTGGAGCCCGCGGTTACCCGGGTATGGGTGGCCTTCCCGGTCAGCCGGGTTTCCCCGGAATGAAGGGAGAGAAGGGTCTGCCTGGACCTGCTGGACCTAGAGTAAGTTGTCATAACTAAAGCTTCAAAAATATGGTATCATTAGTACCAACAGTACTATTTTTATTATTTTTATAATATTTTTTTTTAATTTTTGAAAAAAATAATGTTTTATGTGGTGGTACCACTAGTACCATTTGTACCAATAGTATCAACAGTACTATTTCAAAAATATGGTACCATTAGTACCAGCAGTACCATTTTTATAATATTTTTTTTTTATTTTTGTAAAAATAAGGTTTTTATGTTGTGGTACCACTAGTACCACTAGTACCAACTGTGCCAACGGTACCAGTAGTACCATTTTCAAATTTAAAAAATATTTCTAATTTTTAAATGTACTTTTACAAAATTAAAAAAAAATTATTTTTGGTACTATTAGTACCATTAGTACCAAAACTAGTACCACTAGTACCAAAATCACTACCACTAATACCAAAGCCAGTACCACCAAGTACCATTTATCAAAATTTCCATTTTAGGGTAAAGAAGGTCGTGGCGGCCTGCCCGGACCCCCAGGCTTCAAAGGAGACCGTGGTGTAGACGGCCTACCTGGTATTCCCGGAGCCATCGGACCGAAGGGAGATCAAGGCTTCCCCGGACGTGACGGACCCAAGGGAGAACGTGGACCACCTGGATTGCCAGGAGGCGGCGAATTCTCCGACGGACCACCCGGACCACCTGGATTGCCTGGTATGAAAGTTTTTGGCTAGCCTAGCTTAATTTTTTGATTTTTTGGTTTGTAAAGAAAGTTTTGGTCATTTTTTGGTTTGGAAAGAAAGTTCTTGCCATCTTTGCTTTTGTAAACAAAGTTTCTTCTAGGACGCCACGGTAACCCCGGACCACCAGGAAACGATGGCTACCCAGGCCAACCTGGGCCACCAGGTCCACCCGGCTTATCCGGCGGCCCTGGACTACCTGGATTGCCCGGACTAGAAGGTCTGGCCGGACCAAAGGGAGACAAGGGAGATGGCGGCATTCCTGGTGCACCTGGAGTACCTGGATCACCTGGAATTCCCGGTCCACTTGGCCCCAAAGGTGAACCTGGATTACGTGGTACTCCGGGCCAAAGCATCCCCGGACTGCCTGGAAAAGATGGCCGACCTGGACTGGATGGAATGCCTGGACGCAAGGGAGAAATGGGACTGTCTGGACTACGTGGACCACCTGGAGACTCGTTGAATGGTCTGCCTGGACCACCAGGACCACGTGGTGTTCCCGGACCAAAGGGTTACGATGGACGTGATGGGGCACCTGGCTTGCCTGGACTACCTGGTCATAAGGGTGACCGTGGTGGTACCTGTTCCCAATGTGCCCCAGGCGCTAAGGGCGAGAAAGGTCAGGGCGGCTACCCTGGCATACCTGGACCACAAGGCGAACGTGGATTGCCTGGTATTCCTGGCGCACCCGGAGACTCCGGTGATGATGGACTACCTGGACCACCTGGACAAACTGGACCACCTGGACCATCTGGCAAAGATGGACTACCTGGAATGCCTGGACAGAAGGGTGAACCAACCCAGCTGGTACTTCGACCTGGACCACCTGGCTACCCTGGAATGAAGGGAGAGCCTGGATTCCCTGGACAACCTGGACTACCTGGAGTCGAAGGCAAAGATGGTGTACCTGGTGCACCTGGGCTACCTGGACCGGCTGGGATTAAGGTAAGTTTTTGGGCTAGAAAAAGTTACAGTAACCAAAGATTTTTCGGTACCATTAGTCCCAAGTGTACCATTTTCACAAAAATTTTTAAAATTTTAGGGCGAGCCTGGACTACCTGGAATCCCCGGCAAACCCGGCTCAGATGGCCTCCCCGGTATGCCTGGACTGAAAGGAGACGCTGGCTATGGTCAACCCGGACTACCCGGTCTGCCTGGACCAAAAGGAGATTCCGGCTATCCTGGACCACCTGGAATAGAAGGACCACCAGGACCAATGGGACCACCACCACCACAAGACCTGCTTCAGCCTGGAGAACCGGGACAGCCTGGATTGCCTGGACTGCCTGGAACGAAGGGTGAGCCTGGATTCCCCGGTGGAAATGGAGAGCCTGGACTGCCTGGATCACCTGGATTCCCTGGAGCTAAGGGCGAACCTGGTAAGGCTGGTTTTCGGGGAATTTTTGGCTGTAAAAAAAAGTTCTTGCGGTTTTTAAAAAAATTAAAATTTTTTAAAATTTTTGTAAAGAAAGTTTCTGCACTTTAAAAAAAAGCGGACCGTTTCACAAATTTTCAAAAAATATTGTTATAGGTATGCCTGGACTACCTGGAGCCGACGGTCTACCCGGAATTCCTGGCGAAAAAGGATTTGGCGGCCAAAATGGCCTACCTGGACTACCTGGAGCCAAGGGAGATGGTGGACTACCTGGACTGCCCGGAGCACCTGGAGAGAAAGGAGAACCAGGACAAACCATTCCTGGCACACCTGGAGCACCCGGCTTCCCCGGACTGAAAGGTGAAGCTGGATTACCTGGACTACCTGGTCATCCCGGAGCCGAAGGTCTACGTGGTACACCTGGTATACCTGGAGAGAAAGGCTTGCCCGGACTAAACGGTCCACCTGGAGCACCTGGATTCCCTGGACTGAAGGGTGAGCCCGGATTTCCCGGAATTCCTGGAAAAGAGGGACCACAAGGACCAGTTGGACCACCTGGAGTGCCCGGTATTCCCGGAGAGAAGGGCGACGGTGGATTGCCTGGACTGCCTGGAGTTGAGGGTCAGAAGGGTGAGGGCGGCTTCCCTGGCGCACCTGGGCAAGACGGCTTGCCTGGACTACCTGGACCAATCGGACCGAAAGGAAACGCTGGCTATCCTGGAGTGCCTGGAGCTAAAGGCGACGCTGGCTTCCCTGGACAACCCGGCCTAGCCGGAGAACGTGGAAACGATGGTATGCCTGGACTACCTGGTATCCCAGGAGAGAAGGGTGCACCCGGCTTCCCAGGCCAGCCTGGACCAGAAGGATTATCTGGTGCACCAGGACCACAAGGTGAAGCTGGACTACCTGGACTGCCCGGACAAAAGGGAGAACATGGACTGCCTGGACGTGAAGGACCAAAAGGAAATGGTGGACTACCTGGCCCACCTGGACTTAATGGTCCTGTTGGTCAGCCTGGCTTGCCTGGATTCCCTGGAACGAAGGGAGATGCTGGTACACCTGGCTATGGATTGCCTGGATTGCCTGGAGAGAAGGGACTGCCTGGAATTCCTGGAAAGCCCGGAAGAGAAGGACCAGTCGGACCACTTGGATTGGAAGGCCCACCTGGATTCCCTGGACAAAAGGGCGATGGAGTAGGTTTATGCTTTTTTTTAGGCTTAGCCAATCAGTTTTTTGGCTAAAAAATTGAGTTTTAGGCTAAATGGCTCACTAATAAACCAAATTTTAGGGCCTACCTGGCTTACCAGGCCAACCCGGAGAAGCCGGCCTACCAGGCCTACCCGGACCAAAGGGTCAAGCTGGTTTACCTGGATCACCTGGCCTCCCAGGAGGACCAGGCAAAGACGGTCAACCTGGAGCACCTGGATTCCCTGGAGAAAAAGGCCAAAGTGGACTACCTGGACTGCCTGGAGAACGTGGTGTAGATGGATACCCCGGCCAAAAGGGAGATGCTGGACTACCTGGCCAGTCTGGTCTACCTGGACTGCCTGGAGAAGTGGGACAGCCCGGCGTACCTGGCTTCCCTGGTATTAAGGGTGACGCTGGACTGCCTGGTCTTAACGGTCAGCCTGGATTCCCTGGAGAGAAAGGAGACTCTGGCTATCCTGGAGCCCCGGGACAAGATGGACTACCTGGATTGCCTGGAGCTAAAGGAGAAAGTGGACTGCCTGGACCGAATGGACCACCTGGAATTGGCTACCCCGGCGCCAAAGGAGAACCTGGACTACCTGGAATACCTGGCAAAGAAGGCGTACCTGGACTGCCTGGCTCTAAAGGAGAACAAGGACCAGCTGGCTTCCCTGGTCAGCCCGGCTTGAAGGGCGAGTCTGGCCCAACTGGCTTCCCTGGACTGAAAGGAGAGCCTGGAATGCCTGGAATACCTGGAAAGCGAGGAGAAGATGGACCAGCTGGACCACCTGGAGTGCCCGGATTCCCCGGAGCTAAGGGTGAACAATGCGAGCCTGGACTGCCTGGTCAGCCTGGTCAAAGTGGATTACCTGGACTGCCTGGCGCTAAAGGTAAGGATTGGGGCTTAGGCTTACACTTGGCTACTTGTTAAACTTAGGCTAAAAAGCTAATAAACCCAATTTTCAGGTGAACTAGGCCTACCTGGCTTCCCCGGAGCCAAAGGAGACGCCGGCTTCAACGGTGCACCAGGTCAACCTGGCCTTCCTGGACCAAAAGGAGACGCTGGACTACCTGGACTGCCCGGTCCCGAAGGTATGCCTGGACTAGAAGGACCACCCGGACAGCCCGGTCAACCTGGACCATCACCACTCACTCAGCCTGGTCAGAAGGGTATGCCTGGACCACCCGGTCCACCTGGACTACGTGGAGAAAAGGGCTCACCTGGCTTGGATGGACCTCCTGGACTACAAGGTGTACCAGGTCTGCCTGGTGCTAAGGGTGAGCCTGGCTATCCTGGATCACCTGGTTTGAAGGGTGAACTTGGTCAGCCTGGTCTACCTGGATTCCCTGGATTGGAAGGTCAACCTGGATTACCTGGTCCACCTGGTGCTTTGGGTCCACCTGGCCCACCTGGACCGGCCTATCGTGACGGTTTTGTGGTTGTTACCCATTCCCAGACCACTCAGGTACCACAATGCCCTCAGGGTACTCAGAAGTTGTGGGATGGCTACAGTATGCTGTACCTGGAGGGTAACGAAAAGGCCCACAGTCAAGACCTGGGCCACGCCGGCTCTTGCCTACCCCGCTTCAACACCATGCCCTTCCTGTTCTGCGACTTCAACGACGTGTGCAACTACGCCTCCCGCAACGACAAGTCGTACTGGCTGAGTACCGGCGCAGCACTACCGATGATGCCCGTAGCCGAGCAGGAGATCGAGCCCTACATCTCCAGATGCTCGGTCTGTGAAGCACCGGCCAACGTGATCGCCGTCCACTCCCAGTCCATCCAAATCCCCAACTGTCCGGCCGGCTGGAGCTCCCTCTGGATCGGCTACTCCTTCGCTATGCACACTGGAGCTGGTGCCGAGGGTGGAGGACAGTCGTTGAGTTCTCCTGGATCGTGTCTGGAAGACTTCAGAACCACACCGTTCATCGAATGTAATGGAGCCAGAGGCACGTGCCACTTCTTCGCCAACAAGTTCAGCTTCTGGCTGACTACCATCGATGACAACGATCAGTTTACTGTAGGTCTTTGTTATATAACAGTAAGGTGGGGGAAAAGTGGGAGATAAGGCGGGGTAGAGCAGTTATAGGTGTGGGGGCAGGGTAGCTACCGTTTTGACGTTATATGGGGGTAGGGTGTGGTATGGGGGTAGTGCATGAGAGTAGGGCATCAAGGCAGGGTATGGGGTTGGGGTGTGGGAGTAAGGTAGGGTAGGGTAAAAGGGTAAGGTATAGGGGTACGGTAGGGTATCGGGGTAAGGTATGGGGGTGGGGTATGGGGTAGGGTATGGGGTTGGGGTATGGAGGTAAGGTAGGGTATAGGGGTAAGGTGTGTGGGTAGGGTATGTGGGTAGGGTATGGGAGTACGGCATGGGTAGGGTATAACGTATAAATGTATTGTAGAGTATGGGGGTAGAGCGATGAGGGCCGAGTAGAGCATGGGTGTAGGCTAGGAAAGGTAGTTTTGGGTATGGGTTAGACTATGTAGCAGTGTCTAAAAGTAAGGGTACGGGTAAGGTATTGGGTAAAATTTGGGGATAGGGCATGGGGGTAGGGTAAGATAGGGTATTGGAGTAGGGTCTGAGGTACGATATGGGAGTACGGTATTGGGGCAGAGAAAGGTATGGAGTAAGGATAGTAGGGTAGGGCAGGGTAGGGTAGGGTACGGTAGGGTAGAGCAAAACTTAATTTTTTTTTCAAAAATTTTTAAATTTAAAATTTTTTCAGATCCCACAAAGCCAGACCGTGAAGGCAGGCAACTCGAGGTCGCGCGTCTCCAGATGCCAAGTTTGCATCAAGAACCGATGAACATTGTCATAAAATTGTCATCATGACATATTTTTTTGTCATCGTGACATATTTTTTGTCACCATAACATATTTTATGTCATCGTGGCATATTTTATGTCATCATGACATATTTTCTGTCATCATGACACATTTTATGTAATAATGACACATTTTATGTCAAAATGTCATCAAAAATGTCACAATGTCATCTAACTATTTCGATATCGTATTGTAATCTCATAGTTTGTAATTCTTAATTATTCCCCTGCCATTTCGACTACTTGCCAAGAATTATACTACTGCCTTCTCGTTTAATGCCATTTGTCGTTCTTTCATTAAGAAAAAACCGCTTTTTAGTTGTGAATCTTGCCATTTTTTAAGTCTTGTAACTCGATAATATTACTTTTTACCCCTTTTTTACGAATAAATACAATTTAAATAACATTCGGGGGTGTTTTTTAAAATTTTTGTTTTGTAAAGAAAGTTCTTGTCATTTTTTGTTTTGGAAAGAAAGTTCTAGACATTTTTTGTGTTGTAAAGAAAGTAATTGCCATTTTTTGCTTTGTAAAGAAAGTTTTTGCAAAAAAATTCAAAATTTACAAAATCCAAAAAGAAAATTTTTTGAAGAAATTGTAAAGAAAGTTAATTCCAAATCTTAAAAACTTTCAAAACCCATTTTACACCGCTGTAAACAAAGTTATTGCGGTTTTTTCAAACACAAGCAACAACCACTAATTTTGAAAAAACTGTAAAGAAAGTTCCTTCCAAAATTTAAAACTTTCAAAAACGTCATTGTAGGTCATTGTAAACAAAGTTATTGCCAAAAAAATTATTTCTGCACCGTGCAGCCATTTATCTTTCTTGCACAATGCGAAAGCTCGATCCCGTCCGATCTGGCAAGTTAAGCAACGGTGCACTTGATTATAAAAAGTTCGAGGAACACTGGGTGGAAACAAAGTTTTTGAGGGTTTTATGGTGCTGGAAAAAAGTTTTTGCCATTTTTCGTTTTGTGAAGAAAGTTCTTGCCATTTTTCAAAATTTTCAAAATATTTTTAATCAAAACGATTATTAAACTATAAATCATAACCAAAGTAGCCGTTGCTTTGCAGAAATTTGTTAAATTATGAATAATATTGTCGCTTCCACCCACGCCGAATCAGAAGAACGGCCGTCTTCCGGCCGTTCTTCGATTAGTCGAGAATGTGGTCTCAAAACCTAGCCGTTCTGGCCTTTTTAGGCCTAATTTCCATCGTTTTTGGGATTTTGGATGGAGATCCGGTGGAATGGGCGAGGCATGGGTATTTGGTCAAGGTAAGGTTGACTTTTAAAGTTTTTTAAAAATTTTAAAAAAATTTTGATTTTTGGTTGTTTGGCTAAAAATAGCAAGAACTTTCTTTACAAAACAAAAAATGGCAAAAACTTTCTTTACAAAACAACAAATGGCAAGAACTTTCTTTACAAATTAAAAAAATGCCTTTTGTCGTATAACATGTCACCCACAGGCTGCAAAACGTAAAATTTGACGAAAACGATACGGCGTATTTTATAAAAAGCATCATATCACAAATTGTGTGCCTTTACCCAAGAGTTACATAATTTTATTTAATGATATAACCACATAGCCTTAGGTAAATTGTAAGAAACCGTATTACGCAACCTTTTCTTACGTAATATGCGCAACTTTTGTAATATTTGCCTCGATGTAAAACGACCCAACAAATTACTGCGGGTATAAGAATTTTACTGCTTTTAAGCCAACGCAACATTTTGAAAAAAAATTGGCAAGAACTTTCTTTACATAACAAAGAATGGCAAAAACTTTCTTTACAAAACGAAAAATGGCAAGAACTTTCTTTACAAACTCAAATTTCACAAAAATATCTCTTTTTCATTTCAAAATTTTGAAATTTTAGGTAATTGGCAAAGCCGCAAATGGCAAAGGTAAAGCGTGTACTGGAGCCATAATCTCCGGGAACTTCATTCTAACTTCACCTGAGTGCGTTTGGGATCCAGAAATTGAGCAAAAGTATGTAAATGCAACTCAAGACCCAGCTCAACGTATTTTAGAGCAATTTTTTTAAAGTGGAAATTTGGTGGACGTTTTATAATATAATTTGCACTAAAATCTTCCACCAAACTTCCATCTCTAAAAAGTGTTAAAACGTTGATTTTTGACCAAAATAAGCATTTTTAGAAATGGAATTAATGTGGAAGATTTCCAGTGTATTTTGCACTGAAAATCTTCCACTTGACTTCCACTTTCTTAAAAAGCCGTAATTTCTTCATTTAAACTGAAAAAGTATAAATGGTAGATAAAGGACACGTATTTTACATTAAAACTTCATTTTTTACTTTTAGCATTGAAGAATTTGCCATTTTGACATCTCTGCGAACTTACAGTAGACGTCTGATGGGTCTTTTGCTTATGAAAACGGAAAAATGGGCGGTGCTTCGGATCAAGGAGATCGACAGCAGTGTTGTAGGTGTTTACCACCTCATTTTTACAATTTTTCATTTTTATCCACCCCCAAAACTTTTGTTTCCAAAATTTTTTTGGAAAAATTAATTTACTCGGCCCATTTTTTTTACTTTTTACCCTGCCCTATTTTTTTTTGCATTTTTTACCCCGCCTGGTTCTTTAAATTTTGTTTAGCCTTCATTTAAAAAATTTTACATGCCCAACCTCAAAAAATTTTTTCAAAATTTACCCCGCCCGAATTTTTTTAGTTCTTACTTTGCTCAATAGTTTGAAACTTTATTTAATCCTAAGTTTAAAAATTTTACATCACCGCCACTTCCAAAAAAATTTTCAAAATTTACCCCGCCTGACTTTTTTTTAATTTTTCCATTTAAACCTGCCAACTTACCCATATTTTTGCCCTACCCATATTTTTACCCTCGTCCATGTTTTTACCCCGCCTTGATTTTTACCCCGCCCGGATTTTTACCCTGCCCGGATTTTTACCCCGAGTTAATTTTCACCCCACCCGGATTTTTTTCCCTGCCTGGATTTTTATCCCGCCCATATTTTTACCATGCCCAAACTTCAGCTATGCCCACCACCCCCACAACCGCCACGTGTTCTTCGTATGAACATTGTCCCTTCCTTGACAAAACAAGTCATGATCGATGTCACCGAAAATGACATATTATACAGTAAATGCTACCTGCTTGGCTTCAAAACTGAAGATCGTGAGTTTACCTTACAAATTTGAAATTTTATTTTAAATTTAAAATTTTTAGCTGACAAATTCTACGGCCAAAAGAAGGTTTATCGTTTGGACTTGAATCCTCTGAAGGAACCACGCTACGGTGAAGACTTGTACCACAGTAAAATCGACGATGGTTTTACTGCTTGTTACGTAAGTTATACCCTACCCAACTCAGCCTACTCTACCATACCCTACCCTACCCTACCGCCTACACCCATGCTCTACTCGGCCCTCATCGCTCTACCCCCATACTCTACAATACATTTATACGTTATACCCTACCCATGCCGTACTCCCATACCCTACCCACATACCCTACCCACACACCTTACCCCTATACCCTACCCTACCTTACCTCCATACCCCAACCCCATACCCTACCGTAACTTACCCCACCCTACCCGAACTTACCCTACTCTACCGTAACTTACCCTACCCTACCGTAACTTACCCTACCCTACCCGAACTTACCCTACTCTACCGTAACTTACCCTACCCCAAAATTGCCTCCTTTTAAAACATCATTGCATCTGCCATACCCAAATAAAACACCTCCAAGCACACCATACCCTAAAGCCTTACCATGCCGTACAATTCCAGGAAGACGTCGGTTCTCCATTGATCTGTAACACCTTGGAAAAGGGTACCATGGTAGTGGGACTCTTCAAAAGCCTGAACCACCTTGTTCCCGACAATGCTACTGAATTAACCACTCCCGAATCCACGATTGAAGCCGCCTGTAGCAATGCCTACGAGATGAACTTTGACTTCATCGTGAATGACGAACGCTTCTTGAAGTTGATCGAAGATCACGGTATCTCATCCTATGTCAATGCCTACAAGGCTTGTGGCTTCATGAACAGTGACGATGAAGCTTGAGGTTCTGAAATTTAAAAAAATTTGCCATAATAAACTGAGATTGTGAATTTTTGATAAAAATTTGAAAAAAAAATCATTTTTTATTTTGTAAAGAAAGTTATTGCGTTTTTTTCAAAATCAACGAAAAATGACCATTTTTTAAAAAAATTTAAAAAAAAACCCGTTGAAAAGACAATTCTCAATTTTTTCGAGCATTAAAATTTTCTTTTCAGCCTCTTAATTTTAATAAAAATAATTTGAAATTCAACTTTTACCGCTTTTTCTTTTCCGCCCTTCAATTTGTTCTCTTTCGGGCGGAAAAAAGCGCTCTTTTCCTAATTTCTCAATTTCTCTAAGCCTTTCGTCTTTTGCTTTTTCGGCCTCTCTGGTCCGCATTGCTTTTCGCACTCTCTTGGGCCACTTCTTTTTTGCTCCTTTCGTCCTTTTCTTTTCCGCCTTTCAATTTGTTCTCTTTCGGCCGAAAAAAAAGCGCTCTTTTCCTAATTTCTCAATTTCTCTAACCATTTCGCCTTTTGCTTTTATTGTCTCTTCGTTTCGCATTACTTTGCCCGCTCTCTCACACCCTTCGTCTTTGTTTGGCCGAAAAAGCGCTCTTTTCACCTCTCTTTCCTCCATTTATCCGCTTCCAAAGCTCCTTGCTCCCGCCGCACGAATAGTGCAGGCGGTAAGTGGCCGGTGGAACGCGTCAACGGCGAGAGTTCGAATCCAGGTGCCCTCTCAAGTGCCGTTGGACCGTTGATAACGCTGAACACTGATTTGATTGAAGAGTATCGCCTTTGTAAGGGTGCCCCATAGTGGAGGGATTAAAGATACGAAACGTCAGTCAAGACGCTAACTTGATATCAACCTAGACCGAGGTCTCCCACGGGAGAACACCAACGTCTAGTACGCACTATAAACATCTGAAATACGATGGAGTTGCGGAGAATGTGTAAATGACGTCCAAAAATCTTCAATGGTTCTGCAAATAACCCATTGAGGCTTGCAGTTTTTCATTTTTGGGTTTAAGTTTGTGAAATTGGGCGGGGTAAATAATATAAAATGATAAAACATGTTTTGCAAACATATTATACTACAAAACTTTTGCACAGAAACCTCATTTTTACATCTCAAAATGACATTTTACATTGTTTTAGGCAAAAAAGCCAGTTCAACTTCGAGTTTCAAAAAAATTTTTATTAAAACAGTGCCTAACTTTTATTATAACTCTTAGACTAGACATGAGGAACGGAACTGGCCGGGCCGAATTTTTTACGTGCAAACGAGCCGTGACGAACTTTTGTTACGTGCAAACAAGCCAGATTTATTTTTTGGGCCGGGCCTGAATTTTAACTTCGGCCTGTTTTTCATTTTGCTCAGGTCTGGCACGATCAAAAAATTGTTAGATCCGGCCCGATCTTAAAAAAAATTTAGCCCCGGACCTGAATTTAAGGCCCGGCCTGTTTGTTATATTGCTCAAGTCCTTCCCCTTCCCCATGTGTACATATTATACTAAACTTGTCCCATTCTAGCTCATCTTTCACTTTTTACTCCCCTTATCTTGAATAATTTCGCCTTTTTACTCCAGCTTATCATGAATAACATCCTTAACTCAAAAATTAGCTCCATCCTTCCCTTCTACCCCATATTAAATTCTAATAATAATAAATACACCAAAAGTTCCACCCTTTCTAATCCATACAATTTATTTTCCAACTATAAAGTACACTTGTCGAGCCTACATTGGTGGCAGTTCGGGGAAGGTGAACACCTTTAGTGGGGTTTTGGTGTTGTACAACTCCTTCTCGTCGAACTGGCCCTTGATCAGGGGTGGGGATCTCAGTGGGAGTGGGGGTGAGGCGATGTCGCCGTACCTCTCCTCGAAGAACTTCATGAACGAGCGCAGTTTGGACAGTCTTCCGCCCATCAGCTCGAACTCGGTCAGGCGGGTCACGCCGACGTCGGCTAGGGTGGGGTTGCCGGTCAGGATGTCGTTGGTGCCTTCCTGAAAGTTTTCCAAACCTTATTCTTCCATAAAACAGTTAAAAAACGACCATTCTCTACTATTCACCTAACCTCATAATATAATTTTCCCCAGAAAAGCTCAAAAATCAGGTCAAAAACGTCATTTAAACACTTGAACCCCCTAAATTCATGACAAACTCCTTTCGTACATCCTTTTAAATCCAACTTACAACATATTCCATCCATTCTGTCATCAGCGCATGCTGATTTTTGAAGATTTTTTGGAACAAATTGCAGCCAAGCCTATAGGTCTGGAACAGTGGATCTGGAAGACCGTGTCTCTTGTACAAAAATCCGAAGTTCTCATAACAATGGGCTTTGCGGTACATGAAGTCGATCAGTTCGCCTAGTTTGTAACAATGTGGTCCTACGAATTCGTAGGTCTTGCCGGCGGTCGTTGGATCGTTCACAACTCTGGCAATACCATTGGCAACGTCATTGACCTGGAACAGGAATGCTTATTACACTGTTTAGCTTTAAGCAAAGTTCTTGCCCTTTTAGATTTTTTAAAGAAAGTTCTAGCCATTTTTCGTACTAGAAAGACAGTTCATGCCATTTTACCATTATTAAAGAAGCTTCCTTCCAAAATAGGAAACTATTACCTAAAAACCAGCAAAAATAAAAAAAAAACTCACATAAACCGGCATTTTGTAAATATGTTCACCAGCCTTATACAAATAAACCGTGTCCAAAATGTTCTTGCGGTACCGAGACACATAATAGTTAATAAAACAGTCCATTTCACCGTAAGAAATCGCTGGTCGAATGATTGTGGCATCAGGAAACTCGTCACGAACAACCTGTTCTCCTTCGTATTTAGTTTTCAAAAAGTTTGAGCCGTTGCGAATCATTGCTGGAACTGGCTTGTCCGTGGCGTTCAGTGCTGATACATGGACAAGCTTCTCCACACCCATCTCGCGAGCAATTCGAGCAATACGACGAGCTCCTTTCACGTGAATATCGGCCATTTTGAAGCGCCTGAAAAGGAGATTTTATAAAGGGAATTTCCGATATAAAATAAGGGATGCGGTAAAATTACTGTAACTTTATATACAACGTAGATTTCAAAAAAGTTGTTTTAGCATAGCTGGCCAATAGAATAGTCTAAATCCCCAAAAAGTTTCAAGTATCTTCTTAGTTTCTAAAAAAGTTGTAACAAAAAGCAAAAATCACCTTTTCCTTAGTATACCTAAAACAATATCCCTCATAACTTCCGCCATCCTTCTTCAAATTACCTAAAAATCAACAAAAACCTTTAAAAAAATACCTACCTCGTTTCCATTCTAGTTCCAACCATGTTAACGACCACGTTGCTGTACTTAAGTGACCGGCGAATACTCTCCTCGTCTTCCAAATCCCATGGATAAAACAAAATTTGTCCCAGCTCGCCAACAACCTTGTGTTCACGCACAAAGTAAGGGTCACATCTATATGGCAAAATCAACTGATTTCCGTGTTTGGCCAAGCGATTCACAACCGGTAAACCCATGAAGCCGGTGGCGCCGAAAACGGTAACAACATTGCCGGAAAAACTGGCACGCCCACCCGCGCCCTTCTTGAATTGAGCTACATTTACGGAACTAGCTACGGGATCAGGTACATTTGCCGGTTGATTGGCGCTGGAACTGTATTGACTCACCTGAATGAGTATACAGGACCGGCTTCTACCCAAAGCCAGCATCTAAAAAATAGATATTAAAATCGATGTTTGCCCGCGAAATAATTTAAAAAATGCAAGAAAGTGCGTCCGAAACAAAGCTTATTATTTTATCAATGAATTACACCCAAAGCTCGCAAAATATGTCCACATTAACATCCAAAGAAAGCTGATCTTAAACATCACCCTAAAACAATATCAAGAAAACTTGTTAAACCACGAAAAATAATTTTTTACATACATAGTAATATAAACTAACAAAAAATAATAAATAAAACTTTCGAAAATCGTATTTTACTTTGAATTCAACGTTTCAAAGCCAAATGAGATCAACGAAAAATTGGGAAAAGAAAACCCACTATTGTGACACTCCGCAACAAACACGATAAACCCGATAAAACGGTGACATTTCGTCTTTTCCTCTGGAATTATTTTTCTGGAATAGCGAAAAGCAGTGTGCCAGATTAACTGCTATTAATTTACTCTTTCACACCAATAATTATTAATAAAGGCTTCTAATTGGATAATACTGTGCTATTTCAATAGTACTATTGTGGATTATATGGTTTAAAGTTGTTTTATGTCTGAGAATAGCAGAAAACGTCGAGCCGACGCCTCCGAAAAGGTTTGTTGATTATTTTTGTTGTTGTTTTTTAAATTTAGGTATTGGTTTGAAAAGCTGAGAACGTGTTTTTATATTATTTATGATATTAAAACATCGCGGATGGATTTTAATGTTTCAATGACGTTCTTTTGCGTATGTTATATGAATGTAGGCTTAAAAGATGCGCAATAGAAAAATCTTTAAAAATTTGTAAAGTATTTTGGTTTTAATTACAGTTTTAAGCAGTATTGAACGTTTTTTAATATAGTCTATGACATTAAAGTATTGAAAGTAGTTTTTAATGTTTTGGTCGAGAAATATTATGCAAATTCATATGAAAGTAGGCTTAAAAACGCAGAATTTACTGTCCTTTATAATTGAACAGAGTGATTTAACTTTAGTTATAAAATTTATATAAATAACAACGTTTTTCATGATCTTTATTCAAATATTATGATGTATAACCTTTTTTAGGGCAAAAAGCGTGTCAGAATGTCTGACAAAGTTGAGAATCTGATGGAAACAGAGAATGTAAAGCCGGTTGCACAACAAAAACCGATTGGCAATGCAAGGGCAACAAAATCACTTATTGTAAAAGGAGCGAGAAGTAAGATTTTTATTTTTTTATTGGTTTTTAGGTGATTTTACGACGATCTTTGCCTTTAACCTTGGTGAATAAGGTTTATTAGACGATTATGGATGTTTTCTACGTTTTTCAAAGGTTTTAATGTTAGAATATTGGTGATGACGCTTTAAATTCAGTTGTTTTTTGATGTTATTTCAGTAAAAACGGAACATAAGTCTAAGAAATAAATTTTTTGTTAATTTTTGTTACTTCAAAGCCATATATGTAAAAATATACGTTATAGAAAACCTAAACGAGCCCAATACGAGTACGTTCGATCAGAAATGGACCGATTTACAAGAAGCAATCGTGGCAATTCAGGAAAAACGATCAACTCGTAACTCATTTCAAACTCTGTGCAATAAGGTGGAAACTTTGTGTACAGATGGCTTCTCAGAATCCATATACAACAAAGTAATTGCATCTTTGGACAGTTTTCTCAATCGAAGTTTGGCGGCTTTATTGGACACTATCAATGGGAACGATCAGATGGCGTTTTTAAAAGCGGTACAGACCTTCTGGGACAACTATTGTCAACAATTGGTAGGGTTTCTTTGGTTTTTTATTAAGTATTGGTTAAAATTTGTGTTAGTAGTTAAAAGGGCAAAATCGTGGTTTTATAAATTCAAAAAAGGAAGAAAAATAAAAATTATAGCTAAATTCAAAAAATCTTGAAAAAAAAGTAAAAAAATGCAAAAATGCTATTCTTTAGTGTTACAAAACAAAAAAAGGAAAAAGCTTTATTTCCAGTGCTTTAAAATTCTTAAAAAAACAGTTTCCACTCAGTGTTCCTCGAACTTTTTTTATAATCAAGCGCACCGTTGCTTAACTTGCCAGATCGGACGGGACCGCGCTTTCGCACTGTGCAAAGAAGACAAATGGCCTGCACAGTGCAAAAATAAAATTTTTGGCAATAACTTTGTTTACGATGATGTAAAATAGTGTTTTTGAGGATTTTTGAGTTTTGGAAAGAACTTTCTTTGCACATTTCAAGAAATTATGATTTTTTGCGATTTTTGAAAAAAAGCGATAAGTTTTCTTATCTTTCTGTAAAATACGTTGTCCCAATCTCTAAAATATACAATTTTAATGTTTTTCAGACAGTAGTCCAAAGCATATTCAATTACCTAGACCGAACTTATGTTGTTCAAGCCAAAGCCATCGTACCAATATGGGAAGCGGGGTTAATGTCTTTCAAACAGATTGTAATTGACAATTCGAAAGTGACGAAGAACCTAATCCCGTCTATATTGGACATAGTTCGACTAGAACGAGATGGAGATCAAATCGACCGCGGACTTATGAAAACTTTGAGTCGAATGTACTTGGCTCTACGAATTTACTTTGACGTAAGTTTTTGTGACATTTTGGATAGGATATGCTTTGAAAGTTTGAAATTTTGGATTTCGAATGCATATTTTGTTATGAATTTGTGAAAAAAGCGGAATTTTTTGTCGATTTTAAGGAGAAATGATGGTTTTAAGGCGCTGTCGTATAACATGTCACCCGCAGCCTGCAGACCAAAAAATGTTTTTAAACTTTTAAGAAGTTACAGAATAATAGCTCCATTGACACATAAATGCCAACAAAAGCTAAAATTATTGTTATTTTAGGTACTAGAACCGAAAATCCTGTCAGACACCGAGGTTTACTACCAAAAAGAAAGCCAAGCAACAGTGGAACAAGGCGATGTCGGAGAATACCTGAGACACGTAGAAACAAGATTGAAACATGAAGCAGAGAGAGTGGACTTTTATTTGGATTACAAGTCATTAGGACCGCTGCAGAGAAGGGTTGATGCTTGTTTCATCGAAAATTATGTGGATGTTATACTGAAAAGAGGTACGTGATTATGGGTTTTTTGGATTTTCCAGGTTTGGAAAGAAAGTTTGGAACAGTTTTTGTTTTAAATAGAAAGCGAATGTTGTTTTACACAATTAAAAAAAAAATTTTTTTGGATTATTGTAAACAAAGTTATTGCGGTTTTTTGGAAGGCTAACAAAAACTCAGATTTTTAAAAAGTTTGTAAAGAAAGTTTTTTTTCAAATTTTTAAAAAATTCTTAAAAATGTCATTTTTGATCATTGTAAACAAAGTTATTGCCAAAAAGTTAATTTCTGCACCGTGCAGTGCCATTTGCCTTCTTTGCACAGTGCGAAAGCGCGGTCCCATCCGATCTGGCAAGTTAAGCAACGGTGCGCTTGATTATAAAAAGTTCGAGGAACACTGGGTGGAAACAAAGTTTTTGAGGGTTTTATGGTGCTGGAAATAAAGTTTTTGCATTTTTTTAGTTTGGGTTAGATAAATATTGTCATTTTTTCTGTTTTTCAGGAGCTGAAGGATTAATAAGCCAGAAGAAGATGGACGATTTGAAATTGATGTACGACTTGTTTGGAAGGGTCAAGGAAGGGCATAACAGTTTGAGAACTGCGTTTACGGACTATATTAAGGTGGGAAAAGGGTTTTTTAATCATTTTTACCTTCACATCTCTCACGATATCTTTCCTTACCGTAATCATACCTTTTTATACTGTATTTATATCTTGCTTACCGTAATTTTACCCTGCCTTTTAAAAAACTCATTTCAAAACTTGTAGAAGGTCGGCAAAGCTCAAGTGCTGAACACAGACAACGAAAAGACCCTGGTTCAAGACCTGATCAACATGAAAGCAGACATGGATAACATCATATCACAATGCTTCGACAACAATCAGAAGTACATTCAAAGCGAGAAAGACGCCTTTGACTACTTTATCAATCAACGTGCCAACAAACCGGCCGAACTCATCGCCAAGTACATGGATTCGAAGCTTCGATTAGGTAACAAAGAGTGCTCGGAAGACGAACTTGACCACATCATGGATGATGTCATCGTTCTCTTCAGGTTTATACAAGGTAAGGACATGGGGAAGTCGAAAAAATTATTTTTTTGTCATAATTTTGTTTACAGGCTTAAAATGGACGTTTTTTAAAACTGGAAGTCAAGTTGAAGATTTGTAATGTAATTTACACTGAAAATCTTCCACCAAACTTTCATTTTTAAAATGACTTAAAAACACATTTTTAACAATTTTTAAAAGTGGAAGTCAAGCGGAAAATTTGTAATGTAATTTGCACTGAAAATCTTCCACTAATCTTCCACTTCGAAAAGTATTGAAACCTCAATTTTTGACCATAATAAGCATTTTTAACAAACTTTTTGACAAAAAAAACTTTTAGGAAAGGACGTATTCGAGGCGTTTTACAAAAAAGCATTGGCCAAAAGGTTATTGGCCGGAAGGAGCGCTTCAGTCGACGCCGAGAAGGCAATGTTGTACAAATTGAAAAATGGTAAGGTTTTTTGGAGTTGTATGTAGGCTTAGAAAACATTTTAGGCTTAGTCACACATTCTTAGACTTAGATACACATTTTAGGTTTATTTACGCATTTTTAGGCTTAGGTACACTTTTTGGGCTTAAGTGCACATTTTTAGGCTTAGGTACACATTTTTAGGCTTAGATACACATCTTAGACTTAAATACGCATTTTAGGCTTCGTTACGCATTTTTAGGCTTAGGTACACATTTTGGGCTTATTTACACTATATTAGGCTTACGTACACGTTTTAGGCTTAGTTACGCAATATTAGGCTTATGTACGCATTTCTAGGCTTAGCAAGTACAGTGAAACTAAGGTGGGCATAGAGGCGCAGAAGTAGACTTAAAAGTATAGACAGAAGTATGGCTAGGGATTAAAAATTTGTTTTTTTTCAGAGTGTGGATCAGGCTTTACCCAAAAACTGGAAGGAATGTTCAAAGACATGGAGGTGTCGAAAGACCTCTCAATAAGTTATGTCACCTATGTCAACCAAAATCATCCGGAACAAGCTCAAATTGAGTTTGGAGTGGCCGTTCTCACGCTGGTTCATTGGCCCACCTACCCCGTGATGAATGTGGTCATACCGGAGGTGCTGAAACAACAAGAAGCCACCTTCGAGCAGTTCTACACCTCCAAACACAACGGCCGAAAGCTGCAATGGCAACACAACCTGGCTTTTGCCATTTTAAAAGCGACCTTCAAGCCGAAAGTGAAAAAAGAGTTGGACGTGTCGATGTTACAAGCACTGGTTTTACTGTTATTCAATGACAAATTGAAGATTGGGTACAAGGAAATATTGGAAAAAACTCAAATTGGTAAGATCAGGGGGGGGTGTTAATGAAAATGGCATTTTCGAATGAAGAATGACGGAAAATGGCATTTTCATAAGGTTGTCCGAATATGGATGAGCCAAAATTTTAAAAGTCGGGCGCTTTGAATAGTTCATTCATTTTTGGACAACACTGATAGAAAGAAAAATGGCATTTTTTGTTTTGTAAAGAAAGTTCTTGCCAATTTTATGTTTTGTAAAGAAAGTTCTTGTCATTTTATGTTTTGTAAAGAAAGTTCTTGTCATTTCATTTTCTGTAAAGAAAGTTTTTTGCCATTTTTTGTTTTATAAAGAAAGTTCTTGCCATTTTTTGTTTTGTAAAGAAAGTTTTTTCCATTTTTTGTTTTGTAAACAATTTCATATCTTTGAAAGTTTAGGTCATAAAACATTGTGTCGCATTAAATTTGTCATTTTTTCAGAAGAAACCGAGCTAAAACGAACACTTCAATCACTTGCCTGTGGCAAAATGCGAGTTCTACTCAAAGAACCCAAAGGAAAAGACATTGCCACAACTGACGAGTTCATTTTCAATGACAACTTCAACGACAGATTGTACAGAATTCGAATCTCACAGGTTTTGCTGAAGGAAACGGTAAGAAACATTGATTACACAGTACATTTTGGCTCAAAAATTTGAATTTTAATTTTGGCGCCAAATTTGACATTCTTTTTAAGGGTTTAAGTTACATTAAAATTGGGTCTTATGCTGTTGTACATTGTTGTAAAACTTGAGGAATCACTGTATGGCACATTTTGAGTTAAAAAATTTAAATCATAAGTTTAGCGCCAAGTTTGGCATTTTGTTTCAAAGTGTTAATTTGATGTAAAATTGATATGTATGCAGGAAAGTGATTGTTTTACTTTGTTATAAACAAGTTTTAACGGTTTTTTGGTAAACTGAAGGTATGAAAATTTAAATTTTGATTTTGGCGCTAACTTTGGCATTCTGTTTCAAGTTGTTAAATGTGTCTAAAATGACTGAATATGACTTGAAAATCAGTTTTACACTGCTCATGGCCTTTTCAACTTGATATTTTTGGTTTTTGCAGGAAAATGAGCATCGCCAGACCGAAGAACAGGTGAACCTGGACCGACAGTACCAAATCGACGCTGCCATTGTTCGTATCATGAAAACACGAAAACTCCTAGCTCACAACCTACTCCTAACCGAACTCTACAGTCAACTCCGATTCCCTGTCAAGCCCATCGACCTGAAACGACGAATCGAAACCCTAATCGACCGTGAGTACGTGTGCCGTGACAAACAAGACGCCCAACTGTACCATTATGTGTCCTAGATTGTTGATTGTACCAATTTGTTATGTTTTTGAGATAAAATAGTACCGAAAAAGCTATTTTATAGGGCTGAAAAAAGTAAAATTTTTACTTTTTTTTCGACCGGTCGATAATTTTTTAAAATTTTTTTGTTTTTAATTTTTTTTAGTCTTTTCGACTGGTTGATAATTTTGAAAAATATTTTATTTTTTCTTTATTTTTTTTGACCGGTCGATAATTTTTTTCATTTATAAATTTTTTACCCTTTTCTACCGGTCGATTCGTCGATTTCGTGCTACCAATTATGAATCCGGCTTATTCTACAGCAATTGTCGCAATGTTAACCACATGTTCGAACATGCTGAAGTTGTTGCCACCGGGGAATGCGACTCAAATTCATATCAAACATTTCAAATTGGAGTCTAATGTTGTCTATGAATACAAGTTTGAAAGTACAAATCCGAAGGATATTGATAAGTGGAAAGAAAGGTTTTTCAATTTTTTGGTTTGTAAAGAAAGTTTTTGCCATTTTTTGTTTTGTAAAGAAAATTCTTACGTTTTTTTAAATTGTTCTTTTAGCAAGGACGTCTATACGAAGTTTTCATCATCTGACCAAGTGGCATCAGTTCACATCGACCAACAAGAAGTTGATCATCAAGTGAGCGAAGGTGGGTATGTAGTCAAGTACGATGGAACGTAAGTTTTAATTTTGATCATTATGGTCACCATTTTCAAAAATGGTAAGGAAAGTTTCTTTCGACTTTCAAAATTTCTCTAAAATGCTCTTTTTTACATAGCTGTAAACAAAGTTATTGCAGTTTTTTTAAAGTCAACTAAAAATCGTAAATTTTTAAAAAATTTGTAAAGAAAGTTTCTTCCAAAACCCAAAAAGTTTTAAAAATGCCATTTTACATCGCTGGAAACAAAGTTATTGCCAAAAGTTTGATTTCTGCACCGTGCAGCGCCATTTGTCTTCTTTGCACAGTGCGAAAGCGCGGTCTCGTCCGATCTGGCAAGTTAAGCAACGGTGCGCATGATTATAAAAAGTTCGAAGAACAGCGGGTGGAAACAAAGTTTTTTGGGTTTTTAGGGTATTGTAAAGAAAGTTTTTGCAATTTTTTAATTTTACGGTTACCAAAAACATAATTTTTCCTTTTTTAGATATTGCCAATTGAACCAGAGAAAGCTGATAAATGATTGTGAAAAAGAGCCAAAAGTCTTCATTTTTGATGGCAGTGCTCAATTAGTGTTTCCGTGCCAGAAAGATGGTGCTCAATCTTGTGATCTACATCCCGGTATTAATCTGGAAAAGGAGGTTGTTACCTATACAGCCGGTGGAAGGTGTGTTGAAGTGGAATTGATTAGTTGTAAGTTTGAAAAAATTTGATTTTTTTTTGGGTTGGAAAGGAAGTTTTTGCTATTTTTTACTCTGTAAACAAAGTTCTTGCGCTTTTTGTTTTGTAAAGAAAGTTCTTGCCATTTTTTAAAAAGGTGTTTTTTAGGTAATAAACTTGTTAAAAATGGCAAAAACTTTCTTTACAAAACTCAAAATTGCAAGAACTTTCTTTACAAATCTCAAAATGGCAAGAACTTTCATTACAAAACAAAAAATGGCAATAACTTTCTTTACAATACAAAAAATGGCAAGTACTTAATTTACATTTTAGCAGCCGATTTATGGTCAACCGACCCATGCAATGACCATATTATTCAGAAACACTCGTCTGGTCGAACCAATTTGTACTCGTTGAGGTACCTTATGACCATATCCAACTGCCCATTGGATGGAAATGATGATGACATTGACAATACTTATGTTTGGCTGAGCTATGATGCAAATAACTCTAAATCGTAAGTTTTTTTAATCTGAAAATGATTTTTCGAGTTGAAAATGGCGAAAAAAGGAACTTTGGAATTGCGCAGCTTGCGGGTGACAAGTTATACGATCAATGTCGTTTTTTGTTTTGTAAAGAAAGTTCTGTACATTTTTTGATTTATAGTGAAATTTTTTGCCACGATAAGCCTAAAAAATAACTTTTTTTCAAAAATTTTATTTTGTAAGCAAAGTTGTTGCGTTTTTTTGAAAATTTTTGTGAATATCCCGATTTTTTAAAAACTTGTAAAGAAAGTTCTTGCAAATACTCGAAAAAAATTAAAAATGGCATTTTTTATCATTGTAAACAAAGTTATTGCCAAAATATTGATTTCTGCACCGTGCAGTGCCATTTGTCTTCATTGCACAGTGCGAAAGCGCGGTCCCGTCCGATCTGGCAAGTTAAGCAACGGTGCGCTTGATTATTAAAAGTTCGAGGAACACCGGGTGGAAACAAAGTTTTTGGGTTATTTATAATACTAGAAAGAACTTTGTTACATTTTTAGAAGTTCATTCGGCTCAACGGAAGTGCTTCTATTGATGGGTTTCTTTTTTGTTATTATGGTCGACGTTGCCATTGGTATGGCAGTTTCTGCGGTTTGGAAGGATTTGGTAAGGTTTTTTTGGATTGTAAGGAAAGTTCTTGCCATTTTTCGTTTTGTAAAGAAAGTTCATGTCATTTTTTGTTTTGTAAAGAAAATTATTACAATTTTTGGTTTTGTAAAGAAAGTTCTTGCCATTTATTGTTTTGTAAAGAAAGTTATTACAATTTTTTCAGATAAAGCCTCTACCCTTCCAACAAGACCTGCGGCTGTCACGAAACATTAAAGTCAAAAAGTCATCGACCAGCCAGCAAACGGGAAGCGACCGGTCGTACGAAAAGGAGGAAATGTCATTCAAAGAAGAGAGCTCAAAACTAGACGACAAGAAGGATGAATATAAAAAGAAAAATGAACGAAAAGAAGAGAAGAAGGAAAAAGAAAAGCGGAAACCCAAGTCAAACAAGTCGAATGAAGAGAGAAGCTCGACGAACAGAAAGAAGAGTGATAAGAAGAAGGAGAAAGAAAAGAAGTCAGACAAGAAATCAGACAAGAACTCTGAAGATGAAGCCGAAAGAGAACAGAAATCAAACCCAAAACGAGCCAAGAAAGCTCATAAGTCCCTGGACAAGGACTCGAAACGAAAGAAAAACGAACAAAAAGGCAAAGAAAAGGAAAAGAAACATGAGAAAGACAAGAAGCCTGACCAGAAACACAAGGATAACAAGGAAAAACAGAAAGAAATGAAGGAAAAGCACAAAGAACAAAAGGAAAAGAAGGAACAGAAAGAAAAGAAGGAACAAAAGAGCTCGGAAGTGGAAGGAACTCAATTCATGGACAGCTCGAACGCCCAATCCAAGCATGACAAACGATTGAAAATGACAAAACAAACCCAAGAAGCCACGGACGCACTGAACGACATCATGGGACCAGCGCCAATACCAATGCCTATACCTGATCAATATCAACAAGGGTTGATTAATACGGAGGTAGGTAAAGAATAATGCAGTTGGTATGATGGTTGAGGTAATTTTGGCTGGGGGGAGGGGATAAGTATGGTTGGGCGGGGTAAGTCTTGCCCTGGAATTTTTGTTGGGTGGGGTAATTCTTGCCCTGAAATTTTGGTTGGGCGGGGTAAATTTTTATGTTTGGGAGGGGAGGAGGGTCAAAAATAAAGTAGCTGATATCAGGGAAGGGATTTTAAGTTACAAAAATTTTTTTTTGGGCGGTGTAAATTTTTATTTTTTTATTTTAAGAGGAAGAGAGGGGGCGGAGGGTCAAAAATAAGGTAGTTGGTACAAAGGAGGGGTGATTTTAAGTTAATTTTAAGATTTTTTTGGGCGGGGTAAATTTTTATGTTTTTATTTTAAGAGGGAGAGAGGGGGCAGAGGGTCAAAAATAAGGTAGTTGGTACCAAGGAGGGGTGGTTTTAAGTTAATTTTAAAATTTTTTGGGTGGGGTAAATTTTTATTTTTTTTTATTTTTGGGTGGGTTGTGAAAAATTTAAAAAAATATCCGCTCATGACTCTGTTTACTGTAATTTTAACCCAAGAAAAACAAATATATTTAAATCTACTATTTTATATTAGGAACGATATAAAAGTTTTGTCGTTTTTTAACACTAAAAACAATATAAATTGACCACAAAACTTTTCTGCCACTTCAATAATCATTTTTTCAGGAAGCAAAGAAAGAGACAGCCAAATTGGACAAGAATAAGGAAATGACTGTAAGTTTTGTGTTAAAAACGTCATTTAAAAATTTTTTTTTATTTTAAAATGTTCATTTTTCAGGCCGAACAAAATTGAGCACAACCATCGCTTTTATCAACTTGTGGACGTATCAGACGGCCATAAAAAATGTTCTACTTCAATATAAATCAGTGTCTTCAATAAGTTTTGTCACCTTTATTATTCTTTTTGATCTACCGGGTTCTAAGATGGTATGAACAACTATACCATGGATCCATTAATTCTTTCGTAGTAAAAAATTGTGAAAAACCTAAAAATCTTTCTTTACAGACCTTACTTTTCATCAGATTTCAAAGAAAAAGTGTCAATAACTGGCATAAAACTAAAAATCGAAAAAATTAAAGGATCCACCTAAAACAATATAATATAGACTGTAAAATGTTCCTAATTGACTACGATTTGAACTGCTTGAGCTCCTCAGGCCACCAGTCAGGTATCCGTGGTTTTATCGGTTGTTTCTTGACATAAACCGGCTCGTTAAAGTGCTCTAGGCTTATTAAGCCTATGCCTTTTAAACCATGAGATCGGATCACTTTGCCACGACGCTGATTGTCATTTGTCCTTATAAATCCTTCACAATTCTCGACTGTCGCTGTAAACGGTACCAGTCGTTTTCGAATCACGCCAGTATGATGGGTTCGGGCTATTAGTTCTTGACCTACGTAACAGCCTGAAAACGAGCGTTTTTAGGCTAATTTCAAAAACTGTTTTGAGGTTTTTGATTCTAGAGTGTAATAAAGATATCCGTTTTACCTAATGACAGCTTTTTAAACTCAAGATTTTCCTGAACTCGGCTAAAAACAGTATTTTTCATCATGGATAATATCAAAAATTTCAATATCTTGTTTAAACTCGTCTAACACCTTTTGTAAACCTCAAAAATAACCTAAGTTTGAAGAGAAAAAGCAAAGACGAACCTTTATCAAAGTTGATTCCATTCATAATATCCCCGTTAACATTCAAAGGTATCTGATCAAACAGCTCGTCTCGACCTTCAGGAATCCCAAAATCCATCCTCCTATCAAGATACTCATCTTCACTCGTTGATGCTTCAATATCACCCAAGATTCGGTAGCCAAAACCTTTAGCACGTTGGTCTTCAAGCGCTCCATCCACCTTATCTTGAACAAAGTTGATAGGTGTATCATCTGGCAATAATTCGGCCTTTTTCCTCAAACGATACAATGTAAGCGTTCGGAGAAAGTTTTGGCGGTCCAACGCGTCCACTTCTAACAGGTAGTTGTCCGGTTCTTGAGAATATATAAACAGATCAGTGACGATCCGACCTCGCGGCCCCAAAATGAACGAGTACAACATCTTTTCGGTCTGTAGTTTACTAAAATTTGTTTTACTTAGGTTAGTTTTACATGAATAAACAAGTTTAACCTTTAAGACAGCTAATTAGAAAGGTTTCCGGAGCAAAAAGTGCTCTCCGTTTCCCTGGAGACCAGTTTTGTATGTTATCATAGGACCTTAACATAGGGGTCAAGAAAATCTATCAAAAACAATAGTTTTTGCACCAATTTCTCCAAAATTGTATAAAATAGCAATGCCAAAGTAAATGCGCACCTTTTAAGCCTAATACCGCTTTACAATTTTCGTTCTTTCCATGTTAACATCAACGAAAACGTTCATGCATCAATTTTTACCTAAAATCAAAGAAAAAAATTAAAAAACTTACAAAATGTCATTTGTAACAATGCCTTGAAGAAAATTTGTAGCTTCTGGACCACATACTCGTATCAAAGACTTGCTAACAAGCCTAATGGCCGACATCTCTATCAACAATAATTTGAAAAAACTAAAATTTATAAATAATATTCGAAAGTCAATTGTTGAGTTTCGTTTTTGACACTTCGTCTATGTTTTTCATATTAGAGAAGAAGATTTTTCGGAGGTCACTTGATGAAAAGCTAGTGAAAAAGCAGCTGGACACAGCGATGTTATGTTGTTTTTTTGGTCGGGGAAGTGTAGTATAATATATTTTGAGTATAGTAATATATTATGTTTGCGAAATTTATCGTTTTATGGATGGGGAGGAAAATAAAATAGAATATAGTCGAAAACACGATGGTGTAAGGTGTAAACAAGACTTTTATTGAAGGAATGTTAAGATATTTTAGTTATGTTTGGCTGTATTTTAAGTTATTGGCAAGTTGAGGATGTTTTTGATATGTTGTACTTGATTTTTTGATGGTTACACTTGTTTTTGAGGTATTTTAATGTTCAAATTGAATAGTTAAGATTCTCAAAGCTTTGTTTTACATTTTTCAAGCAGCAAACACTATAAAATCTGTTATTATCAGTGATTATCTTTTTTTCTAAACCCAGTTGTACCTTATGGGTAATATAATATTGCCCAATAAACGCTAGAACTTTGTGTATTGATAGATAACATAGCCGATGGTGTGTTCTTATCTTTGATAGTTCTCGGAGAACAACGCTTGCGAAAGATATTCTCTTATCATTGGTTTCTGTGCTTTAGATGCTGAAATTTTGGTGGTAATGATAATATTTGTTCAGTTTTTGCCCTAATTATGTTAAATATGGTAGTTCATCTTATTTTACTTGGTAATTTCAATGTTTTGTAGTGTACTGAGAGTATTAGTCAGACTGAAAAGTGATTTAGGTTAAAAGAGTGACCTTTTTTGTGATTAGTCACGTTGTTTTAGAAGCGTTGTCTGATTTGAATGAAATCAGATGGAAAATGTGATGGTTCATCGGGTTTTTCGACCGTAACTCGTTTATCAGATTATATACTTGACAGGGATGTCGATTGCTTTTGGCAGTTTGCGTTTGGTCGAGAGATATGAATAGTCAACAACTTCAAGTGTAATATAGTGGTCGATGTTTTTGTGCCGTATACGTTACTTTTTGATAAGATTTAGCTATTCTGATGTTCTTTAAAGTAAGAACAGACTGTGAAATACCTATTGATGGTAAATTCCTTAGTCAGTTTTTATTGAATTGAGTGATATAGGCAAACCTCTATATCATCAAGTTTAATATAGTCGTTTGCCTTTTTTTCTCAAAGGCGGCTTCTTAACGATATCTATAAACTTCTGTCGTTAGTATATTTAAAAAGGAGTCTTAATATTATCTATTGATCTTGTTCGACCTTGATTTCGTATATTGGATCAAAAGATATGACTCAAAACATCTGGACCATCAAGTTTTAATGCTTAATATAACATTGATCTGTTTTTCTTTAAAACCTTCGTAATGTTAATAAGCTAACAGTCTAGAAATTAAAAAATAGTAATTTTAAGTCGAGTTCAAAGTTTTTGCTCCCAGGAGTTTGTGTTTATATGATTCATCGTGGTCTGTTGGATTTTAAACAAAACTCATGTTGTTTTTGTTCGAAAAAGCTGCGGGAACTGTTTTTACTGTTTGAAAACGGGTGATTTTTTCATTCAAAACATTAAAGTCAAGTGGAAATTCATTTTCTTTACATCGAAAACGTGTTTTTTGAAAAGTAAACTGTCTTTTCATTGAGTTTTATATTGTTTTAGGTGTTTAAATGGGGAATTTTTGCTGTTCTGATGCGTTTTTTTTATTTTTTATGTTTTAACTTAGGAAATTTTTAAAGAAAGTTCTTGCAAACACTCAAAAAAACGAAAAAATGCAATTTTTCATCATTGTAAACAAAGTTATTGCCAAAAAATTAATTTTTGCACCGTGCAGCGCTATTTGTCCTTGTTGCACAGTGCAAAAGCGCGATCCCGTCCGATCTGGCAGATTAAGCAACGATGCGCTTGGTTATAAAAAGTTAGAAGAACGCTGGGTGAAAACAATGTTTTTGTAGCCCTGAACTAACTGGAAACATAGTTTTTGCCCTTTCTTGATTTCATGAGGTTTGATAATGTCATTTCGGTTTGTAAACAAATTATTAGCTGTTTTTAGTGAAATCTTTGTGTTCTAATCACAAAAATATGTTTTTCTTAAAGTTCTATGACATTCAGTAAATAAACAAGTTGTCTTTGCTTTTGTAGTTGGTTTGTTTACGATAAAAGCAACGGAATGTTAGTCACCAGTCTCCAATTAACATTATCGCCTTTTCAATCTTGCTATTTTATGTCAACTTTCGCATAATTTATAAGGTTTTTGACGTTTTGGTATTGTTCTTCAGTAAATTTGGAAAGATTTTCAGTTATTTATGTAAAATTTTTAAAATTTTTTTAAATATGTTGTTATTGATGTGTTTATGCTTTGTTTTTGTGCTTTTTTCGTGTGTTTATGAAGTTTCACATAATATCATGTTGCCATCTAGTTAATAATGTATTTTTAGGTATAAATCACACAGAAGAAATGAAGTTCCTGTTGTTTACCGCCGTCTGCTGTAAGTGTTTTTCTTTTCGTGTTGTAATTTTAGGTATACTGGCCGAAAGGGTGTTTTTCGTATGTTTACTGTGATGTACAGTGGCGCTCAATAAAAATGGCCACCCCCTCGTTTGGTCGATAAGTAAATATTTCGGTAATAATATTGCATATATTGTATTCCATTATAGTTATACAATAATTTTAACTTATTTTATGCAAAAAAATTTGCATTAGTTGCAAGTTGCTACTTTTGGCAACGCGAATTTTCAATCCAAGGTGTCCAAAAAAATGGCCATGTGTACGAGAAAAAACGTTTCTCAACTTTTACTTATAGATTCTGAATGTTTTCCATATATTTATATTACTTTGGTATTTATAAAGGTATAATAGTGAAGCACGGGTCTATTCATTTGATGAAAAAGGCGTAGGATGATGATATCCATGTTATACCATAAGTGTAGTAATCAACCTCTAAAACAAATTTTTTTCAAATTATTAAGAGGTTGAATGCACAAAAACTATTGAGAAGGCAAAAAGAGGTAGAAGATCACAAAAAACGAATATTAGAGGCAATACGCAAGTATAATATGGTTAAAGAACGATCCGTCGACTACTGCAATGTTGATCAAAGAAGAAGTTGAGGCTGAATCGGGCTAAAGGGTTAACAAACAACGAATCGAAGGTAGATATGTTAAAAGGAGACTTTTGAGTTGTGTATAAACCAAAAAGTCGGTGAGTATAGCTAAAAACAAAAAAGTCTAGTTTGAATTTCCACGAGTTCTACTGTTTTAGATAATGGACAATCAGGAATAGTGATTGTATCAAATGAAATCAAATTTGATGTGAAGGTATCTAATAGTAAAAGGTACTTTGGAAGACGCATTATCAAAGAAAACAATCCACAAGTTCTTCGCTCAACTGTGAAGCGCTGTGGAAGCATTATGGTTTGAGGTGCTTTGCCTATAACAATATCGGTGTGTTGCATCAAACTGAAAAAAATAGAGATGACTCCAAATATCGTGAAACTTTACAAAACGTTGCTGTAGCTTATTGTCGATTGTCCAAATGCAAGAACCTCATATTTCAAAACAACTACAATTTCCAGCACACTTCCGAAGTTGTCAGACCAGTCATATTGAAGGAGAAGATCATTGAACTTGAGTGGCCAAGTCAATTTGCAAACTAAACCTGACCATAAACGTATTGTAAATGACTGTAAACAAAGTTAGAAAACGATTTCATTATATGAATATAAAATTGTGTCAAGTCCGACAGGTAAATCATCAAATTTACCCATTATTATAGTAAATAAACTGATCACCTAGGTACCCGCAATAAGGGTTGATACCGTTGCCTAAAATAATGTGTAACTAAGTTCTAGATGCTATTTAGCGTTTAGAAACTGTTTTTGTCTTCTTAAGTTACATGGTTGGTACGAAAATAGGATGTTGTTATACCCTGGCCATTTTTTTTGGACACCTTGGATTGAAAATTCGCGTTGCCAAAAGTAGCAACTTGCAACTAAAGCAATTTTTTTTGCATTAAATAAGTTAAAATTATTGTATAACTATAATGGAATACAATATGTGCAATATTATTACCGAAATATTTACTTATCGACCAAACGAGGGGGTGGCCATTTTTTTTGAGCGCCACTGTAAATGTACTGATTTATATCTCATTAGTTGCGGATAAGATATTTCTACCTTATCATGGATATTTTTGGCTAAATTAAGGTATAATGACCGATTTATGGCTCAATTTTTCATTAAAACCCGATGTTTTAGTGGTCGGCTCGGATTTTAAGCCATAAATTGGGCGTTTTACAAGCTTTTTGATTTTTAAAAAGCATACGATACGTGTCTCTAGTGTATTTAATAACGAATCTGTTTCAGTAGCTTTAAACGTTGGTATTTCCGCCATTGATGTTGCTATCAAGAACGAGGACGGCACCAGTCCTCAATATTGTATCCTTTTCGAAGGAAACGTCACCGGATCCATTGAATACGAAGTTGAGGTAGGTTGGCTAAGATGTATAATTGTGTTTCAGAGCTAATTAAATGTTTGACGGATCTTTTGGCTTGTGTTTTGGGCTTCAAATTTGAGTTTTTGGTCGGTAAAGTGGCTTTTTAGGTATAAAAGCTAAAAAAAATGTTGTTTAAAGAGATTTTTATTGCTTTTGTAAGCTTAAAAGTAGAAGTTTATAATTTTTCGAGAGCATAAAGAACAACAAAGCAATATTTTACATCAATATAGGTCTCTTTCGTCAATCTAATCCGTCTATATCAATATAATTAACTAAATCTAAAAAATTTCAGAACTCGACCAAAACTTTCAATTTCGAAGTCGACGAGAACAGTGTGAACGTGAGCGGCACTTGTGTTGATGTACAACAGAACGTCTCGGTCCAAGCCTTCAGTGTTGACTTTTTGCCGAAGGGAGCTCCAGTCAACGTTCAACAATGGAAGTTGTCCGTTCAATTCGCCCACGACGAACAAAAGACCTTCAAACTGTCGGCTTTGAGCTTGTTCAGTGTCTTGCCAGAGGCATGGAACTCGACTGGTAAGGTTTTTCGATGATTTTTATAAAATTTTTAATTTTTGAGGGGTGGGAGTCAAGTGGAAGATTTTTAGTGTAATTTGCACTGAAAATCTTCCACTGAACTTGCATTTTTTACAAATTGTGAAAGCATTTATTTTGGGTCAGAACAAACGTTTGAAAAAGTATTTTTAGGTATGAAAATGGGTTAAAATCGCAAGAACTTTTTTTACAATATAAAAAATGGAATAAAAATTCTAAATTTAAAAAAGATTGCAAGAACTTTCTTTACAAATCAAAAAATGTTAACATTTTTAAAAAATTTTATTAAAAATCTTATTTTAGACAAGACCGTCAAGTACGTGTTGGACAGTGCCGATGAGATGTGGGATGCCACCGACCGTAACGGCTTCACCTGTTCCGAATCTCCCTTCTATCTGAAGCAAAAGTCCGCCAGTCCAGCCCTGAAATCGACCGTCAAGTTCGAAAAAGTGCGTGTTTTGGCCTTTGCTCGTCTTCCAACACCAGTATTCCCCAAAGATCAGATCTTCGAACAGTGCAACTTGGACACGAAGACCTCGGATGTGGTACCAATAGTGGTCGGTGCTTGTTTGGCCGGTCTTGTCATCGTAGTCTTGGTGGCTTACCTGATTGGTCGCGCTCGCGCTCGTCGTCAAGGATATGCCTCTGTCTAAGTTTTGGGGGTGTTTTTTGAAATTTCAAGTTGATTTGGGTATTTTTGAAAATTTGATTTATTCTTGGTCGGAAATTTGACATTTTTTTGAATTTGCCTCCGGCGTAAGTCAAAATTTCAATATTACTTTGAAATGTCAGTCATAATTGTCATTTTTTCAAATTTGTAGCCATTCAACTTGAATTCTTTCTGAATCTTGATTTTAATTTTCAAAATTTTCATTTTTAAAAAATGAAAATTTTGTTTTTTTATTTTCTGAAGCTTTGTAGTTTGCCAGTCTTCTTCTCCATTGTATTGTAAATTCAGTCGTTTATATCATTATCTTGTTGTAGATTCAAAAAAACATATTTTTTAGTTATTTGTCAGTCATTTGTGATCCAAAAAAGGTATTCGTGTGCCTTTAGAACGGGAAATTTTCATTTATCCTCAATCTTTGTTTCATTCTCAATTTAAGTAATAAACTTGTATTTTAAAGAAATTCGGTGTAAAATAGCAATAACTTTGTTTACAATATCAAAAACGAAATTGTCTTTTCAAAAATGGAAGTAATTTGGAAGATTTTCAGTGCAAATTACATTGAAAATCTTCCATCAAACTTCCACTCTCAAAAAGTGCAAAACTTTGTTGGAAATCTTATATTGCCCTCTGGCCGTTTATATTCTGCCTTTAAAGTCAATGACCAGCCATTTCAAAAACAAATATTTACTTCAGCACGGTACAATATAGTAAATTACAACAGTAAATAATAGATTATTACTATTAATTTATTAAAAGTGACGTGAAATCGGCTCCAAAATGTGTAAGATGGTACTAGAAGTTCCATTGAATGTGGCTAAATTTGGTACAAGGATAAAAATTAGGCAATGTTAACGAAGCAATATTATACCAGTTATAATAAAGAAGAACCGAAATTTGATACCTAAAACGTAGAAAAAGTAAACTTTGTTACCTAAAATGTAGAAAAAGTAAATTTTGTTACCTAAAATGTGGAAAAAGTAAATTTGAAAAAGTACAAGTTATTATCTAAATATTCAAAAAAGCAATAGTTTATTACCTAAAAATAGGAATATCTTATTAAAAATGGCTCAAACATCACTGTTCTTTGCTAGAAAATGTGAAGAATGATCTAACAGATCAACTTTCACGGCCGAAAAATCCAAAAAACGGCATAAAAACTACATTTTGTCGTCAAAAAAAAAATTTTATGACAAGAATAAACCGCGTAAACCTATCCAATATCAATTAAAACAGTAAAAACGGCCCAAAACAGACCTAACAACACTAATATCAAAGCCTTACCTCTTGCCTACCACCTTGAAGTTGCCTGTTTCTTATCGATTATCCTCTTTGCATTACCGGCCGCTCGTCGCTTCGCTTCCGTAAATATTTTATATGTTCCTTTGCCATAGTACGAGTCGTATGATTCTTCATCGTACTCGTTTTCAACTTCTGCGCCGATCGCTGATGGGTTTTTTAGGTAATAATCAGTCCATTCTCTCTCGACTTTGGCCGGATCACAGCCCGGCTTTTCGGATCTGGACGAAGATGAGGAGCCTGAAAGCGGCCGAAACTGTTATATCAGGTAATGATGGTGTTTTACTATCATTGAGGGTCAAAAAAGTAGCGAAAATCAATTAAAAAATGGCATATATAGATGAAAATTGACGAAAAATCAACCAAAACTTGCCAAATATGGCTAGAAATCGGGAAAAAAAACGGCCGAAAAGGGATGAAAACCGAGAATAAGTTATGGAATACCAATAAAAATCTATAAAAAATGATCAAACATGGCTTTAAGATACAGAAGCTCCATCAAAATGGCCCAAAATTCGCCGAAAAATCAAAAAAAGCCACAAAAAACAATAAAAATTTCATAAAAAATCAATAATAGTACCAAAAAACCTACTTCTAGCCGACAAAGTAGAAGCACTGACGCCCCATGAGCCCGGTAGTTGCTCATTATAATCCTTTTTCTTTTGTCTTTTACCATACTTTTGCTTCTCGATCTCACTCTCCATCTTCTTCCTCAACACTCCCAATGTGCTTCTGATGCTATTCCTCTCTTTAACTGTCAATGACTTGCTCTGTAACTTATCCTTCAGATCTGCAATCTCTTGTTTGTACTTTTTGACATTCGGATGATTCGAAAGGGCTTCGTCACTATCTGGAGTTGGGAAAACTAGGCAAACATCATCGTCTTCTTGGGCCGACTTCGAAGTTGTCTGGCCGATTTTGCTCAAGAGATCCTTCATTTCGGCGGCCGACATTCCGGCGTCTTTTAGAATGTCATTGGCTCCACGAGTTTCGGAATCGCGGCTTCTTTCGTCGCTGCCTCGTGAGTCGTCCTTGTGACTTCGCGAGCTGGCCGGGGTATCATCTATAATGTTAAAGTGCTGCAGACCTTGTTGAATGATTTTGGACTTGTTGACCGCATCTTTGGTTAATCCCATCTCTTCGGCCACTGCGTAGATCATGCTCTTTTCTACTTGACCCTTCGTATCTTGGTATGCTTGAAGTTCCATCAAGATGCCTAAAGCCTTCCTGGTGAAGGTATGTTGATCCTCTTCGTGTCTCTTCTGAATCTCGGCTTTTGTGTTCTTTTCCACGGATTTTAAGGCCGATTTCAGGCCAGTGTTTCCGAGTTCATTCAAGAATTGGCTAGTTTTCTTCTCCCAGTCTCTCGAGTTACGAACTGGTGACTTGACGATGCGTTTTGGGGATGGAGAGCGACGGTCGCGGCTCCTACGACGGTCACGAGACCGGGAGCGAGTACGACGTCTTTCACGAGTGTCACGATATGATGATGATGAGCTTCTAAACAGTTTTTGACGTTTTTACTCATTCATAAAGCTTTAAATGCAAAAAATAAAATTTACATATTTTTTTTTATTTAAATTTGAAAAATTTTAATACTCAAAAATTTAAAAAATCTCAATAATGTTACCTAAAAAACTCGAAATTCTTAAAAACTCACGATTTCTTCTCTTTTTCCTTGGACCGTCTGCTGTCTCTCGATTCGCGTGGTCTTTCTCTTTCCTTTGACTTTTCACGTTCAAACCTACTTGACCGTACCTTCTCTTTATGAATCACTTCGACTTGAGTTGCGGCCGCGGTTTGGGCTTGTAATAGCTTATCCATAGCTGGATCCAATGTAAAGTCATCTAAATCATCTTGTTTTAGGTATTGAAAACATTTTAAAGTTGTTTTCAGGCGTTAATTAAGCCCAAAATGCTTTAAACAAGCTTTTCCGAACATTGCAATTAAATTTGCATGATTTTAGTTTTTTTTTCAAATTTTAAAATTTTTTTTAATTTCAAAACTTCGTACCAGCAGCAACCTTCCACGAATGGTCGACATATTCATGATACTCGGGCCAAATACGACGTATGTCATCAATGTTCAAGATGCATCTCATACGGTTTGTGCATTGGCCGCTGCCCTCCAATCCTTGAACTTTTTTTGAAATGAACAGCAAAAATTTGGTTCGTGTTTCACCTGGCGGATGTTCTTGAGCCTTCTGATGAAAGACCTTGTAGTTGCGGTTCTAAAATACGAGTTTTAAAACCATTTTCGAACCATCTTCATCTATTTGTATGAGTTCATGCAATCTCTAACTAATTGTATGAGTCATTCAAGCTATACCTACCAAAAAGTTCATGCGATGAACCTCGCCAACAAGATGGTTGAACATTTCCGCTACCGTGGTCCAATGGTTGCACATACCACAGTAGTAGGTCTCCAGTTCCGGGTGTTGATAGCAGATAATCTGATATAAAGCATTCACACCCAAAATACCTTCCTTTTTCTTAATAACTTCGTTGAACAATAGTGGCGGGTCCTCCGGTGGAATACGGTCGAATCCTTGAGACCATACTGAAATTTTTAAAAGGTTTGATACTATATTGTGTTGTAAAAATTGGAGATCCCCGTCCTATATTGTTTTGTGAAGCAAAACACATTTAAAATTTTACAAAGGTTTTTTAAATTAAAAAAAAATTGTAAAACTGTACAACCTTCAATTATTCATCTGTACGACATCAAAAAAGCCTCTTCAACCTTTTCTAACAAAAAATGGACTAGACCAGAAAACAAACGCGTTAGTAAACCTCAAAAATGTTAAATCATGAACAATATAATATTTATCGTCGATGATTTTTGAGTTTTAATAAAGCTTTTGATTCTGGTCTAGTCTAACTTTCTTATTCTTTTGGGTCAGAAAAAATTGAAGATGCTTTTTGGTGACATACTAATAAAAAATCAAATATGTTAGAAATGCGCAGTCGTATTTTACCTTAACTTCGTCAAATGATTAAAGGTTACTACTTATGTATAATGCAAAATGAAGACGATTCTGTCAGAAATTGCACACTTCTGCAAGAATATTCTTTTCTTCATGGTACATCTTTTGTGTTATTATCTTCAAAGCCCGTTATTATCGAATTTTAACCCCAATAATCTTGAAAAAAGCTTACAGTAGTCCAATAGAGCTGGAATATTTGTAATCTGATTCAAATCCCGTTTGTAGAGCTCGGCTCGAGCTTGAAACAATCTTTCGGTTGGGTCGATAATAGGAGGTGGTACAACAACTTGCTGTGGTGCTTGCATAATTGGTGCCTTCAAATCTCCAGCACCAACTAAGCTTGTGCTAACCGGAGGCATTGTGTTGATTGAGAAGTTGGTTGACATCGGAGGCATTCCCATCGACGGTACTAATCCTAGTGGTAGGCCTGGTATACCTGGCATTCCTGGTAGTCCTCCTGTCATTCCAGGTGGGAACATGAATGGTGGTAGGCCGGGTGGAGGCATTCCTGGTGGTGGCAGTTGATTGTTGAAGCCCGGTGGTGGAAGTCCTGGTGGGGGTAGACCGTTAAACAAACCTGGAGGTGGCATAGCGAGTTGGGACACCCGCTTAATATCTGACACTGATATAGAAGCCTCCAAAGGTGGTTGCTCTTCCTTCTTTTTCTCTTTCTTTGCATTCGGGTCGACCAGTTTTGGTGGTGGAATGACGATTCTAGAAGGGTCGAGCTTACTTTTAACTTGATCTTTCAAATGTGGGGGTAGATTGACGGTCATCTTCTCGATTTCGGCTTGTTGAGCTAAAAGACGAAGTTGTTCTTCGATCGCGGCGTTATCATCAGCAGCTGTTTTGTATCTGGAAATGTTTATAATGTAAACGCGGAACATTGCCATACCAAAATATTAATTTATTACCTTTTAAACTACTTAAAAAAGTTTGAAAAACCTCAAAAATTGAGGTTAAAATGCTATAAAAGTAGAAAAAAACACGAAAATGTCGTAATATTCAACGCGCAATAAAAATAAAACAATTATAAAACAGTAAAAGAAGTAAGAAACCAGATTTACCTCTGTTCAGCCATCGAAGGCAATTGATTGATCTTCTCCAAGGCTTCAGTTGGGTTCTTGACACCTACAATATTCAAAAATCAACCAAAATCCCTCAAAAACAACAAAACACAGCTAGTCAAGCGACTGCTTCTCCACCTCATCATCGTTTTTACCTTGTCTACTAAAAATCTCGACTGGATCAGGCAGCTCAAACGCCTGAGCGTTCGCATCCCAACGTGATTTTCGATTTTTGGCCTCCATCGGCGGAGCATTTCGAATGCGATGCCCAAACACAAGAGTTCCATTATCAGGAGACTCTTCTGGCGGTATGTGCGTGTTAACTGTAATCTTAATCTTCTTACGATCTTCTGGATCGTAGGTGCGTTGAAAGCCGTGCCTGTCCTCTTCTCCATCCGATATTGACATAGCCGAAGCGGATCGATGCGAACCTGAACGACGATGACGGTCTGGCGAACGGCTTCTTCTTCGATGTTCCAATGAGTAACGACTAAAGTTTATAAAAAATAAAATGTTAAAACAAGAAAGTTTTTAAAATTCGATGATTTTATCCTTGATCAACGTCATCAATATAAACTGATCCCATTATTTATAATTTTGGCATTAAAAAACTAAAATATTTTATTTTAACTTCACGAGCTATAGAATTCACTGCACAAGCTTTAAAAATTTGTTACATCAAGTAACGTGTTCATTTATTACCTTTTTTTCGTTATTACCTTCATTTTCTAAAATTCAAAAAAAAATCTAAAAACACTTACCTTCTAGTATCGCTAACATGAACTCGAGTTGGTGAAACACTTCGACGACGTTCATAACTTCGACTTCTTGATCTTCGGCGAATTGGCGATACTTCTCGGGAATCTCTCTAAAACAACATATTTGATGTAAATTATAAAAATTCTAAAAAAAGCAAAAAAAGTTTTGATATCAGCATTAGGATGTTATAATCAACCATTTGAAAAAAGAATTAGCTAAAAAGCCACAAAATAGACCTAAAACAAGGACTTTAATTTCTGATATCAATACCATCTAAAAAGTTATATTTTTGATAGTTACTGATGAAAGAACGTATGAAAATAGACTTATCAGCCTTTACAGCACCTTTTTAAACCATATTCAACCTTGAGTTACCTAAAACTAGCTGTAATTAAAAACAAAGATAAAATCCATCTTTTAGTGTCTAATCCATCTAAATCAATATAATTTTAGCGGTGAACCATCAATCTAACTTCTAATCTTCTAAATATAGACAAACCAAACTCTACTACACCTTTTAAGACCATTTACAGCCAATAAAGACCTAAAAACAACAAGAAACAATCAAAAATCCTTACCCTATACCGGACGTTGGTCCTGGCCAAGTAAGTGTCGCGCATTCCAGGCCGGCCAAACATTTTCTTCAACGAAAAACCTGTATATTCAACACAAAACCTGTTCAACAATCTATATTCAACTCAAATACGAAGCAAAATCAATAAAGATTCGGAAAATCCTGTCTTCCAACAAATCGATAATACGAAAAAAATGGGAAAACTTTGAATTTTTGGGACCGCGCGACCTAATCGCGCAAAATTTTCGACTTTAACCAAGTTTAGTGTTTAGGTAATAAGAAGCCTTTCGATTCGGCAGAAAACGCGGCTTTGAAAACGGGGTTTTGTTGCCTAGAATAAGGCTTGTAGCTTTCCAATCGAAGCGAACGAGAAACAAAGAGAGAAGGAAAAGAGCGGGCGCGAAGAAAAGAAAAAATCGAAAAACGTTTCTGCAACCTGCGATGAGATTTTATACGATGAATTAAAGCAATGCTATTTGATTATCATTTTTAAGAACAAATAATGTAAATTAAAATGTATTAAATGTATTGAAAGCGTTCAAATTAAACATTTTATGCTTATTTTGAATTGATTTGGAAGTGATGTTAACATTGACTCCAATACTTTTCCTTTTTTTTGCTGTTTTAAACTCTGTAACGGCTTCAAAGACGTAGGTTAAAGTAAAGTGAGGGCCTTTTAGGCTTATGTACCACTTTTTAGGATTAGGTACACATTTTAAGACTTAAGTACACATTTTTAGGCTTAGCTGCACAATTTTAGGCTTAGGTACACATTTTAGGCTTAATTACACATTTTAAGCCTAGACACACATTTTTAGGCTTAGGTACGCATTTTAGGCTTACGCACACATTTTAGGCCTAGGTACACAGTTTTAGGCTTAAGTACGCATTTTAGGCTTAGGTACACATTATTAGGCTTAGGTACACATTTTAGGCTTAATTTCAGGTCTGAAGGCCAAGTATGGGCCGTATTAGTGTCAGGATCATGTGGACTAGCCAATTATCGTCATCAAGCTGATGTTCTTCATGCTTATCAGATCCTAAGAGAACATAGAATACCAGAAGAACATATTATTACCATGCTATGTGATGACATTGTGAATGCAGAATAGTAAAGTTTTTGCCAGTTTTTGTTTTGTAAAGAAATTTCTTGTCATTTTTTGTTTTGTAAAGAAAGTTCTTGCCATTTTTCATTTTGTAAAGAAAGTTCTTGCCATTTTTTCAATTTTCAAAAAAAATATTTAAAATTACAGTAACCCCTTCCCCGGCGGAGTCTTTAACTCACTGGAGAGCCCAGACCTATATAAAACAGCCAAGATCGACTATCGTGCTAATGATGTCACCCCAGCCAACCTGCTAAAGCTGCTCAGAGGTGAGAAAGTCAAAGAAGGCGGCAAGGTACTCAATAGTACTGAGAACGACCGAGTATTCATTTACTATGCTGGGCATGGCATGATTGGAAGCTTGGCTTTTAGCGACGCGACCATAAGCGATGAGACTATGGTAAGCAGCTACCCCCTACCCTCCGATACCCTCTAACATTACGGTACCAATACCCAGCCTAGAATCCTACAGTATCCCTCCTAACCCATACATATATTCCTACAGTACCACACTATTACTAGCCTTCTGTCCCTTTTCAGCTCCAAGCCAAAGACTTTCAAGCAGCCCTAAAGACCATGTACAACAAGAAGATGTACAAAAGACTGGTCATATACCTTGAAGCATGTTACTCAGGCTCAATGTTTGATAACAAAACTTTGGCCGATCATAATATCTACGCCATTACTGCGGCCAATGATCAGGAATCATCGTATGCGACAAATTGTATCGACGTATCTGGATGGGCAACATCTAATGTAAGGTTTTTGGGCTTGTAAAGAAAGTTCTTGCAATTTTTTGTTTTGTGAAGAAAGTTCTTGCTATTTTTTGATTTGTAAACAAAGTTCTTGCAATTTTTTAAGTTGTAAAGAAAGTTCCTGCCATTTTTTGTTTTATAAAGAAAGTTCTTGCCATTTTTTGATTTGTAAAGAAAGTTCTTGCCATTTTTTGTTTTGTAAAGAAAGTTCTTGCCATTTTTTGTTTTGTAAACAAAGTTCTTGCAATTTTTTAAGTTGTAAAGAAAGTTCCTGCCATTTTTTGTTTTATAAAGAAAATTCTTGCCATTTTTTGATTTGTAAAGAAAGTTCTTGCCATTTTTTGTTTTGTAAAGAAAGTTCTTGCCATTTTTTGTTTTGTAAAGAAAGTTCTTGCCATTTTTTGTTTTGTAAAGAAAGTTCTTGCCATTTTTTTGGTTTGTAAAGAAAATTTTTGCCATTTTTTGTTTTGTAAAGAAAGTTCTTGCCATTTTTTGATTTGTAAAGAAAGTTCTTACCATTTTTTGACTTGTAAAGAAAGTTCTTGCCAATTTTTTTCTTTGAAAGTAGTTTTTTCTGTTTTTTCTTTTTGCACGGTGCAATCAATTTTTCTGCACTGTGCAAGATTTTTGCCATTCTTTTTTAATGCAACGGCAAAAAATTATTGTATAATAATTACTATCGTTTTACACAGTAACATAAAGAACAATTGTTGACAAAAAAAATTTTTAAATATTTTGTAAACAAAGTTCTTGCAGCTTTGTGAACTGTGCCTGGGTGACGAATTTTCGGTAAATTGGATGTCATTCTCTGACCAAGCCACATTAACAAAGGAGACACTAGATGAACAGTACCTATTTACTAAAGAAAATACGCTACAAAGTCATGTTGAACGGTTTGGCAATAGTGAAATGACAAAAGACTTCATTGGCTATTATCAGGCTTGGAATGAAGAAAAAGGCGAGTTTCGGAGGCTGTAAAGAAAGTTCTTGCCATTTTTTAATTTTTAAAGAAAGTTCTTGCTATTTTACGTCATTTTTGCAAAAAAAACTTTGTTTTCTTCTGTAAAAAAAAGTTATTGCGGTTTTTACAAAGTCCCCCAAAATGCCTAATATTTGAAAAAATTGTAAAGAAAGTTCCTTCCAAAACTCAAAAATTTTCAAAAATGCCATTTTTCATCATTGTAAACAAAGTCATTGCCAAAAAATTAATTTCTGCACTGTGCAGCGCCATTTGTCTTCTTTGCACAGTGCGAAAGCGCGATCCCGTCCGATCTGGCAAGTTAAGTATGGCGCGCTTGATTATAAAAAGTTCGAGAAACACTCGGTGAAAACAAACTTTTTGTAGATTTTAGTGTACTGGAAAGAAAGTTTTTACAATTTTTAAATCTTACGTTTATCAAAAATGGCATTGTTGTTCTTTCGTGCTAAATTTCAAAATTTTATCGCTATTTTTGCTCTTTTTTAATGCTGTAAAGAAAGTTTTTGCTATTTTTATAAATTGGGAATTAAAGTGCATTTTAAAATACGTCCAATGGTTTAAAAATTTGTTATTTTTTGTAGATTTTCAGAGAATTCTGACATAAAATTTACGATGTTCCACAGAAAAATCCCTGGAGGGGTAAGTTTCTTTTAAAATTTTTAAAAAATCCACAAAACAAAAAAAATTAAATTTTAAAATTTTGATTTAAAAGACTATGAAGATGCCTGAAATCAAAAATGAAATTTTTTTTCATTTTAGAAAGCCAGAAAACTGGTAAAAGTGAAAAAAGGCAAGTCGGTCAAGGTGGACCAGATGAAAATGGCCAATTTGGAGCTGAAAAGTAAACGTGCCCAAAGTGAGAACGATAGAAAGGACGCTGAGAAAGAGATGAGTCAAGTTTTGGAACGGCGAAAGAACGTTGATGAGTTGATGAAAAACATTTTTGGAAGTTTGGACAGCTTAGACAAGAGTGTTAGTCAAGAGGAAGACTGCTGGCCCAAAGTGAACCAAGCCTTTAACAGAAAGTGCTACAACTTCATAAAGGTAGGGGAAAACACTTTGTTCGGAAAGGGGGGGGGGGAAGGATAGGGGTAGGTATAGAGGTAAATAAGCCAGAAAACTAGTAGGGCAGGGTAAGTTGGGAGATAATGTAAGGGAGGGGGGGGCTAGGACCAGAGTGGAAGAGGGGTGGGATTAAAGAATGGGTGAGGTATGGATAGCTACAGTAGAGTAAGGCACGGGTAAGGCTACTGTAGAGTACAGTAGTGCAAAACTACGGCAAGGCAAGGCTACAGTAGGGCATGGCATAGTAAGATATGGTGGTTAGGGTAGGGAGTAGGGGGTAGGGGGGTAGGGGGTAGGGGGTAGGGGGGGGGGTAGGGGGTAGGGGGTAGGGGGTAGGGGGTAGAGGGTAGGGGGTAGGGGGTAGGGGGTAGGGGGGGTAGGGGGTAGGGGGGTAGGGGGTAGGGGGTAGGGGGTAGGGGGTAGGGGGTAGGGGGGTAGGGGGTAGGGGGTAGGGGGGGTAGGGGGTAGGGGGGTAGGGGTAGGGGGTAGGGGGGTAGGGGGTAGGGGGTAGGGGGGGGGGTAGGGGGTAGGGGGTAGGGGGTAGGGAGTAGGGGGTAGGGGGTAGGGGTACATAATCATGCAATTTTCAGAATGAATACCTTCAACATTTCCAATATAAACTGATGACCTACTGTAACGTGCCGCTTGGATCCAAACAGATAATTCAAGTTTTGGATGAAAAATGCGTTAATTTGGACAAACATGAAGTTTTTTAAATTTTTGAAATAAATATATTGCAATTTTAAAAAAAATTGATTTTTCGTTTTGTAAGGAAAGTTCTCGCCATTTTTTACTTTATAAAGAAAGTTTCATCAGAATCTCAAAAATGTTTAAAAAAGGCATTTTAGGTCATTCTAAACAAAGTTATTTTCAAAAAATTAATTTCTGCACCGTGCAGCGCTATTTGTCTTCTTTGCACAGTGCGAAAGCGCGATCCCGTCCGATCTGGCAAGTTAAGCAACAGTGCGCTTGATTATAAAAAGTTCGAGGAACACTAAGTGGAAACAAAGTTTTTGAAGATTTTAGGGTACTGGAAAGAAAGTTCTTGCCATTTTTTGTTTTGTAAAGAAAGTTCTTGCAATTTTGTGTTTTGAAACGAAAGTTCTTGCCATATTTTTTCTAATTCAAAGCACAAATTACTGTGTTTTAATCCTTTACCTATGTAATATATTATGTTAATTTGTTCTAAACGTACACAAAGACCCTTCCCCCCCCTTTTTTTAATGTTTTTTTCTTTAAGAAAGAGGGGGGGGAGGGATAACACCTGTGAGTGTGGGAACGTTCTCAGAAATTCGAAAAAGTGTAAACTTAATTGTCGATTTGAGAATTGTGAGTACATAATGTTTATTTTGGCATTGCTTGTCGCTTTGGCTGTTTCGAGGACAAATGGCCAAACTACGACTACTACTACAAGTACAACTACAGTATCTACAACTACAGTATCTGCGAGTACAGTAACGGTTGTCTCGACTACGGTAACAACTGCTACTAATGGTAAGAACTTTCTTCACAAATCAAAAAATGGCAAGAACTTTCTTTACAAAACCCCAAAATTTAATTTTCATACTCATTTTTTGACTCCCATCACTTTAAAAAAACGTTATTTTGACTGCACGGTGCAATGATTTTCCTTGCACTGTGCTAATTTTACTATGGTTGAAAACCGGTATATCTTATATTGCCTAATATTTTGTTAGACGTCTTATAAAGAATGGCAAAAATTTTGCTCGGTGCAAAAAAATTTGAGTGCGCCGTGCAATATATAAAATACGACTGGCTGACTTGTAAATCATATTAAAAATTAAATTTTAAAAATCTTTTGATTTTTAATACTCAAAAATTCCAAATTTCAAAAAATTAAAAAATTTTAGTGACAACCGGCTCCACCACCTCACAAGTCTCTCAAATGTGTACCGTAGTCAACGGTATCGACAGTACCATGTTGTCCTACTTTGACAACACGACCGGCCTTTGTTACGTGGTTGCGGGCGCGGATCGCGTCAACTACTCGAGCACCGTTCAAAAGTGTACCACTTTAGAAACTAGTGCCGATGGTAATTGGACTTGTCGTGTACCACAAATTGATGAGCCGACTGTCATCAACCGACTGCCTACGGCAATGCAGGCTTCTTACTACTTCATAGGCTTAACTAGACCTAGCTGCAATGACTCGTGGCAATGGACCAGCGGTACCAATAGTACTAGTGCTTATGCGGGGAATTTTAGTGTTCTGGCGGAGGGTGATGAATGCACTTACAATAATTATGTCATCTCGACGACGGGTGTTACACCGGCTACCAGCAATGACACCACCGAGACATTGTGCGAATGTGGTAGGTTTGGTGGAAAGAAAGTTCTTGCAAAAATGTTTTTAAAACTATTATATAAATTCAGAATGTTACTAAAGATCTTTTTTAAACTTGTAAACAAAGTTTCTGCAGCTTTAAAGCAAAATAAAAGGACTTTTAGATTCTGCAGGATGCGGGTGACAAGTTATACGATGGGTCGCCTTTTTTTTGTTTTGTAAAGAAAGTTCTTGCCATTTTTTGATTTGTAAAGAATGTTCTTGCCTTATTTTTCATTTTTCCATACTTAAATTAACATATATTCCTAGAAGCATACTATTAAAAATGGCACATAATGATTACAGGTCTTGGCATAAATGGCAGTTTACTTCCTGTTTCACGAGTTTACATTATTGCGCCATTACTACTGATCCTACATGTGTTCTCCTTGTTAACATGATACCACAGTAACAAAATCTACTCAGAAATTGTAAAAAATTTAAAATTTTTAACTTTATACATAATTTATAATGACATTTAGCTTCACCTGTACTTTAACGTCAATAAAAATAGTTTGAAATAAAAAATTGACTCATTATCACCTGGAAAGAAAGTTCTTGTCATAAAAAATATTTTTCAATTTAAAAATTAAAAAAAAATTTTAAATTTTAATTTTTTGCACGGTGCAATGAAGATGACTGCACAGTGCAATCAAATTTCTTGCACCGTGCAGTTTTTTCTCTTTCGTTTTTTGGACATTGGAAAGAAAGTTATTGCATAACAAATATGACAGTATTAAACAGTACGAAAAGTTATTTTTACTATAAAAAATATTTTTTACCACAGCATTATAAGATAGTAATGGCAAAGTCAAAATTTTGCACCGTGCAACAAAAAAGACTGCACCGTGCAGTCAAATGTTTTGCACGGTGCAAAATAGTTTTTTGTTACTTTAAGTATAAAAAACTAAACATAACATTTTTTATGTTTTGTAAAGAAAGTTTTTGCTATTTTACGCCATTTTCTATAAAATAGTATATATATAACCTTATATCGTTTATATATTAGTAATAAGTAACATTATATTACCAAAAATAAAATGCAATGTACAGTATAGTATGCTGCTTACAGTACGAATTGTACTGGAGTATCCAGACAATGGTCCATCATTTCGTCGATGATCTTTTGGGTCGGGATGTTTCGGTTGCACAAATTCACCAACGCGTGAAGATGCTCAATCACATAGGGATTCTGAATGTAAAACATGATTGGAAAGAAAGTCCTTGCATTTTTTAGTTTGTGAAGAAAGTTCTTGCCAATTTTTGTCTTGTAAAGAAAGTTCTTGCCATTTTTTGTTTTGTAATGAAATTTCTTTCCAACGCACCGTGCAGCGCCTTTGCACAGTGCAAAAAGAAATACAAAAAATTGTAAAGAAAGTTCTTGCAAATTTAAAAAATTTTTTTTTAAATTTCAAACTTTAAAAACTAAATTTTTTATCATTGGAAACAAAGTTATTGCGCTTTTCGTCCCTCAAAATAACTATTATTTGAAAAAGTTTTTGCAAGCACTTTAAAAAGTTCAAAAACGTCTTTTTATAGCATTGTAAACAAAGTTATTGCCAAAAAATAAATTTCAAACCCAAAAAGTTTTAAAAATGCCATTTTACATCGCTGGAAACAAAGTTATTGCCAAAAGTTTGATTTCTGCACCGTGCAGCGCCATTTGTCTTCTTTGCACAGTGCGAAAGCGCGATCTCGTCCGATCTGGCAAGTTAAGCAACGGTGCGCTTGATTATAAAAAGTTCGGGGAAGACTGGGTAGAAACAAAGTTTTTGGGGGTTTTATGATATTGTAAAGAAAGTTTTTGCAATTTTCTAACTTTGCGTTGATAAAGAATGACATTATAGCTATTTTTAAGTGTAAAAGGCCAAATTTCAGCTCAAATTTCTTTTAAAACAGCCATTTTTATCGCTTAAACTCTCCAAAACCAAAATCAGTACCTTGGCAATGTTGTAGCACACTCTGTCAAAGGCCTTGATGACGTCATCGTGACAGTCCAGATTCTTGATTTGCTCGCCTTTCGTGGAAAGAATGTCCTTGCGGTTGATGGGGTCGTGAACCAGCTTTTTGATTAAAGCATTGAAATGAAATTTGAATACGGTCCTCTTCTGCTTCATTAGGCTTAGTTGGGCTTCGATTTCGTTTTGCTGGTCTAGCGAGTTGACTGTCGCCAACTTTGTTTCCAACATTTTGAGGGGCACTTCCAATGAGGACCACTTTTTGTACTGGTGCACTGAGCCCTGAAATTGAAAATTGTAAAATTTGTAAAGAAAGTTTCTTCAGGTTTTATAAAATCCTTAAAAATTAATTTTACAGCCTTTGTAAACAAAGTTATTGCGGTTTTTCTTCAAAATTTCTTCATTTTTTGCCTTTTCAAAGCCCTTTTCTGCCATGTTTTGCCTTGTAAACAAAGTTTCTTCATAATTTTTAATTATAAAATCTTAATTTCATATCAACTCCAGCACTATTTACTTTTTGCGCCGGGCAAAATAACCGACTGCACAGTGGAACCAAATTCGTTGCACGGTGGTATATTTTCTCCTTCTTTTTTTAAGCACTGGAAAGACAGTTTTTGCATAATAAAAATGTCATTATTTAACGGTGTCAAAAGCTGTTATTTTTACTACAAAAAATATTTTTTACAATAACATTATAAAGTAGTAATAACAATGTAAAAATTTTGCACCGTGCAAAAATAAACGTTGCACTGTGCAGTCGAAAATTTTGCACGGTGCAAAAAGTTGTTTTTTGTTAATTTAGGTATAAAAAAGTGAAAAATAAAGTTTTTGAGGGTTTGTAAAGAAGGTTCTTGTTATTTTACGCATTTTTTCTTTAAAATATTGTCGGTTTTCTAGGTTTTTTACCTGAAAAATGACATTTTTGGCCGGATTTCGGTCGTTGTCCTACCTTTTCAGCTACAAATCTCTTGTTTTTATTGCCCTCTCTGCCTTGGAAGTCTCCCACAGGTTCGCTGACAAACTCTTCATCGCCAAACTTCATGACATGGCTGCTCGAGGTCTCTTGTTTCACAATCTTGAACTGTTGACTCAGCTTTTCTGTCTCGATATCTTCTCTGTCCGAGTCTTCCATCCAGTTCACACTGAACAAATCGCCTAAGCATACTCCCGGTAACTTTCTACTGTCACAGTAACATGCGTACGATGATTCGGCCGAGTTGGCGGCCGTTACTGCGTAGATATTGGTGTTATTGGGCAAGAATCCGCTGAACATTGAGCCAGAGAAGCATGCTTCAACGTACAGTACCAGCTCCTTGTAGACTTGGTTTTGGTGCAGTTGGTGCAGAGTACCAATCAGGTCTTTGACGGTCAGGGTGGAGTCGGGGAAGTTGAGGATGCCGGGTCCACCGTGGTCGGAAAAGTAGACAAAGACACGGTCGTTTTGGGTCGACTGTACCACTCGGTGTGGTCCGTTTGGTTCTCCTTTTAAGACCTTCAAGAAGTTTTCAGGATTGACGTCTTCGCCACGGTAATCGATCTTGACGCCTTCGTAGAGGTCGGACCCATTGGGGTGGTTGAAGATCTTGCCTTTGAAGGGGTTTCTGAAAAAATGAAAATTAAAAAAATTTTTAATTTCAAAAGGTTTTAAATTTCAAAAATTTTTTAAATTTTAAAAATATTTCAAAAATGATTTCAAAAAATGTCATAAACGATTAACATTGGGCTAAACCACTAAAAGAATGGCAAAAAATTATATATTGTAGTGCAAAATGTTTACATTGTCGTTACTATCTTACAATGCTATAGTAAAAAACATTTTTTTGTAGTAAAAACAACAACTATTGACACTGTTAAATAATGGCATTTTTGTTATGCAAAAACTTTCTTTCCAATGCTTGAAAAAAGCAAGAGAAAATTTTGCACCGTGCAAAAAGTTTGACTGCACTGTGCAGTCATTTTTATTGCACTGTGCAAAAAATTGAAAAAGATAACAAATGGCATAAATTTTAAAATTTAAAAATGAAAATGTTTAAAATATCAAATATTTTCTTTAAAAACCATAACAATGGCACTCACTCTTCATTGTCAGCAATATCATCATACATCATGGTGACAATGTGATCTTCCGGTATACCATGATCTCTTAGAATGTGATAAGCATGGCAAATGTCTGCTTGATGTCTGTAGTTCCACCATGAATTCGAGCCGGCGACAAGAACTGCCCAGATTTCACCGTCATTGTCATCAGAATCCACTGTGTTAAAGGCGTAGCGACTGTAAAGAAAAACTCTAAAGATTACTGTAACTATACCATTTGAGATTTCTGTTCTCTAGCTATTACATATAGTAACATAATTTACCCTGTGGCGGCTAGAAAAAGGCTAGCAAGCAAAGTGATCCACAGTAACCTCATTTTTGATCCAAATTTTTCACAAAATTATAATTTTCACAATGAAAATCAGAATGAAATTAGTCAAATTTACACTTTATAAATACTGTAGACGCTGTAGAGTAATATAAAAATTAATCGTCGGTCAAAAAGTTCGTAGAAATTTAATTACAAACCTTCAAAGTGGCTTAAGTCAGCAATCTTCCCAAAAAAATCGTAAAATTTTTTAAAAAATTCAAATTTTCACTTTGAAAATCAAAATAAAACTAGCTAAATTTACACTTTCTAGGCACTGTAGAATCTCTATAATACTATACAAATTACTTTCCGGTCCAAAACTCCGTAGAAATTGAGTTACAAGTCTTCAAAGCGCCTCAGGTCACTGATATAGCCTACTACAATATCCAAATCAATCGATATCAAAGAATTGGACTTTCCAAATCGTCAGATGATTCGAAAATCACTTTCTGCGTAGAATGGCGAATGAAACTGACCAAGGCCAGATTTATAAACACACGAACGTGATTTATGTCTATAAAGAAGTGATCAGCCCAGAACAGCCGGGCCTTATAAACAGCTGAGATCAGTTGATTAAGGAGAGGGGGAGAGGTCACACGTTAGTAATGTCAAAGGTGGAGACAAACAGTACCTTAGTATTCCAAAAAGTAACGTTTGACGACATTTTCGTATCTACAATAATATAAGCCGGCTGGCACTAAATTTGTTTATTTGTATGTTATAAAATGACATGACTTGTAAAGCGCGGAACGTGTGCTGATAAGAGGTGACACGTCAAAACAAAAACAATACGCAAATTTTTTGTTTTGCGAAATTGGCAGTTTTGTCGTACCGGGCGGTTCGAACTCAAATTTTAGCCTAAAAATTTGTAAAACTAAGAATTGCACCGTGCAAAACTTTCAAAAATGTAAAGTAAATTCTTGCAGGACTTTAAAAAATGTTTGAAATGCCATTTTTTAGCATTGTAAACAAAGTTATTGCTAAAAATTTAATTTCTGCACTGTGCAGCGCCATTTGTCTCAATATTTTTCGAAATGTGACGTTTTTCAATTAATTTATGACCAAAATACAACAATATAACAATAAAACATAATGATATAACCGTATAACAACCCGTATTGTACTTAAAATCCAACATAGTACAACCCGCATTGTACTTAAAATTCAAAAAAGGCGTACCATACTTCCTCACAGTATGCTGCAATACAACTGTTAAATTCACTTGGCTTTGGTCCTCATCAGCGCCGGCGCGGAGACCCGTACTTTGCCTGGTAATGTCTGTACGACGGTCGGGTCTGACAATACAACTTAACTAACCCATCGTCCTTGATACCCATTTCCTAGCGATTTGACCAGTTCCTCTCGGCTTGAGTTGCCGTTTTGTCTTTTTGGAACAAGTCGGGAGCTGTTTTGACGACACGGCCATGTTTCCCCGTTCCTTGCGTGATTTTCACCTAAAAAACAAAAATAAAAAAAAATTTTAAATTTAAAAATTTTGAATTTTAATGCCATCTTTAATCGAATTTAATTAAAATTTTAATATTGAATATCAAAACCGCTTTTTGCATGATACACTAAAAATGGATTCACGGTGCAACCAAATTCTTTGCACCGTGCAATTTTCTCCTTTAATTTTCAAGCAATAGAAAGTTTTTTTGCACGGTGCAAACGATTTTTTACCCAAAAAAACCATTTTAAAGATGACAAAAATTATTACAAGATTTTTAAGTCTTAAAAACAAGCTTTTTCCAAATTAAAAACTAGTTTTTGGGTATAACTTAATAACTTTGTTTACAATGGTAAAAAAATGAAAAGTCTTCATCATTTAGAAACTTCCTTAACAAAATTTAATTTAATTTTTTTTTTCAATTCCCCTCTAAAATAAAGTTTCAACTTACTTTTATAAATCAATGCACGACAGTCCATGTAAATGTCAATTGAACTTAAAAAAAAAGTAAACCACCTTTAATTAGAAGAATTCCAAATCCCATAAACTAACGATGAAACCCAATAAAGGCACAGTACAACAACTATAATGATGATACAGTACAAACGAAAAGTTCGCCGTTTTTTCTAAAAATTAAAAAAATGTGATATTTCAAATATTATGCACGCAATACAACTCTTGTATAACTAATCGCGCTATAAACTATTAAAAACTCGGTATACAAAAGCTCCGCTGCATAAAAACTTTAAAATCCTTACCAGCTTTTTCAGCCGAGCTTCCAATTGAAGCCTCCATTCTCGGTCTTCTTTTATCTGTCGCTCCCTTAAATCATTTTGTTGTTTCATCGTCTCTTTAATTTCTATTAACGTACGGTTGACGCTGTCCGTAATGGCACCTTGGCTGTAGCGTCTGTTGACCATCTAAAAAATTTCAGTTAATTGTACACAACACGAAATAAAATTGTAAACAACAGTCACGAAATAATACAGGGTGTCCCAAGATTTTTGGAGGAAACTAAAAGCTTCGTTCTCGAAAAGTACTAGACCAAATAGGACGATTCTTTTTTTAGTACACTTGAAATTGCTGACGGATTTGGTATTAATACTTCACTTTTTAATATTCGGCGGACGTTCGGCGGAGACCGGCGGAGGCTATTTTTCTGCTTTGAAAAATCCAAACCCTTGGTTTTTGGTTCCTATGTCACCTGCTGATTCGTCAAAACGGTTTCCAATCAAAAAATGTTCTTCTCTGCATTGGCGGACGACCGGCGGAGAAAAACGGCGAAGGCCATAATTCCGCTCAAACTCAACATTTTTTCACCGGACAAAAACTGGAGATGTTTTTTTTAGTTTTTCAACCATTTTGTATAATTTTTAAATTGAAAAAAATAATTTTTTTGAAATTGGCGGACGATCGGCGGAGAAGTCGGCGCAGGCCATAGCTCAGTCAAATTTTAAGATTTTTTCTCCGGAAAAAAAGTGGTGGCATCTGAAAGCACTGTTTTACGTAACTACTGCAAATTTAATGTTTTACGCCAAAAAAATATTGAGTTTGAGCGGAGTTATGGCCTTTGCCGTTTTCTCTGCCAACCGTCCGCCGATAAAAATTTTCAAATATAAAATTAGTAAAGATTAAAAAAACTCAATTTAACATTTTGAGTTGTTTACCGAAAAAAATATTAAAAATTGACCGAGATACGGCTTTCGCCGACTTTCTCCGCCGACCGTCCGCCAATTTCAAAAAAATTATTTTTTTAAATTTGAAAATTATATATAATGGTTCAGAAACTCAAAAAAAATCTCCAGTTTTTGTCCGGTGAAAAAATGTTGAGTTTGAGCGAAGTTATAGCCTTCGCCATTTTTCTCTGCCGACGGTTCGCCGATGCGGGCAAAAATTTATTTTTGATAACAAAGCGTTTTGATGGACCAATAGGAGGTACGGGAATAGAAAATCAAGGTCTCGGGTTGGTCAAAGCAAAAATATAGCGTCCGCCGGTCTCCGCCGAATATCCAAAAACAAAGTACAAATACCAAATCCGTCCGCTATTTCAAGCGTACCAAAAAAAGAATCGTCCAATTTGGACCAGTACTCTTCGAGAACGAAGCTTTTAGTTTCCTCCAAAAATCTTGGGACACCCTGTATATAAATCAATACACGACAGTCCACGTAAATGTCAATTAAACCAAGCGTCGGTCTTGCATCAACAACATAAATCAAACAAATACAACCTAATCCCTCAAAAAATCAAAACACCACTAGTCAATCGACTTTTTTCCATCTTATCATGATTTTCTTATGAGGCTTTTCTGGCGGTATATGCGTGTTCACCAATCTTAATTTTCTCATGATTTTCTGGATCGTAAATGCGTTGAAAGCCGTGCCTGTGCTCTACTCCATATTGACATAGATGAAGATCGAATGAACGGCTCCTTCTTCGACGTTCCAATGAGTAATGACTAAAGTTTATAAAAATTTAAAATACGATGTTTAACCTTGATCAACATCATCAATATCAACTATCCCATAATTTATAATTTTATCACTTAAAAAACTATAATTGTTCACATTAACTTCACAAAGCTATATATTTCACCGCACAAGCTTTAAAAACTGTTACATCAAGTAACATATTCATTTATTGTCTTTTTTCCATATTACCCTCATTTTCTAAAATTCAAGAAACAAAAATCCAAAAACACTTACTTTCTAGTATCGCTAACATGAACTCGAGTTGGTGAGACACTTCGACGATGTTCATAAATGGGACTTCTTGGTCTCTTGCGATTTGGCGATATTTCTCGATAATCTACATATTTAATGTAATTTTTAAAAAATTGGCAAAAAAAAGCAAAATAAGGGCTTTGGAATGTTATAATCACATTTTAAAACAAAAATTAGCTAAAAACTACAAAACAGGAATCCCTCCCATTGAGACCTCGTGCCCATTGAGACCCCAAACGCCCACCGAGACCTTGAAAGGAGGTTCGGCGGAGGGTCGGCGGAGGGCCGGCGGAGACTTTAGGTAGTTCGGCGGAGGGTCGGCGGAGGCTTTAGGGAATTCGGCGGAGACTTTAGGGGATTCGGCGGAGGGTCGGCAGAGACTTTAAGAGATTCGGCGAAGACTTTTATGCATCCGGCGGGTATATACCCGATTTTACCCCTAACCTTTTTAGCCCTACCCAAACTTACCTTTGCCCTTTCTACCATACCCAACTATACCATACCCATCCTTTATAATATACCATAAGATATCCTGTGTTACATACTATACCATACCCATCTTACTAAACATACCGTACCAAACTATACCATACTCTACCCTATTGTACCTAATATACCGTATCCTACCATAACCTATTCTATCTACCATACTAAAGCCTACAATACCCCTACCATATTATAACATGCCATACCCTACCATACAATACCAAACCTTACAATACCATACCATACCATTCTATACCATTCTAAACTGTACCATACCTTACCTTATTCAACCTTATACAAAACTACCGTGTACTATCCGTGGGTATGGTAGAATAAGTAAGTAAAACAACATATATAGTATAACATAGTGTAGTATAGTATGGCATATGATGACATACTGTGGTATGTTATCTCAGGGTGTGGTATGGTAGATAGGATAGGTTATGGTAAGGTATGGTACGATACGGTAAGTAGGGGTAAAGTCGGATAAAGCTAAAAAGGTCAGAGGTAATCCCCTAAAGTCTCCGCCGAATCCCCTAAAGTCTCCGCCGACCCTCCGCCGAATCTCTTAAAGTCTCCGCCGACCCTCCGCCGAACCTCCTAAAGTCTCCGCCGACCCTCCGCCGAATCCCCTAAAGTCTCCGCCGAACCTCCTAAAGTCTCTGCCGAATCCCCTAAAGTCTCCGCCGAATCCCCTAAAGCCTCCGCCGAATCCCCTAAAGTCTCCGCCGACCCTCCGCCGAATCCCCTAAAGTCTCCGCCGACGCTCCGCCGAACCTCCTTTCAAGGTCTCAATGGGCGTTTGGGGTCTCAATGGGCTCGGGGTCTCAATGGACCGGGGTCTCAATGGACCGGGGTCTCGAGGTCCCACAATTGTCAATGGGTTTCAGTGACAAAATAGACCTTAAAACAAAGGCTTTGATTTATGATATCAATACCATCTAAAAAGTTATATTTTTGATAGTTACTGATGAAAGAACGTATGAAAATAGACTTATCAGCCTTTACAGCACATTTTTAAACCATATTCAACCTTGAGTTACCTAAAACTAGCTGTAATTAAAAACAAAGATAAAATCCATCTTTTAGTGTCTAATCCATCTAAATCAATATAATTTTAGCGGTGAACCATCAATCTAACTTCTAATCTTCTAAATATAGACAAACCAAACTCTACTACACCTTTTAAGACCATTTACAACCAATAAAGACCTGAAAACAACAAGAAGCAATCAAAAATCATTACCCTATACCGGATGTTGGTCCTGGCCAAGTAGGTGTCGTGCATTCCAGACCGGCCAAACATTTTCTTCAACAAAAAACCCGTATATTCAACACAAAAGCTGTTCAACAATCTATATTCAACTCAAATACGAAGCAAAAGCAATAAAGATTCGGAAAATTCAGTCTTCAAATTGTTGCCTAGAATAAGGCGTTTCTGCAGCCTGCGGTGAGATTTTATACGATGAATTAAAGCAATGCAACTTGATTATCATTTTTAAGAACAAATAATGTAAATTAAAATGTATTAAATGTATTAAAAGCGTTCAAATTAAACATCTTATGCTTATTTGGAAGTGATTTTATCATCGACTCCAAAATTCAATATTTCAAGATAAATTAATGTAAAATGTATTGGGAACACGTAGAATTTAAACTTAATTGCTTATTTTGATGTGCTTTCTAAGTGATTTTAACAAACGTAGGTTACAAAAGAATATCATATTATGTTTAAGTGCACAGTTTAGGACGCACTTCTAGGCACATATTTTAGACTTAGAGACACGGTTTAGGCTTATGACGCAATGTAGCGTTAATTTTAGGTCTGATGGCCAAGTATGGGCCATGTTAGTGTCAGGATCATGTGGATTAGCTAATTATCGTTTTGTTTTGTAAAGAAAGTTCTTGCCACTTTCTAAAATTCAGAAAAAATTCCGCACCGTGCAGCACCATTTGTCTTCTTTGAACAGTGCGAAAGCGCAATCCCGTCCGATCGGGTAAGTTAAGCAACGGTGCGCTTGATTATAAAAAGTTCGAGGAACACTGGCTTGAAAAAAATTTTTGAAGATTTTAGGGTAGTGAAAAGAAAGTTTTTCCAAATTTTTAAACGTAACTTTATAAATAAGCTTTTTTGATTAAAATTTCAATATTTTTCAAAATTTGATATTTATGAATGAATTTATATTATAAATAATATCCAACAATATAACATAATGATATCACCGTCTTAACAACAAAACTAGACCCAAGAATGGTTGACACCAATTAGGCAAATGTACCTTAACAATAGACGCTGTACTAGTGCTAAATGATGATAAAACAGTACAACCCGTATTGTACTTAAAATTCGAAAAAGGCGTACCACGCACAGTCTGCTCCAATACAACTGTTAAATTCACTTGGCTTTGGTTCTCATCAACGCCGGCGCGGAGACCCGTACTTTGCCTGGTAATGTCTGTACGACGGTCGGGTCTGACACTAGCGATTTGACCAGGTTCCTCTCGGCTTGAGTTGCGGTTTTGTCTTTTTGGAACAACTCGAGAGCTGTTTTCACGGCACGGCCACGTTTCCCCGTTCCTGGCGTGATTTTTACCTAAAAAACAAAAATAAAAAAAAAATTAAATTTAAAAATTTTGAATTTTAATGCCATCTTAAGAATTCAAATATTATTTTTAAGAATTCCAATGCCCTTTTAAATCGTATTTGATAAAAATTTCATTTTTAAAAACCAAATTAAAACCAAAACAACATTTTCCATTCGTTTGCACAGTGCAATTAAAATGACTGCACAGTGCAACCGTAATTTTTTTGCACTGTGCAATATTTTCTCCTTTAATTTTTAAGAACTGGAAAGAAAGTTTTTACGGAATGAATATACCATTAATTAACCGTGTCAAAACCTGTTATTTTTATTATAAAAAATGTTTTTTACTATAGCATTATAAGGTAGTAAGAACAATGTAAAAATTCTGCACCGTGCAAAAATAAATTTTGCACCGTGCAGCCCAAAATTTTACAGTGTAAAACGTTGTTTTTTAAATTTTAAAACTGATTTTTTTTCATTTTTAAATCAAAATTTTAAAAAAAATCAAAGACATCAAAAAACCGCTTTTCCCAAGACTTTTTGACCAAAACCTTTACCTTGTACTTGAACTTTTGCATCGCCGAATAAGGTGCACATACTGCCACAACATACAGTATACCATCGTCGTTTCGTGGTTGTGGACATAGAGATTTGAAGACGGCTTCTTCTTGATCTAAACTTTCTAGTTGATCTTCTTCCTCTTCCTCTTGTTCTTCTTTCTTTTCTTCTTCAGGTTCCTTTTGTTCCTCTTCCTCTGGTTTCTCTTCTTCTTTTTCTTCTTTTACCTCTTCGATTTGAGGTTCTGGAGCTAGTTGGTCTGGCCAATCTTCGTCTTTTTGCTTTTTGGCTTTGGCGTTGTTCTTCTTGAGCTTGTTTAACACTGAAAATGACCACTTTTTAATCAATATACACATTTGAAACACTCTCGAAATACCTAAAATTAATTTTTCAACCAAAAAAGTCTCAGTTTCTATCAAAAACCTACCTTTTTTCATCAAAATCACTTATGATAATATAAAATTCAGTCCAAAATGCTACCTTTAGTAGGCTGAGCGCCTAGTTTTCTCAATTCTTCTTGTCGTTCGTCTTCTGTTTGATCACCGTACTTCTTCTTAATCTTCTGAAGTTTGTGCTTTTGACGTTTCGTCATTGGAGCATCCTTGCCCTTATCTATAACAATATTACCTTACTCAACATTTTAAAAACAAAAATTCTCATGTTTCTATTTTTTAAAACTAATTCCTTAAGCTTAAAATGACGGTTCAGACATTTAGAAAAAAAACTTTAATTTGAACCTGCATATGCAATGAGCCACACTGCACAGTGCAATAAAATTTCTTGCACCGTGCAAAAGCTTAAAAAGCATTTTTAAAGAAGTGGAAAGAAAGTTATTGCGTGATAAGCATACCATTATTTAACCGTGTCAAAAGCTGTTATCTTACTATAAAAACCATTTTTTACCATACCATTATAAGGTAGTAATAAGCAAGTAAAAAGTTTGCACCGTGCAAAACACTTTTTTTGCTAATTTAGGTATAAAAAAGCTAAAAATATAATTTTTGATGTTTTGTAAACAAAGTTCTTGTTATTTTACGAAATGTTTCTGTAAAATATTGTCGTTTTTGCAGTCCAAAATTTTGCACCGTGCAAACCATTTTTTTAAAATAAAAAGTCATTTTAAACTTTCTAAAACTACAAAAATAAAAAGTTACAGACCTTTAAGCTCCGGATTCTTAGCCTCAGCTTCTTTTTGTTCCTTTTCCTTCTCTTCCAAGTACTTTTCACGTTGTGTTTTCTCTCTGACCGGTTGAATAAGTTGAATTAAGGTAAAGTCCTCGTCATCCAAACCTTTTGCCGTGTTTGAATCCAAACGAATGTCGTCTAATTTCAGCTGAACATCTGGGAATTCGTCTTCTTCGTTATCATCTTCCTCGTCTTCTCCTTTTAGTTCTTCCTCCTCTTCTTCGTCTTCTTTCACGTCTTCTTGTTGTTCTTCCACTGTAACTATGCTTGCTTTGCTTGAGGCGTTCTTTTCGGCCGCTTCTGCCAAATGTTTTTGTGTAGATTCTTCGTCCAATCTAAAAATAATTGCAATAATATAAAATTACAAAACATTTTCATTTAGATCTAAATAAATACCAAAAATGCCATTATTTACGATCTCAAAATCAAAAAACTGCAAAAACTTTCTTTACAACACACTAAAAATCTCAAAAACTTTGTTTCCACCCAGTGTTCCACGAAATTTTTATAATCAGGCGCACCGTTGCTTAACTTGCCAGATCGGATGGGATCGCGCTTTCGCACTGTGCAAAGAAGACAAAGGGCGCTGCACGGTGCAGAAATTAAGCTTTTGGCAATAACTTTGTTTACAATGATGTAAAAAAGTGTTTTTGAAAATTTTTGAGTTTTGGAAGGAACTTTCTTTCCAAATTCAAAAGCTAATTTTTTTAGTATAACTTGAAAAAACTGCATTAACTTTATTTACAATGATAAAAATGCCATTTTTTTTAGTTTTGAGCAGTTGCAAGAACTTCCTTTACAAAATATTTTCAAATTTCAAAAAAAAAAATATTTTTCAATGTTTACCCCCCCTTAAAATAAAAAATTTTTTAAACACCCGCCCAAAAAAAAACTCCATTTACCCCTTCCTTACATCGTTTTTAACCCCTCTCAAACTTTTTTAATTAAAAAAATCTACCCCGCCCTCGTTTTTCAACCAAAAACCTCGATTTCTGGCCATTTCATACCTAAAGAAGAGTCCAAATCCAAGCTGCAGATGGACCGACGGCAAAAAATTTTTTTTTCCTCGAATCATGAAACTTCCTGGTGGTAGGTACTCTCCGGTTTGTGCTGTTCTGCTGACTTGATGATGGTATACCCACCACGCGCTTACTGTAATCTTGGCCTCCCATGCCGTGGAGTAGCAGACGGCCATGGAGCCGGCTTCGTTCAGAGTCATTGGTGGGATGTCTTGGTCTTTGACTTTGTTTCGTACCACGACTGATGAGGCACCGTGGAGGTCGGCGTGAACATATACATCACCAGCACGTAGGTATCGTTTCACGAGGGCTTCGTTCTGTTGGGCGTCTCGGCCGCCTATGATAAGATAGCCTTCGGATGATAAGCACCAGTAAAACTTCTCGAACCACATTGTTTTCCGGGCTCGTGCTATGGTGGTGTTGGCTCTGACCTGAAAATTATTTTGTTAATTCAAAAATTTTTTAGATTTGTAAAGAAAATTCTTGCCATTTTTAGTTTTGTAAAGAAAGTTCTTGCCATTTTTTGTTTTGTAAAGAAAGTTCTTGCCATTTTTTGTTTTGTAAAGAAAGTTCTTGCCATTTTTTGTTTTGAAAACAAATTTCTTGCCTCTTTTTTGACAATTCCCTTGCGTATAACTTGGTTACGCAGGCTGCGCAACCCTGTACCTAACTGTTTTGACCTGTTTTTTGAACCAAAATGGCAAAGAATTATATTTTCATAACCAAAAACGTCATTTTAAACCTTTTATAAACAAAAAAATCTAAAAAAATGCAATTTTAGATTGGCATAAGTAAAAAACATTGAAAAATTTACCTGCTCCACCTTGTTCTGAGTCTGTTTCTGAGCATTTTTCAAAGCCAAGCTCGATGCTTGTAGAGTTCTTTCCTTCTTCTCGACGGCCGCTTTCTTATCACCAAAGAACTTGCGACAATTTTGATCCGCATTCAAGTCCAGGTCTACTTCGACATCAAAAGTTTGGATTTTCTTCGGTTTTTTGCCATTTTTAACCTCATTCACACCTTCATTTTCGTCCTCCTCTTCGGAATTCTCGTCCAGATGAGCATAAATGTCCGTTAGTCTTACTGTAATTTCATTTTGTGCCAAATTCACGCGAATTATAGCTTTGGCCACAGGGTTTTGTTGAGCAGCCGCTTGTTTCAGGACGCGGTCGATCTCGTCCCAGGGCAGTTTGTTGGCCACAAATTGTCTAAAAATTCACTTTAAATACTTTAAATTGGCCTTAATCAAATTTTAAATCATCGAAAATAACAAACTTTAAACAAATTTTGCACAGTGCAAAAATTTTTTATATTGCCATTTTTCATTTTGTAAACAAAGTTTCTTCAATATTTTTCATTCAAAACGAAATTGCTGCCACTCTTTATTTAATATTCAAAATTTGTGTCATGTTTTATTCTGTAAACAAAGTTATTACCAAAAACTTAATTTCTGCACCGTGCATCGCCATTTTTACTTGCACGGTGCAAAATCTCAATTATTTTTAAAAAATTTTCAAAAAAAATATTTTTATGCTTATTACACTCTTAAACTTCATATCCCAGCATTTTTTCAAAGTTCCTCACCCTGTAGACCTTTCATCGTATAAAATTTCCTGCGCAGCCTGCACAGTGCCACAACTCGGAAATCCTCAAGTTGCGCCCGCTCTTAATCCCCGAAATTCCTCAAAAATCTTTAAAATTTACCTCACGACCAAGATGCATTGATCAACCAGGTCTCGGTTCATTTCAATCAGCTCGGCTCGCTTCTGTTGACTCTCCTGGTGTTCATCTAGAGCTTTGACCCTTCGTTCGTGATCCTTCTTGACATTGTTCAGCTTTTTGATGGCTTCCTTCTCGGCTTGAATGGCTTTTTGGTCCAATTTCTGACCATCCAACAGCGAGTAAAACTTGTCAATGGCTTCGCTAAAGCTCGGATATTCTTGTACCTCTAGATTTGAGCCTGGTAGATTGAATTGGGCAAAGCAGAAGGGATGGTATTCCTAAAACGAGGTAAGCTTTTTATTAGTTTGTTCTGTTTTTAGATGAATTCGAAGGGATACTAGCCATAAACATCAAAAATATTGGTCAAAAACACCAAAAACCAAAGAAAAATATGAAAAATCATAAAAACTCGATATAAACATTGAATTATTCATCAAAAACTTAAATAAAAATGATTGAAAACCCACAAAAATAATGGAAAATATTCTATTTCACCCGTATTTTACCTTACCTGATAGCTTTCGGCTTCAGAACCATCAGGACGTTTGATTCTTTGCAGTGTAATATAACCTTTGCTTGGTTCTTGAGAGATTTGCTTTAGAATCTTATCAGCTTCTTCCAATGCTCTGCTAATCAACAATGTTCCTTCTCGAACTGTTCCCAGGTCTTTCATCTACAATATTCTCAATTTTCAAGTTAAAATTCAAAGTTTTACACTATCTTTCGTCAAAAATATTAACATAGATACCAAATGTGTACTACAACATCCAAAACTTAGCATAACTTCAATGTCATTTTCACGATACTTTCAAAAACTTGAGCATACATGAAGAACAGTACTACCTAAGTAATAAACAACAAAACGCATTAAAATTTACCTGGGTGTTAGAAGGCAGACCAATAGAAACAAAGCCATGTTCAAGTAGTTGACCACTGAACGGAACATGTCGAACCAACGCTTTTCTGACATATTCATCGGGCTTTGCTGATTCCAAAAACAAAGAAATGTTCTCTAAAGAAGGTAAGAAGGTCTCTTTTCTGGCCAGTTCCAATGGGTATCTGAAAAAATCAAGCTTTTATATTATAGTAGACATTTGGTAGAAAAATAGTGCCTATAACAATATATGAAAGTTTAGACGGCTGATGTTGTACTTAAAATAACGTCAAGAAGATGACAGATATTACTAAAACAGCTTAAAGTAGCAATAAGTACGTTATGACGCCAAAAACAGACATCAAAGATGTTGTAGTAGACATCTGCATGTCTAGTCAAAAAAAGCTCGTCATTACTAAATAAAGCAACAAATCCTTTTATAATTATTTAAGATAAACAGGAAGTGGACTAAAAAATACTTTATAATCAATTTAAGACGGTCCATCGCAGATTAAATTACCAAAAACCCTTCGCATATTACACTTACTTCTCTTTGACCGAAAACCTAACATCATGATCTCGATCAGTTCTTGGCCTCAAAACATTCAAAATGATGTAGTCAGCGTCTGTTAATATGATGTTACCACGGTCGTATAACTCAACAATCACATGGCAAGCTCGATCTTCATCTCCAAATTGCATGTCTATGATTCTGTCAGCACCAACCTGAAAAACACATTAAACATAAGTTTCTCTAATATGTCATATTTAAAACCAAAAGATGCCGAAGAATATAAACTAACCTGATTAACAGCAGTCAAGCGTTTCTGATTGATGTGCTTTCTGAATTTCATCGAGAACCCAGAAGGTACCTGAGATTTCGGCCAATCATGATAAGTTCGATGGATTCTTGCACCGGATTCAAACAAAATAAACGCTTTGTCGCTTGGCCTATAAAAAATAGTAGTTTAACTATATAAATCCGTTTTTATGATTAAAAGTATGTTTTTCAATATGAAAGGGCTAAAAACAAAGTTTAATCTATATTACTCATGATGCCTTCACAATACGCTTCGTAACTTCTTTCAACAAAATGAAATCATGTTGAAATTATTCTTAAAAGACTCCCTGATATCTCATTTATATTAATGATACCAAAAACCTTCCATGAACGCTTATTTGTAACTATTTTTACTCGATATTATCCATGAGTTATCAGATACGTCTCTTCCTCCCAAAATCCACCTAAACTCAAAAAATACAAATTAAAAACCCTTACTTATGCAATTTCATCAAATATGTTCGACTGTCAATGTCATACACATTCACTACACGCATGCTGATCATCTGTTTTAGGTCGAAGACGACAGCGCAGATGTCTAACGTCGAAAACTTAGACTTCATCCTGAATTTTTGCTCTGAAAATGTTAAAATTAGCTATAAAAGTACGTTTAAAATATTTTAAACAAATTATCGAATCAAAAAACGATGTAACTCACTGTAGAAACGTCAAAAAACGTGATTACGAAAGAACGGGAAATAATTTTACAGATTTTGCTGTATAGAGAAAATCTTGACACAAAGAGAGAAAACTGGGCCAAGTGTTGCACTAGATGATAACAAGAGATAAAACGAGCAGACCTGGCTAAAGGTCAACTTGAATTTGAGACATTAATATGTTTTATTATTTTTGAAACTAAATTTTAAAGATTTTTTACTTTTACAGCTTTTTTTGAACTTTTTACTTAATTTACCACTAAAAATGAAACAAAATGATGGTTACCCCAAAATCTAGGTTGTAAATTCAAAATCGATGATTACAATAACATTCTCCAATGTTTTTTCTATCATATTATATCCATTCCCACCCATAATTTCAGTTAAAACCGATTGAACTTTGAACTCAAAGACAGCGACTCATGGTTAATATCATCATGTATGCGAATATTTTTTCCGGTCGGTAAATACGATAATATTGCATGTCTGGGTAAATCATGTTGTTTTAAACACCATTGTTTTTGATTTTGGGTAGTTATAAATGTTTTAGGCTTGTTTTGAGGATAAGTTGTTTAGAACATGTTCGTATGTTTTTTACTGTCGTATATGGTATTGTTGGGTGAAATTTTGATAAAATATAGTACCTTATAGTGTACTATGAGCATTAGGTCATTTTGGTGCTATTTCAATTTTTTAAATTTAACTTTTTTAAAATTTTCAAAACTTAAAAATTTCCAAAATTTTTGTAAAAAATCGCTGCCATTTTAAAACGTATGTCTGCAAAAGCTCAACTACCTAAAACTACAATTTCCCTGTCCAAAATAATGCATTATACCCTCGTATACCAGATTAGCTATTCATTTACTATGTAAAACTTATTAAAATCCTCGAATTTGAATATAAATCAACTATCGCCTCGGGGTCAATTTTCATTTTCAGACGTTCAACAATCCAAAAAGTCTGTTAGACCATATTTTGATAACAAAAATGTTGGACACCTTGAGAAGCGACAAATATCGACCAAAAGTGGTCATTTTCACCGTTTATTTGGCCATGTTAATCGACTGTTTGTTGTTTACCATTGTTGGTATGTTAATCAAAATATCTTTTGTACCTTTATTTTTACATTTTAAATTATTAATTAAGCTTTTTAATACCTAAATTAACAAAAAAAAGGTTTGCACGGTGCAAAGACTTTGGCTGCACAGTGCAATATTTATCTTTGCACGGTGCAAAATTTTTACTTTGCTGTAACTATTTTTAAAAAGTAATTTAAAAAGTCATTTTAGTAGCTCATATAACATCTTTTACTACTGTTTAGAACTGTCGTACTCACTATGCAATAACTTTCTTTCCAGTGCTCGAAAACCGCTTTCAAAGACACTGCACAGTGCAAAAAAAGTGATTGCACCGTGCAAAAATTAAAAATCTTTTAAATTGACTTTCATTTGTTTTTGCAAGCGCAAAAACTTTGTTTACAGTAGAAAAATAATACTATTCTATGTTTTTTCAGTCCCAATCCTACCAGACTACCTAATTCGTATCAAGGATACGAACGACACGTCGTATCTTGACGCCTCGTTACATCGTCAAAACATTTCGAATTTTACTCAACTCGAGCACGAACAAAGCTACCATGAAGCTTTTGTGTCTAACAACATTCCAGTAGCCATGCTACTGGGCTCCAAAGCTGTTGTTCAGATCCCGACCGGGCTGATCGTTTCTCAGATCACTTATCGGTAGGCTATGTCATTTTATATAGGGGCAGGGTAAGACACTGAAATAATTAGGGCACGGTGAGGCACGGCTAATGGGTCATGGGTAGGGAGTAAGGGTAGGGGGGGGAGTTGGGGAGGGGGTAGGGGTAGTTGAATAGGAATAGTTGGATAAGGGCAGTTGGGTAGGGGGTAGGAGTGGGGGAAATGGGGTAGGGGTAGTTGAGTAGGTGGAGGTAGGTCGTATTTAACAAAAATAATACCAATATGGGTGGGCAGGGTCATCCCTCCCCCCAATCCCTAAATTCAATCCACCCCTATCCTGAATTTGGCCTGCCCTACCCGTACCACTCCCCTTCGGCTGAAAAATCAAAAAAAAAATTTTACCACCCCCTTTCTTTCCGATCTAGAAACTACCACCCCCTTCCTCTTTTTCCCGATCTATAAATTACCCCCCCCCCCCTTTTTCCAATCTAAAAAATACCCCCCCCCTTTTTTTTCCGATTGAAAATTTACCCCCGCCCAACACTAGCAACGCTAATATTTTTTTCAGAATCGGCTACTCGATCCCCCTCTTCATAGGCTTTATCATCATAATCGTCTCTTCCCTCCTGTTCGCCTTTGCCACTTCTTATTGGACCCTCTTCTTTGCCAGATCCCTGAATGGCGTGGGCAGTGGCTTCACAGCTGTGTCTGGACTAGGAATGCTAGCCGAGACCTTTCCGGACAATGTTCAACGAGGCAAGGCGATCGCTTTGGCCTTTGGTGGCATAGCTATTGGGATCACGGCGGGACCAGTCATCGGAGGGTTCTTGTACAGTTTCGGTGGTATTGTACTACCGTTCGGACTGTTGGCTGGGGTTTCGTTGCTTGAGGGAGGTGAGTTTGAATACGAATTTTATTTTTACTAGTATCTGCCATGCCTGTTTGAAACTGTTTTATATAGGGGTAGATCAAGGTAGGGGTACATCAAGCTAGAGGCAGATCAAAGTTGGGGAAGGTCAAGGTAGTGGTAGATGAAAGGTCGGGTAGGGGTACATCAAGCTAGGGGGAGATTAAGCTGAGGGTAGATTAAAGCAAGGGTTGGTTAAAGTGGGGGTAGATCATATCAAAGTAGGGGTAGATAAAGGTAGAGGTAGACGAAAGTAGAGGTAGGTCAAGGTAGGGTTCGATCAAGGTAAAGGTTGAGCAATGTAGGGAGTAGATCAATGTAGGGGGTAGATCAAAGTGGAGTATGTCAAGGTAAAGGTAGGGGTAGGTAAAGGTAGGGGTGGGGTAGATCAAGGTAAGGGTCGGATAGATCAATGTAGGAGCAGACCAAGTTAGGGGTAGATCAAGGCAGGGGTAGGCGAGATAAAAGTAGGGGCGGATATAGATCAATGAAAGGGTAGGGGTAAATCAAGGTATGGATGGAGAAGATCAAGGTAGGTTAGGTAGAGGTAGGGGTAGGGTAGATCAAGGTAGGGGTAAATCAACGTAGGGGTAGAACAAAATAGGAGTAGGTCAAGGTAGGGATATCAAGGTAAGGGTAGGGGTGATAAAATTAGGGGTGGTTAGATCAAGGTAGGTATAGGGGTTAAGCTAAGTAAGGGTAGATCGAGCTAAAGACAGGCGAAGGTATGGGTGGGGGTAGATCTAGGTATTAGGGGGAAAGATCAAGGTAGAGGTAGGTCAAGGTTGGAGTTAGGGTAGATCAATGCAGGGGTATATTAAGGTATATTTGGTTTTAAAATTTATTAAAATCAACTTATTAATATTAGTATATAACAAAAAAACTATTTACACAGCCTCAAGAGCTTGTCGTCATTATAACAGGGGTTGTTGTGATAAGTTCCGTAGTTGTCTCTCCTACTGTGGTCGTAGGTATAGGCATAGTAGTAGTTTGAACGGTGGTTGTAAATGGTACCGTTGTGATCGTTGTAGCTTCTACAGTAGTAGTAGTAGGTACTGTAGTAGTATCAACGACAGTAGTAGTTGGTACGGTCGTCGTCTCAATAGTAGTTGTAGTCGGTATGGTAGTGGTTTCTACAGTGGTAGTGGTGGGTACTGTAGTAGTATCAACAGTAGTTGTACTAGGTATTGTCGTGGTTTCTGCCGTAGTAGTAGTAGGTACCGCAGTAGTAGTGAGTACTGTAGTAGTAGTAGGTACCACAGTAGTAGGTACGGTAGTAGTGATGGGTACTGTAGTAGTAGTGGGTACTGTAGTAGTATCAACAATAGTCGTAGTAGGTATCGTCGTGGTTTCTACCGCAGTAGTTGTAGTTACAGTAGTAGTAGGTATGGTAGTAGTAGGTATGGTAGTAGTGGTAGGGACCGCAGTAGTAGTGGGTACTGTAGTAGTATCAACAATTGTCGTAGTAGGTATCGTCGTTGTCCCGACCGTAGTAGTGGTAGGTACGGTAGTTGTAGTAAGTACTGTAGTAGTAATAGGTACAGTAGTAGTAACAAGGATAGTAGTAGTAGTTGGTACTGTAGTCATATCTACCGTAGTTGTATCTACAGTAGTCGTCGGTACTGTAGTTGTAGGTACGGTAGTCGTATCTACCGTAGTCGGGGGTACTGTAGTCGTATCTAGTACTGGAGTCGTACCTACCGTAGTCGTAGGTACAGTAGTCGTATCTACTGTAGTCGGGGGTACTGTAGTCGTATCTACCGTAGTTGTGGGTACTGGAGTCGTACCTACCGTAGTCGTAGGTACAATAGTCGTATCTACCGTAGTCGGGGGTACTGTAGTCGTATCTACCGTAGTTGTGGGTACTGGAGTCGTACCTACCGTAGTCGTAGGTGCCGTTGTCGTATCTACTACCGTTGTCGTTGGCAGCTCCATAGTTGTAGTCATGTCTACTGTAGTCGCCGGTACTGTAGTCGTGGGTACTGTAGTTGTACCTACCGTAGTCGGGGGTACTGTAGTCGTAGGTGCCGTTGTCGTATCTACTGTAGTTTTAGGTACTGTAGTCGGAGGTACTGTAGTCGTATCTACCGTAGTCGGGGGTACTGTAGTCGTATCTATCGTAGTCGTAGGTGCCGTTGTCGTATCTACTACCGTTGTCGTTGGCATCGCCATAGTTGTAGTCACATCTCCCGTAGTCGTGGGTACTGTAGTCGTACCAACAATAGTCGTCGGTACTGTAGTCGTATCTACTGTAGTCGTAGGTACTGTCGTCATATCTACCGTAGTCGTTGGTACTGTAGTCGTAAGTACTGTAGTGGTGGGTATTGTAGTTGTATCTACCGTAGTTGTATCAGCAGTAGTCGTCGGTACTGTAGTCGTATCTACCGTAGCCGTTAGTACTGTAGTCATGTCTATCGTAGTAGTAGGAACCGTAGTCGTATCTACCGTTGTCGTGGCTACTGTAGTCACATCTCCCGTAATCGTGGGTATTGTTGTCGTATCTACGATAGTAATAAGTACCGTAGTCGTATCTACGGTAGTCGTGGATACTGTAGTCGTATCTACCGTAGTCGTGGGTATTGTATTCATGTCCACCGTAGTAGTAGGTGCCGTCGCAGTACCTAATACCGTTGTCGTTGGCATAGTCATAGGCATTGGACTACTATCTACCGTAGTAGTCATCACTACAGGTCTATCAGTCTCTGGGTCTACTGTAGAATCAGGCGGATCATTTTGCTTCGGATTACAATAATTACACGACCTCGGGCAGTACAATCTCATAAAGAATCTCGTGTAAAAGTTCAACTGACAGAAACCATTCAACTTCCAGATTGGGCAACTGAAAAAAATGTCATGATGACATATTTTTTAAAATTGTTTTGCCTATGATAGGACTAAAGACGATATATGGTATATAGGTACAGTAGTGATTATAAGTGCTAGAGTAAGGTACGGTAGGGATAGGATTAGAAGGTGCGTGAGGTATGATGGCTACAGTAATGTACATCAAAGAAAAGAATACGGTAGGGCACGGCTTTGGTAAGGGTACGGTAGGGCAAGGGTATGGTAGGTAAGGACCGGTAGAACATGGCTATGGTAGGGAATAGCTATAGTAAAAGTAGGGTCAAAGTGGGGCACGGCTATAGTGAGTGGGGCAAGGCTACGGCAGGGCGTGGATAGGTACGGTATGGTATGGATATAGAGGTATGAGTAGGGGTAGAGGTAGGGGTAGGGGTAGGGGTAGGGGTAGTTCACAATAAAAAATGAAAAAATTTTTAAATTTAAAAAAATGTAAAATATTCAAAAAACCCGCAAAAACTTACTTTACAAACCGGTCCGAGCACTGGTCGTTACAGTAAGAACAAGTTCGAGCGCATTTCCGCTCCAAAGCCGCGGCATAAATGCGATTCGTACAAAATGGTGCCATTTGGGCGCAATTAGTCGCCTTGTCTTGGCATTGACAATTTACTATCACAATACAAAATACGAACAGCCCATAGGCTTGTCCATTCATTTCGGCCGTTAATGACTTTGTTTCAATGTGATAATGGACCAATGTAAGCGGCTGAGCAAACATCGCACGTTCGATACGATACGTTGTGTGTTGCCCAAAGAATGTCATTTTTTATGAGACCTCTCTTTGTGTTTTATTTTAGGGTGGATAAATTGTAGCTATTTTTTAGTTTTGGGAATAGATAAATCAATTTTTTGCTCATAAATAAGCCGTAAAAATTTTTAGAATTTTTAAAAATTTTGTTTTTCAGATATGGTAGTTTGAAATTTTCTCTTCCCTACCCTAGCCTTACTTTGCATTACCTTAGCCATGCCCTGCCATATATTAGCTTTGCCCTACCCTAGCTCTGTCCTGCCTTGGTTTGGCCCGCTCTTGCCATAGCCTTGGCCTGTCTTAGCGTTACCCTACGATACTTAAGTTTTGCCCTGTCTTACCCTAGTGCTGCCGTTCCCTACAGTACAGTAACCTACTATATCGTACGTTACCCTACCCTAACCGCTTCTACATAAAATCACACACATTACAGTAGTCCAGCTCCTTCTCCTCCAGCCCAAGGTCTCCAAAGTTCGGCCAGAGCCCACCGCCTATGGCAAACTCCTCTCCGACCCCTACATCCTCATCACAGCTGGTGCAATCTGGTTCAGTAACCTCGCCTTCTCAATGCTAGAGCCCTCGTTACCTCTGTGGATGATTGAAAATTGGGGGTCGAGTTCAGCAGAACAAGGAATGGCATTCTTGCCTAGCTCGCTAGCCTACATGATTGGGACAAACATGTTTGGCTTCGTCTCGGGCTACTTTGGACGATGGCAGTGCAGTTTCGCTGGGTTTTTGATGATTGGAATATGCGCACTTATTGTGAGTTTTAAAAAATGTAGCAAAAACTTTCTTTACAGCCCGTAAATTAATAAAAAGTTTTCCATAACGTAGCCTTTCATACCTAAAAAATCTAAAAAATTCCATTTTTATACCTAAAAATATCAAAAATGCCATTTTTTATCAGCCGGAATAAAAAATTGCAAAAACTTTGTTTCCACCCAGTATTCCTCGAATTTTTTATAATCAAGCGCACGGTTGCTTAATTTGCCAGATCGGATGGGATCGCGCTTTCGCACTGTGCAAAGAAGGCAAATGGCACTGCACGGTGCAGAAATTAATTTTTTGGCAATAACTTTGTTTACAATGCTGAAAATGACGTTTTTTGAAAATTTTTTGAGCCTTTGCAAGAACTTTCTTTACAAAATTTTAAAAAATTGGTAATTTTTTGGAAAAATTGGAAAACCGCAATAACTTTGTTTACAAAGCTCAGGAAAGCAAAATTTAATAAAAATCCATTTCAGATACCAAATTTGAAAAAGAAACCGCAAAAACTTTCTTTCCAACCCCCAAAAAGTCTAAAAAACAAATTTTAGATCCCGTTTGCCCAAAACATTTACCACCTAATCATACCAAATGCCGTACTAGGCTTAGGTCTAGGCTTGGTAGATACGAACATGTTCCCAATGTTAGGCCACATCGCTGACCTCAGGCACACAAACGTATACGGCTCGGTATACGCAATTGGTGATGGAGCAGCTTGTTTAGCGTTTGCCTCCGGCCCATTCATGGCTGGGCCGATTGTACGGTATTTTGGATTCAGAAGGTAAGGCTTTTGATTTTTTAGGTAATACATGTAAATTTTAAGAAATTTTTATCATTTAGTATTTACCCTGCCCGTGTTTTACAATTCAAAACGATAAAATATATTATTTTCATTCGAAAAAAAAACTTTTTTTCTAAAAAAACCGTAATAACTTTCTTTCCAAAACAGTTTTTAAAAATTTGGCATAGCCATAGCTAGCTTGATATCTGCCACATCCTAAAAATCAAAAATAATCTCAATATCACTTTAAATGACACTTTTATGACCTTTTTTCCAAACCTAACCCAAAGAAAAATCATTCCAGATATACTGAAAAAAACCGCAATAACTTTGTTTCCAGCTAGAATTTTTAAAACCTACTTATCACATAGATAGAATAATGTCTTCCACACCTTACAGAATCATAATATTGTCATCACATCTTTAAATGACACTTTTATGACCTATTTTCCAAACCCAATTCAAAGCAAAATCTCTCCGGACACTCCATACAAAAACCGCAATAACTTTCTTTCCACAAATAATTTTGAAAAAGTTTTCACGCCAGCCGTCTAATAGTCTAAGACTGCCTTATGACTTTAAAAATGTTACCTATATCTCATAAAATACCCTTAATATACCACTTTCTTCAGCATGATGGCAGTGATGGCTATAGCCAATTTGGGCTTCGCTCCTTTTATGTTCATTATAAAACGGCTGCCGGAAACGCTAGACGAAAAGCCAAAGAAACGTTCCGTGATCTCAATAATCGAAACTACTCCCGAATACATTAAAAATTAACTTATTATATATATTGTTTTATACTTTAGGTACATGTATATTTTGAAAATAAAGGATAATAAAGTTAACAACTCAAGCCTAAATTTCAATTTCTAAGCCTGAAATAGCGTCATAAACCTGAAATTCAATTTCTAGGCCTAAATTTCCATTTCTAAACCAAAAATTCTACTTCTAAACCTAAACTGGCGTCATAAGCCTACAAATTCATTTTTAAACCTACGGTGGCGTTAAAAGCCTAAAATTGTGATCTAAGCCCGAAATGCCACTTCTAAGCCTAAACTGACGTCCTACGCCTCAAATTGGGCGCCAAGCCTAAAATTCCATTTCAAGCCTAAAATTAGACCCTAAGCCTAAAATTCCATTTCTAAGCCTAATTTTAGACCCCAACCCTAAAATTCCATTTCTAAGCCTAAACTGGTGTCATAAGCCTACAAATTCATTTTTAAGCCCAAATTGGCGTGATAAGCCTAAGAGTGCGACATAAGCCTAAAATTGTGTCGTAAAGATAAAATTATATTTCTAAGCCTAAAAGATTTGCCTGAACTTTAAAAAATCCTAAATTAAAAAAAATTTCCAAAATTTCAAAAACTTTCGATTCTCGCACATTTTACCAAAGTAAACTTGAAAGGTAATAAAGAGTAATAAACTCGCTAGTTTCGGCGATTTTCCAAAAACGTTTTTTTTTCCTCTTCGGATTACTCAAAAGTTTGCGAAGAAAAGGGGGTCGACAGTTTTTCATACTTTCGATTCGCTATGTAATAAGCATTATGTTATGGTTTATTTGGATTTAATTTATTTTTATTCAACCGGGTCAAACCATCACTTTTTCTATTTATTTTTGAGCATAAACTTTCAAAGCTGTAGTTCTTATATTAATATTGGTTTAGGTATGATTTTATATTAGTTTAGATATGATAGTAGCTATCTTTTAAGTATTCTTTTACCTTTTTTAAGCATGATGTCATCTTTTTTCTTTTACACAGCCTGAAACTTTCATTCAATCCAAAAAATAGTGAGAACTTTCTTTACACATCAAAAAATGGCAAGAACTTTCTTTACAACTCAAAAAAATGGTCAAAACTTTCCATAAAAATCCCTAAATGCCATTTTTACCACCTTTGATATAAAAAAAATGCAAAAACTTTCGTTCCATTACCCTAAAAGCCCCAAAAACTTTGTTTCCACCCAATGTTCCTCGAACTTTTTATAATCAATCGCACCGTTGCTTAACTTGTCAGATCGGACGAGACCGCGCTTTCGCACTGTGCAAAGAAGACAAATGGTGCTGCACGGTGCAAAAATTAATTTTTTGGCAATACCTTTGTTTACAGTAATGTAAAATAGCATTTTTCTGGATTTTCGGGTTTTGGAAGGAACTTTCTTTACAATTTTTAAAAAAAAGTTGCTTCCAAACCCTAACTTATCGCGCTTTACGCATAAAACCAAGTGTAGAACAGTAAAGATAGTTCTTTTAAATTTACGACTACCACCCTCCCTCATCTACCATAGTATCTTTCTTTACAATCACCAAAAGCCTATAACCCTGTCATGCTTTCACTTTCATTTCGAGTAAAATCTTACTTTTCTTGCGTTTTGTGAGACGGTCAAACAACTTCGCCTACCCTTAAAAGGTTTGTTTGCACCTGCCGATCCGAGCTCTCTATGTTAATATATTTTGTTTTCGTTTTGGAATTCAAAAATTCAATTGATTCTCTTGCTTTGTACTATAATTTACTGTCATAAATAAGTGTGTGTATACCTCGGTTTTTAAAAATTTTTTCAAAATTTCATTTTTTTCAAAAAAATTTTAAAAAATCATTTAAAAATTTTTTTTTTCAAAATTTTTTAAAAATTTTAAAAATATTATTAAACAGCTTTGCCCCGCTTGCTGGCTAGCCGTTTTTCGTGTTCGACTTGGCGTTGGCGGCGCTTTTCCTCCAACGAACTTCGTTTGTCGGCGGCCAAGAGCTCGTTCACACCCTGATCGTCGGCGTCCCATTCATTCACACCATCCAGGTCCAAATCGACCAGTTCGTTGGTCTGAAAGTAATGGCAGTGTATAATTATGTTATAGAAACTTGTGATTGCTTTATTGTGTGTTTGTTTATTTTTTTTGTAGTTTTTGGGTAGGCAAGGGTAAATGCCATAGTATTTGTGTAGTTTTTAATACAGGCAAAGATAAAAGGTATAGTAAAGCCACAATAGAGCAAAGTAAAGCTATGGCAGAACACGGTGAAGATACTGTAAGCTCATTTCCTGATGGGGAAGGGTAGAAGTAAAGGTAGTAATAGAAGTGGGTAAAAATTAGGGTAAGAGCAGAGTGGAGGTAGGGGTAAAGGTAAGGTGCAAGGGTAGAAGTAGGGACAAGGTTAAGGGTGGAGACAGGTATAGGGGTAAGGGTAAAAGTAAGGGGTAGGGATAGAAGTAGAGGTAGGGGGTAGGAATAGCAATAAGGATAGGGGAGGGGTAAAATAAGGGTCGGGGTAGAGGTAAGGGCAAAGGTCAGGGGTAGGGGTAAGGGTAGGGGTAGGGGTAGGGGTAGGGGAGGGGGTAGGGAAAGGGGGAAGGGGTAGGGGTAGGGGTAGGGGTAGGGATAGGGGTAGGGGTAGGGGTAGGGGTAGGGGTAGGGGTAGGGGTAGGGGTAGGGGTAGGGGTAGGGGTAGGGGTAGGGGTAGGGGTAGGGGTAGGGGCAGGGGTAGGGGTAGGGGTAGGGGTAGGGGTAGGGGTAGGGGTAGGGGTAGGGGTAGGGGTAGGGGTAGGGGTAGGGGTAGGGGTAGGGGTAGGGGTAGGGGTAGGGGTAGGGGTAGGGGTAGGGGTAGGGGTAGGGGTAGGGGTAGGGGTAGGGGTAGGGGTAGGGGAGGGGGTAGGGGTAGCCTCAACTTTACTTTACTGTACCGCAAAAACTTTCCTTCCAACCCAAAAAAACCAAATTTTCAAAAAATTTTTCATTTTCATTTTCCCAGACAATTTTTTTTCCTTCCCAACGTATCCATTATTAGAAAATCTCCCCCAAAACAACATGTTTCATTTTCCAAACCAACTTCCGGCGGTTAATTAACGTCTGAAGATGAAACGAATGGTATCTTCAACACAGTCAAATTCACGTTTCGTACAAAACCCTTTCATTCTTCTTCCGAAAACTTATTTTCGTTTCATATTTTGTTGCCGAAAAACGATTTTTAGCGATTTTAAAACTTTCCAGAATGTTGCCTTTTTTTACGTAAAAAATGCCATTTTTATCACCATTAATATCAAAAAATTATAAAAACTTTCTTTCCAGTATCTTGAAAACCCAAAATCTTTGTTTCTACACAGTGTTCCTCGAACTTTTTATAATCAAGCGCACCGTTGCTTAACTTGCCAGATCGGACGGGATCGCGCTTTCGCACTGTGCAAAACAGACAAACGATGCTGTACAGTGCAGAAATTAACCTTTTGGCAATAACTTTGTTTAAAATGATCTAAAAAGCCATTTTTAAAGGTTTTTTGAGTTTTGGAAGAAACTTTCTTTACAATTTTTTTCAAAGAATTAGTAATTTTGGGGAGGCCTTGGGAAAACCGCAATAACTTTGTTTACAGAACTTATAAAAAATAAAAAATCTACTTCAATCTCATTTTTCATCATTCTTGATTATTGGGAAAAAGACGTATTTTACCTCAATTTTGGATATCCAAATTTCGCTCGCTGTAAGCCTTGTGGAAGGCGGCTTTAATCCGGTTATGCATGGTCAATAAACACTTTTCGTTTCGTTTCTTTGAACTTTTGACAACAATGAACTGTCGCGTCGCAAAACTAGTAGCCGATCCTTATTTTCGTCGCGTTTGGACTACGTATTGGCTAGTCGAACGCTTTTTATGGGCTTACACGATTGTTGCAAATAGAGCAGACGGTTGTTGGGTTCAATATATTCGAATTTAGTGGGTTCTTTGATGCTTTTCGTAATGCAGTTTACAGTATTTGGCTTGAAGCAAAAGTATTTGCCATTTCGTAAATTGTAAAGAAAGTTTTTACCGTTTCTTGTATTGTAAAGAAAGTTTTTGCCATTTTTTGTTTTGTAAAGTAAGTTCTTGCAATTTCTCTTTTTGTAAATAAAGTTCTTGCCATTTTAGTGTTTGTAAACAAAGTTATTTCCATTTTTTATAGTTTCTTCTTCCTGTTTGAAATTCCCAATCCCAGCTCCCTTTTTTATGCAATCCCTTTCCTGAATCACTTGTTTTACAACATGTTATTACCCATGTATGCGATTTTTGTAACCTGTTTTTGAATTTTTTGTCGTCATTTTAATCCGTGAGCTCACTGTTTTGACCACTGTTTGTTTCTTGGGAAAAAATTTTAAATCCACCCCCAAATAAAATTTTTTTTTACCCCGCCCATTTTTTTGGCCTTTCCTAGCTAAAGACAAGACTTGTACAAATTCAAAAAAAATTTTGTACCCTCCCCCCCCTCAGCACACAAACGTTCCACTGCAACCCTTGCTCTTACCACACACACCCCTCTCAAGTTTAATATTTTCAAATTACCATGCCTTCTTTAATATTTCCATAGAAATCCCCACCCAATATTAAAAAGTTTCACGGTCATCCGAGCACATCGCAACAAGTTTCTCCCCTTTTTTCTATAATAATGCCCTTGAAGGAGGGGTTTGTTCGCCTACCTCAAGGTTCACTCCTAGAAAAGGCGACTTCAGAGGGTATCCCGTTGTTAATCCGGAATTATTGTCGGATGTCAGGTTAAACGGTTTGTTTAAAGTCTCTTTTTGCAGCGGGAGTCTGCACTTTAAGGGTATTTGAATAAACTTTGTTTTTGTCATCCTTTTTATTTGACTTTTACTTTTGTCATCTTTTTGATTTTTTCATTTGGTTTGCTTTTTTTTCATCATTTCAATTGACTTTTACTTTTGTCATCATTTTGATCTTTTTCTTGGTAAATTAAGTTAGGCTAAACCTGAAAGGGGGCCAACTACACCCATGAAGCAAATTTGAAAAGGCCCGGGCCTAGATATTGGTCCTTTAAAGGTCTAAGTTAGGCTAAAATTTGATAAAACTTATAAAATTCTGTCGATTAGCGAGCTTCTGATTTTTAATATAAAAAAGGGAGGGTAGCTAAAAATTTTTGTGGTCAAGTGGAATGGGTTTAATTTTTTTTCAAAAAAACTGTTTCTAAGCTCCCTCCCCCAACACCTAAATAGCCTTCCTTAACCTTCCCTAAAAAGCTCTACTATAACAACACCCTGCCCTGTCTTTAAGCCTACCCCCGCTCCCGAAGCCTTGAGGCTCGAAGGAAGGGTATCGATTTTTGCAGCCGGGACGAGAGGGGTAAATTTTATCTTTTCTCAAGGAATTTTTTTTTTGAGTTTACCCCCCCCTCCTCCATAAATCCGAACCCCGCCTTAAAGCGTAGCTCGCCCCCAAAGCCAAGTAAAGATCCAAACATAACTCCCCCACCTTCAAAGCCAAGTCAGTACCTATTCATATTTACCCTGCCCATCCCTGAATAATCATTGAACCCTTAAAAATCAATTATTTGATCCAGTAAATTACCCAAAATCTGAATGCTTTCAAATTCAAAAACAACTCCGAACGAACTGTTATTAGCTCATCTGCTTGTGGGCAATTAGCCCAGATTGTTGACTCACTATCCAGTTACGGCAATCAGATGAAAATGGTGTTTCACTTTCTGGTTGACCGTGAGATTTCGCGCGCGATTTGGTGTCTTAATCGCATTTATTCGGGTTGATCTATGCATTTTTGCGGGGGTTACCGTAGGAGGATGATCCATAAGCGAAACAAAGGGTAATCTTCGTAATCTTAATGTGGTCGAAGGTGGATCTAAGGGTAGGCCCGGGTACGTCTGTACAGAATTTTTCTAGAGAAAGGGTGGAACAACAGGGGGGGGGGTGAAATCCAAACTTTTTTGGGCCAAAGGACCACGTACAACTACCTGTGATGTTTTTTCCGGATTGACTCTAGCGGAATGGATCTAGCCCACAACTCCCCACCTCCAGAAGAAATCAGTCTACCAAAAAAACCTAAGCCTAAATAAAAAATAGAGATAAGCCTAACCAACTCTAGCCTTGAAATCAGCAACTTTCAAGCCTATGTGAATCAAATAGAAACCCTTCCTAGCGTTAGTGTGTCATATTGCTTTTGGTAGTGTCATAGTTTACAAGTGTGGTCACAGTAGGTCGTATACGGTTAGGGTCCTAAATCTCACGAGGGTTGTTTCTAATAAAACAGTGTAAATGTTATTAGTTCGCTTATCTTAAATAATGTCAAAAGTTTAAAAGACCACGCTACGCCTTGTTTAACTGAAAAAAAAATTGATTTTGCCGCCCTTTCTCATATTTTCACGCAATGCCTGAAGCATTTTTTTGAAAAAGCCCTCCCTAGTTTAAAAAAATCAACCCCCCCCCCCCCTCCTTTCTTTCCAACTTGTACCTAACAGCTTAAGCAGTCTGACTGATCCCAGTTACAATACCTCACCACCCCATTCCCTAAAAATATCCAATTTCTCCCCCCCCTAAAAAAAATTCGCCTCATAACCCGATTTCACTTTTTTTACAACAACAAGTTATTGCATTAAGCCTTACACAACGTCCCGTTTTTTGCAGTTGAAACAAGCTTTTGCTTTCCCTTTATGATTAGCACATTGAAGATGGCTTCAGCGGATCGGGATTTCGTCACTCCATATTACATGTTACTTAGTTATCGGCAGCGTAACATCCATTCGGATGAACGGCATTTTGGGAGCGGTTTTCGGATTGCTTGAGGGGAAATGTTTTGAGTTTTGGGATATCTTGTTGGTTGCGTGTGTTTTGGGGTTTGAGAATATTGTAGAATTGAGGTTTGGCTTGTGATTTGAAAAGTACTACAATTTTTGTCCGGCCAAAAAAAAATTTTTTTTTAAAATGAACTTGGTCCCTTAAAAAAAGAAATTAAGAAAAAATCGCACAAAAATTTTGTTAAAGGCATGGGCTGTTCAAGAAAAATAATTTTTTTATGGGGGAGGGGGGGGGGTGTCCAAGAAAAACACTCTCCCCTCTGCCAGAAAAAATGTGCAGCAATGTCCCTAAGGAATGACCCATATCTTACTTTCGTAATTCTTTCTACGCTGTTATACTGTTTGCATTACCCTACTGCCTATTCCTTTTTTTATCACCCTTCAATTACCTAACGTACCCCATCGCAAAAACCAACCCTCTTATTACAATTGACGAAGGTTAAAACGAATGCCATCCAAAAAAAATCGAATGTCATATTAGAAAAGGAGTCATCGTTTTTACGCCCTCAAGTGATTACATCAATCCGAATTTCCATCGGTGCTATTTTTTGGTCATCACGGTGGGTGACCGGATACGGTTTCGAATTCGGAAGCGCGGAATCATTTTGTACAGCCTCCACCCCAAAGAGGCTAAAATTACTTTTCCGCATTCGCGCTTAAAGGTCTGGGCGTTTGTAACCGTGAAATTTGTTTATTTAGATGAATTGAGAACGGTAATTTGGGGGGAAGGGGGGGGGGGGGGATTTGCTCGCTCCTTTTTTGGGGTTTTATTAAAATCACGTTTAAGAATTAGCTTTTGACATTTTTTGGGTTATTGCAACTCTAAAGGTAGCAATCTTTACTGTAATGCTAAAGTTTGTTTTGTTAAGAATCTTTGAAGCAGTGCTTTTGTAAAGAAAGTTTTTGCCATTTTGTGCATTGGAAAGATCGTTCTTGACATTTTTTGCGTTTTTGCAACTTTACAGATGTTTACCTTGGTTTTCTGTAGTGCTATAGTTTGCTTTCTTAAAAATCTTTGTAGGCATGGGTTTTGTTAAGAAAGTTCTTACCATTTCTTTCTTTGTAAAGAAAGTTTTTGCCTTTTCCTGTTTTGTAAAGAAAGTTCTTGCCATTTATTGTTTTATAAGGAACATTCTTCCCATTTTTCGTAACGGAAAGAAAGCTCTTGCCATTTGTTGCTTTTTAATTAAAGTTCTTGCTATTTTTCGTTTTGTAAAGAAAGTTCTTGCCATTTTTGGTTTTGTAAGGAAAGTTTTCGTCATTTGTTACTTTGTAAAGAAAGTTCTTGCCACTTTGTTTTGTAAAGAAAGTTTCCCCCATTTTTCCTCTACCCAACATCCTTCTTTTTGTCATCCTTTTTGTCCCTTATCACCAATTCCAATTACATTAACCACCCAAATCACTGCGACGCACCTACTCCATTACCCATCCCACTTATCACTCTTAATTTAACATTAATTAGCGGTTGTTCAGGTCGTTCATCTTCGTTTTTTTCTTCGAAATTTTTAAGTGTGAGGGAGTGACCGTTTCCAAATAAATTCAGTGTGACCATTGCGCGCGCAAATCCCATAAAAAATTAGTAGACTGCTTTAAAAAAGGGTTCGAAAAAAACAGGTATGCAACTGACCGGCCTTATGAATCGGGGTGGGGATTTGGAATTGAAATTTAGTGTGATTAGAGAGCGAGATTGATGAGAAATAGTGTTTAATGAGTAAAAAGAGCAGAGTTGGAGGTAAGATGCGGACGATAAGTATGTTACAAACAAGTACATAGCTAAATAGTTGAAAACACAAAACAGACCTCTCAGCTAAACAAGACCAGGTTTCCAGGCCGAAGAAGACTAAGCCTGCAAGCCAAGCAAAACTCATTGTGAAGCCTTATCAGCACATATAAAACTGATTTTCGGCCATTTAGGCCTCAATTTTAAATGTAGGACCAGTCCCGAACCCTAGTTTAACAACATAATGTTTTTACTGCTTTTCGGCCGCTCCGGCTTTACTTTTTTTGACCAGGCCCGGTCGCTAAGTCCAACAAAGTTATAACACGACAATACTCAGAATAAAGCCTTCTTTCTCGCCTAACTTTAGCCTTTACCACGTCTATCCTTCTGCCAAGCTTTATCCTAGCCTTCTGCCATCTCTTATCCAAACCTTTTGCTATGCCCTATCCTACCCTTCCGTCATGCCCTGTCCTAGCCTATTAGCACGTCTCTTCCTAGCTCAATCTGCGCCTACAAGACTAGCAATCAAAACACTATATCAATAAATCCTACCACATTATACTTACACTACTATCCACAGACCCTAAGAAATTATCCCTACATTACAATATAACACTAGAACTCGCAAGACAAAACCGAATAACCAGATAGCCATCTAGATAGTAGCAGGCTCCTGAGAAACCGCCAAACATCAAGGCAAATAACCAGATATGGTCATATAAACTCGTGACGGAGAGAAATTTGTGACGCGAGAAGCCACGAACGAGTTCGAGTTGCGTCGTCTGCCGTCTGGCGCCAAATGTTTTCGCTTTCGTTCGGACCGTTCGCGGGCGGACGATGATAAAGGTGCGAATCATGACGTGATTCCCATTTACGCCCCTCAGGTGTTGGTTTAAATCCCCTTTCGACCACAGTCCAGTGGCTGCGTGGATCGCGGTGAGGAGGGTATGGGTGCGCGCTTTGGCTGGGGTTTGAACTGTTTCATATTTTTGGCTGTTTTTCATTTTTTCTTTTTAAAATTTGACTGAATTATCTTGAGGTATTGGCATTGCTTCTTGTTGAATTGTATTTTACTTTAATTTCATTTTTACTACTTAACGTATCTTCTTGAACAGTTTTAAAATGACCTTTTTTGAAGTTATTTTGAAACTTCGTGCCGTCTGAAGCGCACTACATCAAAAAACCAGTTTTATATCGTGAAAATTCAGATTATGGGCACACTATTAACCGGCCTCGTAGCGGCCGTTTTAGTAAGCCAAATCAGCGCCGTGGCTGTGAATCAATGCAACTTGGGTAACAAGTTGTACAGTATTGAAAATGGCGGGGTAAGTCATCATTTTCTCTTTATATTCTTCTATATATTAAGTTGTTCAGTTAATTCTGCGCCCTTTTTAAGCGAATTTCTAAAGTTGTAGGGCGCAGAATTAAGTGAACTACCTAATATTAGACCTTTAACCTTTATAATTTTAGCACGATATTTTTTTCAATTTAAAAAAAATTTTGATATTGGAGACTAAAACCAATTTTAAATACAAAAAACATCATTTTCTCCCATTCCAGACAGTATGTGCCCCACTCGCCCCATACCAATGTATCACAAGTTGCCAATGGAACACCAGCTGCTCTCACACCGCACATTCGTTGGCTTTCCAAGGCCGACGTACCTTTGTCGCTGGAATGATCCTAACGCCAGAGAACTTCCTACTTCTCTGCTGTGCTTCATTCGCCAATGTGGTTCAACAAAGTGAGTTTATGAACCTGGCAGAAGTTATTTTTTCGTATTTTACACAAAAAATGTTAACTTTTTTTCATAAAGATACTGTATTCATAAGAAAATAGGTTTAACATGAAATTCGTAGTTAAACTTTTTGTAAGCAAAATCTTTCGTTGCGGGACCTAAGCTGGGCCTAAAGCCTTGGTTTGGGCCGGCCCTGGGGTCCAAAGGCAACCATAACGTTTTAAAATTCCAGATCAACGCCTAGAAAACCGTTGTGTATGGGTGCCACCAATACAGACGATCGAGAACGGGCCTAGCATTCGATTCGACCCCTTTGAGCCAAAATGAGTACGTTCGAGACATGGCCATTCAACGACAAGACAGAGGCAAAGTTGAGGTCCGCGTTCAAATTTGCAAGTTCATGACTCAGCGTACCAACTGTGATGAAAACGTAAGTTTATTTTTGAGCTTTTGATATAAAAAATTGAAACAAAAATGAGAATGCGTCGTATTTTATAAAAAAAAATCATTTTTAAATTTACCAGACTTTTCAAACAATTTCGCTGATACCGTATTTTACCAAAAAATTTCCAGACAATGCCCCCAGACGACCAACAACTCTTCAACCTCCTTCAACTCCGCCTTTCTCGCACAGAAATGTTCTTGAAAGACCATAACGGTACCAACCCACAAGACTTTTTCCATGTGCCCGGAGGTCTAGAAGAGATCCCCACTCCAACCCAAGACTCATTCAGAGATGAAGTTCTGGGTGGAGACTTGGATGAGGTTCGTGGTGTGCCACAATTCACTCACCGCATCTCAAGTCAAATTCAAGAACGACGGAACGATCTGCCACCACCTAGAGACCAATCACTGGTTACCCGGAGCATTATCAGACAACCTAATGCTTTGAGAACGCCACGTGCTAACGGTAGGGAAAGAGAACGATGACTTATGTTTTACATTGTAGAACCTTTCATTTGTGAAATTTTTCGTTGTAAATGTGTTATGTTTTAATGTCGTTTGTAGCTAATTCGCTTCGTACGTCCACCGACCGTTTTCGTCGGCATGAATTTGAGGAAGAGATACCCAGTAATGTCCCTAAGGCTCGTTTACCAGTAATATACCCCGTAGGCACTAACGACCGTGTCGATCTCGGCGAATCGGCCATTTTGAACGGCGGTAGTGGCACTCAACCAACTACTATAATATCGCGCCAAGGCAGCCGTTTCCGAGCACCAAGTGCTACAGTACCGTTCGGTACAGTTCCGCAGAGAATTCGTACTGCATTTGGAGTACCTCAGAGGATTAATACCCGGCTAAATGGTGTTACGAATACTCGAGATGAACATGACAATCACAATCATGAGCTTGAACCTGCCAATCATAACCATGAGCGGCCACCTCCACGAAGAAGTACTCATTTTAGTGAAGCTCACGAGTTCCCAATAGCAGGAAGTAATCGCTATATTGTGAACAAGCCAGAGACCAGTAATCGAGTGTTGTTATCGACCAATTCGACTAGAGAAACCGTGCCTCGAGCAAAACATTTTACCGTATCAAACTCGCCAGCTTATCGACAATCAAATGATGACCTACTTGAAGAAAAGCCTATGAAGTCAAGCCTGTCAATCCGTAAACTTCACCTTGGCAACGTTCGCAAACTTGGCGGATTTGCTCACGCCACCTCGTACGGTGGATCATTTGCCACATCGGCCGAGCAAGCCATTCCAACGACTAGAAACTTAAGAACCTTTAACAATTTGACACCAGTTCGACCAGTTGCTAAAGGCCTTACTGGCCCTCAGGCTTCGAATTCGGAATTCACATCAATACCTTCCGCACCAAAAGCTCAGGCTTTCATTCCAAACCGAGTATTTTCAATTGAAGACGTTCAACCCCAGCCAATTCGGCCACAAACCTCACTATCCCCTCAACCTACACACTATTACAACAACTCGGTTTATCGACCGGTCGGATTCGCTAATACCGTACAAACCGTAGCTCCACCGACGCCACGGCCTTTGCCACAACCACCAGTAGAGACCCCACTTCATTTGAATCCTTCTTACCGGTCGCAATTAGAAGAAGTGCGCCGTGAGCACGAGTTCCTGGCTCAGCAACAACAAAAAGAGGCTAATCTACGGGGTTTGTTGCAATGTTGTCAGGATCAGGCGCCTGGTTGTCGGCATTTGTGCTCACCGGATGTTAGCAAAGAAGAGGTACTGAGTTTTTCTTTTTTAGCACTGTGCTATATTGCACGAGTTCACTTCACTGCTCCTCTGCACTAATACTTCTGCATGGTGTTTCGGGTTAAGGTTTCTGCACGGTGATTGCACTAATAGTTAGGACGGTTTATGGTGATTGGACGAAGCTTTACTATGGTACACGGTGATTAGACTAATCGTAACATGAATAAGTTGATCCTCACTGTGATAGAGTTTAACTTCACTAAAGGGTACTATGGTGATTGACTTCTTTAACACGCAATCGTACTAGTACTACTATTACAGATACTGACAATACCAATAGAACACCTAACCAAAATAAAAACCCTTTCTAATACTTATAACACTTAACATAAGGCACTGTATACCTATAACACCTAACATAAGACACTTTATTCCTATAAAACACAACGAAACGCTTTCTACACCTATCGCACCTAACATGAAGTACCTCATACTAAACAAAGCCCCCTAAATAGTGATTCATGAAGCTTCAAGCTTCAGAAATTGCTTCAATATCACGTGGAATGCTGTGCTACTAACATTTTTTTGTTTTCTGATTTTTTTCATTTTCTATGTTTTGCTTACAGTACAACTCCTGTACAACGAACTTTTCTATAACGAAACTTGGGTATATCAAACAAATTTGAAGTTTCTCTTTCTCTAATACTACACAGTGCATTTAAAACCACTGTGTACTTTCTTCAAGGTCCTTTATAACAAACAAAATTTAAAATTCCTGCCCGATTTGTTATACAGTGGTTAATTTTGTTGTACAGGAGTACTGTATTTTCCTTAGTGGCCGTAACAAACTGTACGCTTTCTGCTTATAAACACTGATTTTTGAGCTTTTTCTGTCAATTTATACCTTATACACCTTCATTTTCAAAATCATCCCTTACTTCCACCCCTATTTGTTTACAACACCCTTGAAAGAGCACCCCCTCCCTTTGCCGAAATAATTGTCGAAATTCATAAATAACCCCCCTCACAAATTCTTATCAAAGATAAAAAACTAATTTTCCAGATCAAGCGCGCCATACAGTCCAACGAGTGTCCGCCGCTCACAATGACCAGCGTTCTTCAGTGTTTCCCACGCTTCTACAACATTAGCACGGTGGGGCAGTGTTGTAATCAGGCGGTGAACGGGCAACAGCCCTCGCAACAACAACAAGTCCAAAGTGTGGTCGGGTTTTTGGTGGGGCAGAATGCGCCCCGGCTCCCGGGCCAGTGTCAGAGTTTGTGCGCGCCCAATTTCAAATTGTCATTTTCGCATTTCGCTTGTGTCGATCATATCAATACGATCGTCGAGTGTTATCGGGGATTGATTGCGCGGTAATTTTAGAGTCTTGAGGTTGAGTTTATTTTAATCGAAATTTTTGAAATTTTCAAAATTTCAAAAAAATTTTTCGCATTGAAACTCAAGTTACTGTTGCATATTGTTGTTTCCGATAGACTCGGTTGATTGTTTTTGGTTGATTTATGCGGGTATTCTCTATTTTCATGTCTTATTTCTGTTTCATAGTTATTACATATTGTTCATTTTTTGGTCTTTTCAACTTAAAATTTCTTATTTTTTCACCTTTTCAAATTGAAAATTGTATTTTTTCTAAATTTCTATCGATTTTTTCAACATTTTTTGCTTTCACCCTAAGGATATGTTATCTTTTTCACCTTTCGCCCTAAGGTCTTTAACTCCTTTTAAAGCCCATAGGGTGAAAGCTGAAAAATCTCAAAACAATCTAACCCCCTTACACATCTTCATCCCCTTCTACAGCTCATTTCCACCTTTATAAAGTCTCCTACAAGTCTTTCAACATCTTTTTCAACAATTTTTTCAAAATTTTATGGTTTCTCCTTTTTAAAAATACCTCTTTTCACTCGATTTTCTCACAATTTTGCGGCGCAAACCCTCACGATCACTTTTTCTTTCAATTTTACACCTCCTTCTCTGTCTGTTTTCACCCATGATTTGCTCTTACTAGACATGAGAAACGGGCCGGGCCGATCGAAATTTTGCTCAGACCCGGCCCGTTTCTCACGTCTAGCTCGTACCACCACCTCTGATAGTTGAATTCGATCGCCTAGTTTGTAGAACATTTAGACACAACCAAAAATCTCGGGTATTCTACGGCATTTTTATGATTTTTTCATGAAATTCATTTTATTTTTTCTGTTTTTTGGCTAAATTTGAGCCATTTTTTGAATTTTCGGCTAAGTTTGAGCTATTTTTTAGATTTTTGGCTAAATTTGAGCCATATTTTTGAATTTTCTGCCTAATTTTGGCCTATTTTTCAAATTTTTGGCTAAATTTGAGCCATTTTTTGAATTTTCGAACAAAATTAAGCCGTTTTTTCCAATTTTCGGCCAAATTAAGCGAAATTCCGCCCATTTTTGTCTTTCAAACTCCCAAATTTTTTCATTTTTTGTTAATTTTGTCAATTCAAAACTGCCATTTTTACAATTTTAACGTCTTTCTAATAACTTTTTTTTTCAATTTTTATGCCTTTGGGCATTTGCTTTGATTGTTTGTACATTTTTGAAAATAAATTTTTATTTTTTAAACACCTATTATAATGTTCTCAATTTTATAAATTTCAAGAAATTTTGAAAAAAATTTTGGATTTCAAAAAAAAATTTAATTTTAAATTTTTTTAAAAAATTTTTTAAAATTCGAAAAAAAAACACTTACCTGATTATAACTTGGGACGTCTTGAACACTAAAGAGATCTTCTCGCACTGATTGTTGAGGTTTTTGAGCTGAGGAATCATGGATAATATACTGAAAAGATATAATTTTGAAATTTCAAAATTCATTTTTTTGGCAAAAACTTTGTTGACAGTCATTATTAGGCTTATTGGTGATTTCTAGGTTTAGCATAAAGTTTTCTAAGCATAGAGCAACATATTTTTCAAAAATATTAAAGATCCGAAAAAACTTTCTTTCGAAAAACCGCAATAACTTTCTTTACAACGTTTTTTGCTTACCAAAACTTCCTTTACAGTCTGTTTTTAGCCTAAAAAAATTATTTTTTTCAAAATTTTAAAAATTTCAAAAAACCGCAATAACTTTTTTCCACCCTTCACCTACCTTTTTAGCAGCTTTGACAGTCGGCTGAAGTTCGCTGAACAAGTCCACTTCATCGTCCGGCTTTTCTTGGCTTGGCTTCTGTTTCTGCGCCAAATTCTTTCTGTATTCGGCGATTTTCTGTTCGGTTATATCAGCTTTGTCATCCCATTCGGTCCATGAATCATGAGCCGGGTTACTGTAACTTGGCCCTTGGGCATACTGTGGGTTTTGGCCATAATGAGGGTTTTGGACGTTTTGAACTTCGGTTTGTCCATTTTGGCCAAATTTTCCGGGAAATTGTCCATTTTGTCCGGGAACTTGTCCGTTTTGCCCAAACTGCCCAGATTGTCCACCAAATTGCCCAGTCTGTCCTCCGAATTGCCCTGCTTGTCCACCATACGGATCCATCGCATCTGGTGCCGTTGGTACCGGTTGATATTGTCGCCGTTGATCGGCCGGAATTACCGTAGGCAATTCACCAATTCGATCCGAATTACCACGCCCAAATCGTAGACAGCTGAACAAACGATGACATAGTGATGAAAAAAAGCGGACCAAATTGACCAGTTGATTTTGTAAAACACCCGTTAAGCTCATATTGTTGTAGATTCTAGTAGAAGATTGACTATATTAAGTTAGAAGATGGGTTTTGGTCGATTAAATGGTCGTCATTCAATCTATTATGCACTGGAATGAATAGGCTGAAAAGAAAAAACCATGACTAATTCACAATAATTGCAAAAACTTTCTTTACAACCAAAAACGGCCAAAAACATCCTCCTGAAGACCATAAAACTACCAAAAACTTGCGCTAAATGTCATTATATATAACACTCAAAATCAAACGATGCAAAAACTTTCTTTCCAGTACTCTAAAAATCTCAGAAACCTTGTTTCCATAGACATGAGAAACGGGCCGGGCCGGACCGGGCCTGAATGTTAGGCCCGGCCTGATCGGAATTTTGCTCAAGGCCGGCCCGGCCCGTTTCTCATGTCTATGTTTCCACCAAGAGTTCCCCGAACTTTTTATAATCAAGCGCACCCTTGCTTAACTTGCCAGATCGGATGGGATCGAGCTTTCGCACTGTGCAAAGAAGACAAATGTCGCTGCACGGTGCAGAAATTAATTTTTTAGCAATAACTTTGAATACATTGATTGAAAATGGCATTTTTAAAATTTTGAGAAAATGCAAGAACTTTCTTTACAAAATTTAAAAAAAAAGCTTTTTTTTAGATATTATTTTGCGCAATAATCGCTTTCTTACCTAATATCATAAAATAACTGCATTGCTTTAGGTAAATTGCAAAAAACAGTGTTACGCAACGTTTTATTATGTAATATGATTTACTTTGTAATATTTGCCTCGATGTAAAACGACCCAACAAATTACTGCGAGTATGATAATTTTACTGATTTTTAGACTGCGTAACATTTTGGAAAAAAATGACAAAAACTTTGTTTACAAATCAAAGAATGACAAGAACTTTCTTTACAAGGCACAAAATGGCAAGAACTTTCTTTACAGAACGAAAAATGGTATGAACTTTCTTTGCAAAACATAAAATGGCAAGAACTTTCTTTACAAAACAAAAAATGGCAAAAACTTTCTTTACAGATCACAAAATAGCAAGAACTTTCTTTACAAATTTAATACATACAATTTGCTCTCAAAAACCGCAATAACTTTCTTTACACCGTCGAAAAGATCTCAAACCCCCAAATTTTTGAAAACAAAATCCCTCAATTTCTTCATGGCAACTATGTCAGCCGTATTTTACCTTCAATCTTCAATATATTGCAAAGTTCTTCAACTTTTACACAAGATTATCACAAAAAATGAGCAAAAATCGACAATAAATTCGTTTATTCTTCTAAAAATTCAACAAGATCGTTTTAGGTAACACCGGTAAGTCAGAGAAAAAAATTATAAAACCGACAAATAGACAATCAAACGTTAGGTAAAGCCTGACATCGTAAGGCCTGACATTATTGCATTGTTTTCAATAAACTCTGTAGAGACGACGTCCCTGGTAAGACAATAGAGGAAACAATACCTATATAAGTAATCAAAAGTAGAAATCGATACCTTTTTAGGATAAGAGTATATAGGCCATATTACACTAGTTTTAGGAAAGCTCATTGATTTAACAATGCCATTAAATAGAAAGAAAAGGCATGGTTAATGTTAGAAAAAAGGCTTTTTAAGCCTAGATTTACCCTGTCTGTTAACAAAAAAAATTTTTTTTGAATTGGCACAAAAGTCCTCGGATTTTACATAAAATTCAATTTTTTTAATTTGTAAAGAAAGTTCTTGCCGTTTTTTGTTTTGTAAAGAAAGTTCTTGCCATTTTTTGTTTTGTAAAGAAAGTTTTTGCCATATTTCGTTTTCTAAAAAAAGTTCTTGCCATTTTATTTTTTTAAAGAAAGTTTTTGTCCTTTTTTGTTTTCTAAACTAAATTTTTGCCATTTGTTACCTTGTAAACAAAGTTCTTTCCATTTTCCGTCAAAAACTCCAAAAATTCTTTCAAAATTCGAAAAGTCCGAGAATTTTCGTGCCAATCAATAAAAACCAAAAAATAAAAAAAAAGATTGAAATTATTAACAATTCCCAATATATACAGTCAGTTTGAGCGATTTATGGCCATTAAATCACAATTCCGTGCCTTCGTCCCGTTCCAGTAGACCGTTGTGAAGTAAGAACTTGAGCCCGTCTCGGAAGCCCATCTCATAATAGGCGTGTAGCACTTGACTGGACGGTGGGAATAGGGCTTGCGCTCCTCGTACAATGTTCTGCATGTTTACCTGAAATTTTTAAAATAAAATAAAAATGAAAAAAAGATTATTTTTTGTAAAATACGAACATGGTCTTGCCGTTTTTTGTTTTGTAAAGAAAGTTTTTGCGTTTTTTTCATAAAATTTGTAAAGAAAGTCCTTTCCAATACTCAAAAATTTGAAATAAAATCATTTTATAACACAGTAAACAAAATTTTTGTCATTTCTTGTTTTGTAAACAAAGTTATCGCGATTTTTCAAAAAACATCAAAATTTCGTTTTTCCAAAAAATTTGTAAAGAAAGTTCCTTCGAATTCTCAAAAATCTTTTAAAATGCCATATTAAGTCATTGTATACAAAGTTATTGCCAAAAAATTAATTTCTGCACCGTGCAGCGCCATTTGTCTTCTTTGCACAGTGCGAACGCGCGATCCCGACCGATCTGGCAAGTTAAGCAACGGTGCGTTTGATTATAAAAAGTTCGAAGAACAATAGGTGAAAACAAAGTTTTTAAGGTTTTTAGGGTAGTGGAAAGAAAGTTATCGCAATTTTTAACTTTATAGTCTTCAAAAATGGCAATTTTGTTAGTTTTTAGGTATAAAAACCACACTTCACAAAACGTTTGGCTTCTTTATTTTTCATTCTTCTTCACCCTTCATTATCATTTTATAAGCCTTATCATGCCAACAAAAAATGTCATAACTTAATAAAACATACCTTCATAAGTTGGTTGCCCAGTGACATTCGCCATTCGAACAGATTCGTGTCGGCTGGTGCAATTAGGGCCGACCCACTGAATGGTGATATTGTAATAGTTGGCATGCTTTCGAATGTGGGCAAATTGTTCGTGTAGCCACCGTCAATGTACAACTAAAAGGTTTTTTTTCAATTTTTTGTAAAATTTTAACTTTTTCAAACTTTTTTTTATAAAATTTCAAAAAATAACCAAGCCCTTTGATAAAAAACATCAATACCTCTAAAATCACCCCTTTAACCTCATTTTTGCCTCAAAAATCGGCCAAAAATGGCAAAAAACAAGTCTCAGTTCGGGATATTCTCATAGTCCACACCCCAATCTCGACATTTTTTTTACCTTCGAAACTGGTCTTTGAACGGTCAAATAAGATCAAAAGTGTGTGTGTAGTTAGTATCGGACATCATCGACATTGTTTTATTCACTTTTAGGCTTATTTTTGAGGTTAAAACCGGGTTTCTCTGGCGTTCGCCGAAACTACGAGGTTTTGAGTCAAAAGTGAGTTGCTTAGCCACTCGACTATGGGTGCGCAAGGTTTAAAAGAGCCATATTGCTATGGCAATAGACAATATAAGAGGTTTTGCGCAATCTAGAGGTTAGATATGGCATAAAATATTTAAAAAATGCAAGAAAAATTTAAAAATCGTTTAAAAACGCCAGAAAATCGCTTAAAAATGACAAAAAATCGATGAATATCAAGTTTTTAATTTCAAAAACGCAAGGATTTTCTAAAGCCAACTCATACATACTTATAATAGCCATACCACCTCAGAAAACCCATTTCCACTCACCTGCCCATCAATTTCAGGTGGAGTAGCATAATACCCCATCGAATACATAGGTATATAACAACTAGCCAACAAGCACTGTACCAGATGGTCTCTGTCTTTAAACCTGTCCACAATGACATTAGTTCGACCAGTTTGTTTCGTTAATGACACATTGAGGCTATGTTTCGGTTGAGGCAGATCATTAGGTAGGAATTCGTCGATAATCTTCTTCAATCGTTCGTTCAGGTAGAAGCCAGGGGTTAGAGCGCCTAGCTTGAGTCGATTCATTTCGTCGGCTAGCTGATACATTTGTCTTAGACCGGCTTCCAGACTGTCCGGGTTGTAGCACATTAGGCAGGCGACGAGTGAGCCGGCCGAGGCTCCCGCAAACTTTGTTACGTGGCTTAAGAGGGTCTGAAATAGGTAATGTTGACCTTGTAGTAGGAAAATTTCTTGCCATTTTTCGTATTGTAAAGAAAGTTTTTGCCATTTTTTGTTTTGTAAAGAAAGTTTTTGCCGTTTTTTGAATTGTAAAGAAAGTTCTTGCCATTTTTCGTTTGTAAAGAAAGTTCTCACCATTTTTCTTTTTTTAAAGAAAGTTCTTGCCATTTTTCGTATTGCAAAGAAAGTTTTTGCCATTTAATCACTACCTCCATTATTCCAAGCGTATTTTACAATATTTTTCAAAATCTTACCTTGGCATGTCGTTTGAAACAGACCATAACTCCGAAATGATATGTTCCTAGGAAGCCACAGCCACTACAACTTAATGCCACTTCTTTTGGGATGCTTTCCAACGTTACTGGGCCTTTCCATGGTGCTTCTAGTGTTCTGGATTCTGAAATTTTTAATTTTTCTTTTCGATTTTTCAATAAAATTTTTAAAAAATTCGATATTATTCTTCACGCCTAACAAAAATATCAATTTTTAGGTATACCAATAAAATAATCCGACTATTCAGCTCAACATTCTATTTTCTTTGTACTTCTGTACCACTTTCTCTAGTACTATATTGCATTTTAGTATATAGTACAGCCCTCTTTAGCTCTACAATACTACTTTGCCTACTATAAAACTTTTACAGCCCTATTTAGCTCTATTACACTACTTTGCCTACTATAATATAACATTTTCTGCCTTCGTCAGCCCTATAATACCAACTTTTGCCTACTATAATACAATATTTACGCTGTTCTTTGCCGGCGGCAATCCGCAACTGCTCCACGTCTTCAGCGCTCCATTCTAGGTTCAGGCTTCTGGTTTCGAGCGCCTCTTCGCTCGCCGCCAACAACTCCACCGTCCTGACTTCGGCCGCCACCGTCGAAACCCGACAGTCTTCCGCTACAAAAAGTGAATTTTGATATGAACAACATGATCTAATTGGGACATAAAAGCATCTAATTTGTACTTAAAAGCGTCTATTTGAACACAAAAGCAGGTTGACAGTTAGGCACACTCACAGCACAACATACAGGTTAGTACAAGATAATTGGGACTTCGAAAAATTTGAAATAAATTAAAATTTGATTGTTTTAGGCCTAAAGTCTGAAATATTTTTATTTTTGACCACAGACAGTCATGAGAGAGAGGACAGTTAACTTAAAAATGGCACAAAGGGTATAATCATGACCTGATAAAGCTCTAAAATGGCCTGATAAGGCTTAAAAACGTCCTGATTAAGCTCAAAAAGGACTTGATAAAGCTTAAAAATGCCCTGATTAAGCTCAAAAAGGACTTGATAAAGCTTAAAAACGTCCTGATTAAGCTCAAAAAGGACTTGATAATGCTTAAAAATGCCCTGATTAAGCTTTAAAAACCCCTGATAAAGCTCTAAAATGGCCTTAATGAGCTCTGAAACGACTAGATAAAGCTTAAAAAAGACCTGATAAAGCTCTAAAATGTCCTTACTAAGCTCAAAAATGACCTAATAAAGCTTTAAAAACAAACTTTTTAGATGTTTTTGGCGCTTCCGTCTCCGTTTCGGTTTACTTGTTTGGTAATTGACATAGCTCATATTTAGATTATTTCACAAAATTCGCAACTGAAATTGAGACCAATTACACTTTGTACAGAGGCTGAGCGATATTTTTCACTACAATGTCAAACAAACTTAAATTTTCAAAATTTTTTTCATAAATTTTTAAATTTCAAATTTTTTTTAATTTTAAAAATAAAAAAAAACAACTTTTCTTATTATTCTCTACCCAAACAATGCTTTTTAAGCTAAAAAACCACTTTCAAAAACAATATTTTATTATCTTTAAGATCAAAAATTATAATGAATAATATCAGTGCACGCCCAAAGCAATAAACTAAAGTGAACTCACAAAAACAAAAGTTAAAAGTGTAAAGAAGTCGACCGCACTGGCCAAATATAACAAACAAAATGCTAATTCGCATAGATTTCAGATAATTTCAAAAAATATTGTAAATAGTAGTTGTTCTTTGATCACTCAACGTGTTTAGTGAATTGTTAATTAACTGGTTATGAATATTGTAGTGTTACATGTTCTATATTGTTATTTATTGTTTTGCCAAAGATATTTGTTTATTTTTTTACAACAAACAGTCATTAGTACGTTCACAGCAAAAATTATTCTATATTAACCACCAAAAAGTTAATGTTATCCATCAAAATCGACGATAAAACAGCAAAAAGTTAGTAAAATAACTCAAAATTAAGCAAAAATGTTTGGCAATACATTTTACTACGTGTAGAACAGCACAAACAACGTGTAGCCAAGCAGTCTAAACACAGAAAAAGCAAAAGAATCAATAACTTACCATAAGAATCGTCCTCTATCTTCAGATGTCTTGGAAAGCAGTCAATGAAAACTGGCGTCCGCAAGGATGTCTTCAAAGGCGAAACAAGCTTCAAACTAAAACAGAACGATTAAAATTCAAGTTTAAAACAAAAATTCGAGTAAAAACAATAAAATTGGCTAAATCAGTCGGCTCTATCTATAACAATATAAATTTTGATGTCCCATAAACATTTTAAGCCCCACTTACTTTTTATTTATATAAAACATGTTAAGCTGCGTCAACTCCATCATAATGGTGGAGACTTTGACCATTATTAGCTTGTTTTGAGCGAAAGAGCAAAAACCCCACGTTTAAAAACCTAGCTATCAGAGAAAACATTCGAAAAGGCATGGAAAAACAAATAACCCCTTTTCTTCTTACTTTCAAAACAAGAAGAAGCTATGACACTTTGAAATTTATCAAACCGTGTGAGCTAGCTATTAAATTTCGTTCTTTACAGCATTTTTAAAAATTGGCCATGTGTAATATATTCAAATAGCCGAAAATGGTCACATAATCACGTCTTTTCATAAAATATTGTTTTACAAAGCAGCTCTGACCCTTTTGAATTATTTTTAAACAAAAAATCTTTAAATATACTTCCTATGTTATTCAAGACATCAAAATCTCCTAAATACATAACAATAAAATCCAAAAACATTACCTTTTCTTCAGAATTTTCTTGGAAACTTGAGCTTCGTATTGATAAATCTTCTGGGCCAATTGTACTGGTCCTTTGACGACCTTGGCGACTTTCCTTGTCACGGACACCTTCTTCACCACAAAGGTTTTGGCTGGCTTCGGATTGCTGGCCGGTCGGTTCGATTCGCCCATAAAATTTGGCTAAAATGCCAAAATTAGTTTTAAAAATAGAAAATACAGTAGTTAAAAAGTAGAAAACATAGAATTCAATTCAAATTGAATTTTTAACTTTGAAAAAAGTTCAAAAGACTGCAAAGCTTTGAAACAATTCCGAGGAAAATAAAAGGACCACATGCGCGCTGCGCCCGAGACTTGTTATACGACGAAGAGTGTCAGCATTTACATTTATTAAAAACGACTTTGAAGTCCAATAAAAATGAATAACAAATTATATTTTGTACACATTTAACCTACGATAATATATATCTTGTCCACTTTTGAAACCGTTTTTGTTACTTTACTCATCGGATATCAAGTGTAATATAAAAACATTATTTTAATAATTAAAAGTTTCAAAATGTGCTAAATTTGCATACAAATTAATCTTCTATACACGGTTCATCTATTCTTGACATCTGGTTGAAATTCATGGAAATGAGACCTTTTTAAAGAACAAAAAAGGAATGCTGATAAAGGTTGGAGATGGTTAATATAATGTCGTTTTAAATTCTTCAATGTGTATGATGTTTTTTGTGTTTTAATACTTTTTATATGTATTTGTAGTAGTCTTCCTCGTATTTTAAAACATAAAATCAATATTAGAACTTAGTTTGAGAAATAAACAATAATGTTTATTTGACCTTTCACTGCGTTTGATCGCTCTTCTCTTCGCCATAGCATAACTTTTAAGCCTTATAAGATCAAAATGTAAAATTTTGGCACAAGTTAGGCCATAATCTTTAAAATGTTTTAAAATATAATTTTTTTAGGTATCGCTGCAATTAAAAGTGGCACAGAGCAAAAAGACAGCCTATCCCATGATGTGATGAGCACGTTTCGTAGAATCCGAAGATGTTTTCGTAGAGCTGTTGGGTTGCGGTAAGTTACTTTTTTAGTTTCATCTTGTTACAGACTTTTGAAAAATACTACTTTTTAAAAGTTTACTGATAACGTTTTTCGAAATTTTGCACGGTACAAGCATAAGCGCTTATAAGCTAATTTTTTGCTTCTGTGCAGCCAACTTATTGCACTGTGCAGTCACTTTATTATTTTTGATGTTTAACGCCATAATTAGTAAAAATATAAACAAAAATATTAAAACCGAATAAAAATTTATCCTTTTTAAAGTAGTCATAAAAGATTGGCGCACAGATTTTGTTTATTTGGACAATGCAGCGACAAATCTTGCGCTCACGGCTTAGTTCTTACTATTAGAACTTTTTTTATAAAAACATCAAATTTTGACGTTTGTTTGGCCAATTAATCATATGCATAATGCTCAATTTTGTCTTTCTATGCTACTTTTTGTTGCGTTTTTGTCATTGTGGTATGTAAAGAAATTTCTTGCCATTTTTTGTTTTGTAAAGAAAGTTATTGCCATTTCTTGATTAGTAAAGAAAGTTTTTACCATTTTGTGTTTTGTAAAGAAAGTTCTTGCCATTTCTTGATTAGTAAAGAAAGTTCTTGCCATTTTTTGCTTCATAAAGAAAGTTCTTGCCATTTTTAAATGTAACATAATTTTTCACAATTTCGAAGATTACCTTTTGTTTAGAAAGTAATTTTTCTGTAAAATCCTGTATCTATACTACAATGTCTAGTTTGTGTGATGAATTCAATGGTATGACAACACACAAAGAGGCTATTATAATATGTAAAAAAGTAACTTAAAACAAAATTGTTGGTCTTTTAAATTTTTAAATTATTGGGACGTACTTCTCTTCTATCCTCCCTTTGCCCTAGCCCTAGCCCTAGCCCTAGCCCTAGCCCTAGCCCTAGCACAGAACCTTAGCTCAAAGTCCTAGCCCAGAGCTCTAGCCCAGAGTCCTAGCCCAGAGCCCCTAGTCTAAGCCCAGAGGCCTAGCTCTCGTGTAAGCCTTACTTTGCCCTATAGTACTCCGTCCTGCATTATCTTTTCCTACTTTACTACATTTTACGCTGCCTTACTTAGTTTTACCGTGTCCTGCGCTACCTTACCTTGCCCTACCCCCATTTTACCCTGCTCTATTCCATAGTGCCCGCCCTATTCCCATTTTACCCCGCTCTACTCCGTTTTAACCCATCCTACTTCATTTTACCCTGTCCTATTTTGTCTTACCCTGCCCTACCCCATTTTTTGCCCCGTCCTACCTTACATTACCCCTCCCTACTCCATCTTTTACCCTATTCTACCGTATTATTTCAGCTTTAGCCTAATAATGCGTTGTCTTGCACTCTAATATTATATATTAGCACTTACATTGTAGTAAGCGGCCGATATTAGTTGGTCGCTCGCAAAATCTCCAAGGGAAATTGTTTTTCCCGAAATATTTGGCTTTCTCCAATTTTTCCCCTTTTTCTTCGAAAAAAACCGCAAATTTCACGCGCTTTTCCTTGTTTTATTCAAATACACTCGAAAAAATTTTGTTTTTGAATTCAAGTTTATCGTGCTTGCTTTTTGAGGGTTTAGAGAGAGTTCTTGCCATTTTTTGTCTTGTAAAGAATGTTCTTGTCATTTTTTGGCCTGTAAATAAAGTTCTTGCCGTTTTTTGTTTTGTAAAGAAAGTTCTTGCAATTTCCTGTTTTGTAAACAAAGTTCTTGCCATTTTTTGTTTTGTAAAGAAAGTTCTTGCTATTTTTTGTTTTATAAAGAAAGTTCTTGCCATTTTTTTTGTAAAGAAAATTTCCGCCCAATTATTCGTATCTCACCAAAAGATTGTGTTAAAATTTGGAAATTTTCATTAAATTTGCAGCTTATCAGCGCCTCATTATCAGTAGCCACTTTCATATTTTTATAAATTGATCAAAAATTGACTGCCAGTCGGTTTTTTCTGTCAAATCTTTACCGAAATTGATTGTTTCATAATTTATGAAGTTGAGGCGTTGATAACGATAATTAATCTTGTGATAGTAACATAGTGGTTTGTAAAGAGTGGTTTTTTAATTTGTTAATATTTATTATTTGTTGATTGTTGGTTTTGCAAGAGTTTTGCGATTTGAGTGATTGTAAAGAAAGTCTTTGCTTTTTTCTGCTTTGTAAAGAAAGTTATTGCCATTTTTTATTTTGTAAAGAAAGTTCTTGCCATTTTATGTTTTGTAAAGAAAGTTCTTGCAAATACTAAAAATTGTAAAAAATGCCATTTTAAGTAATTGTAAACAAAGTTATTGCCAAAAGTTTAGTTTCTGCACGGTGCAGCGCCATTTGCTTTTTTTGCACAGTGCGAAAACGCGATGCCGTCCGATCTGGCAAGTTAAGCAATGGCGCGCTTGATTATAAAAAGTTCAAGGAACACCGAGGAAACAATGTTTTTGGGATACTGGAGTGAAAGTTCTTGCAGTTGTGGGTTTAAAAAAGAAATCTTGGGGTTTTTAAAAAAGTATTTGTGCTATTTTTGAGGTTTACTGAAAGTTGCAGCCTGTGCAGAAAGAAAAAAGTAAAATATTGGAAAGTAGTGTGCATTTTATAAATTTTGTAATGATAAGAACTGTAAAGGAAAAGAAATTTACAGCAATTTCTATCAAAAACCTGAAGTTATGCTTTTCACAATGTATTTTTTATGATAGTGAGGGATTACTTGCAGCTTAGCTTACAGACATTGTTTTTGCTCTTTTCAAAATATGTTTGTTTATCATTTGAAGCAAATAAGTTCAAAGAATATTTTTGGTGTTTTATGAAATATGCATTTTAGTTTTAAGTGTTACCTAATACTTTTATTCTTTTCGTTCATACTCTTAAGTTTTAAAATGTCGTTTTAACACTCGCAAATCGGTTTACCAAACTTTTCAACACATTGGGAACAAAGGGCTTATAAGTCGAATTTGATAATTCCCAGCGGAATTTGTCACTTTAAACCTTGCTGATAATGTAATAAACCTTGCTGATAATGTAATCAGTGATAAGGCCGATCGTCTAATTTTGTTCGAGTTTCGGTTATCGGTTTTGAATTGCGCATTGTAGCGTTCTGAACGTTTAATTTTAAGGGGTATTTTGTACAAAACAACCGCGTTGGAAGTGCGAGAAAAACGTCTTGGAAGTGCTTGAGGCACTCTCTATTAAACTACTAGAAATTGATGGTAAATTAGATCAAAGTATTGGAACTTATTGTACTGTCAACTGTATTGCTGGAGACTTACGATATATTATATTCGACTACTGAAGCCAAACGATATATGCTACCGCACGAGTACTTGTAGATCTTAAAAAAAGTTTGTCGTTGACGGATTCTTGACTACGGAAACATTTATCATTGACGGATTCTTGACGAAGCAAACGTCTTTGCAACTCTTTTGACTCAAAACAACTCATTTGGCGTCTAGCAAGGTGAGTTATACCATCAAGATTTTACGACACAGTTAGTAATAAAGCTAACGTACTTAAGTTTGGAAGCGTAGACATGAGGAACGGACTGAGCCAGCCATGAACCATTTTTAGGCCGGGCCGGGCATAACGTTCACGGTACGGCCCGTTCCTCATGTCTAGGAAGCATATAAGATTTTGGGGATATTTAAACAGCATGCAATTCACTAGGTTTACATTGTACTAGTTGTCTTCCTATACCATGCCATAGACGGCCGAGACCGAAGCTTAGGTTTACTTTCTAATATAGGTTTTGTCTTGGACTTAGGCATTTGCTCATGCTTAGGCGTAAGTTTGGGCGTTGGCTTAGTCTTTTGCTTAGGTTTAGTGGGATTAGTGAATTTAGTCTTAGTAGGCTTAGGTTGAGTTATGGAAATATATTAAAATTTTTTTTAACTGTAGAGGGCGAGCACATATCAAAGTAAAATGACAAAAAAACTTACTTATATCCTAGAAGCTAAGCAGTTGTTTCTTTACAAAGCGATATGTATGCAACCAGAAGCGCGATGTATACAACCGACTGTACTATCATACTATCACAATTAAAAAGCCAAATTCTTGACACTCACTTGTCAAAACATCATAAGCTTTGGGAATGGACACTTTACGTATTGCGAATTCCTTATTTCTTTATTGCTTT